TGTGAACCAGATTTCGGGCCTTGGCGATTCCATCAGCGCCACAACAAATGCCAATCCAACGCCAGAGCCTCCCACACCAGAGAGAGGACAGAGCGGCACTCAGAGCTGGAAGAACTTCAGTAAAAGTAGTAATACCACAGTACAGTACTATACGATCACGAATAAGAGGAAATAAATATCGTACAAGGTTTGACCATTGTGAGAAATCAAAAAAGCAAAACAATGGAGGGTGAAAAGTCTGATTATTCATAACCCACTATGGGTGAACAAATATGTTCACCAGATAAATTGACCTTTTTATTTTCTATTTGACTCTTGTAAAAGTCTTTTTTCTACTTCCCTATGTTGCTTTTATGTAACGCACTTTGAATTAACCTGTTGCTGAAGTGTGCTGTTCACATAAACCTGCCCTGCATTGAACATTTTACTTAAGAAAGAATACCAAAAGCAAAAGTACTCATAATGCAGAACGACCCATTTCAGAATAATACATCGCCTATTATATAACTGGATCATAATTATAACGTGTTCTTCACTTTAATGTTGCAGCTCTTAAAGGTGGAGCTCTACACTTTAAACGCATCCCGCTGAGTAGCTTAATCAAATAATTATAAAAATGAATCTGAAACTGCAGACTTTTTTTGTGTCTTGAAGACGGCTGTGCTTAGTTTAAACTAAAATAAAAAGCTACAGTAGCAAATTATTTTGTATTTAATCAAATAATTTTTAGGAAAAAGACATTTTTCCCAGCTACTGGGGTAAGATGCATAAAATACTAACCTAGCATTCCACTACTTTAGCCAAAAACTATAAAAATCCTCCTCTTTGAACAATCGCTTGTCTTAAGGCTCCCCTTTATACATACACATACATAGACATGTAAACCTTTAACACAATGGGATTTTATCTACACCTTATTTGACTTGACTCAACTTATGTCAGAATAGCTTTGATCAAATAACTTGAAACAGAGGCAGAGTTGTCATTTACTCTGTGGGCCCTGGGGACACGTCCCCCCACTTTCCTAAAGCATCATTTGTTAAACGTTCTGAAATAAAGCTTGCAGTTAAAAAAACAAAACAAATTCCTTTAGAAAGCTTTATTTGCACAATAAAAAAAAAACATGTACTGCTTTTAAAATATAGAAGCAACAAATGTGCATTGTCCAAAAAAATATTCATGCCTTAAATATTCAAGAAACTCGAAATACGATTTCTGACACCCCTAAAATGGGCCGTACCATTTCCTAACGTTGACGTTAGCGTCTTGTCTGCCCGGTGCATCATGGTACGGCCCATTTTAGGGGTGTCAGAAATCGTATTTCGAGTTTCTTGAATATTTAAGGCATGAATATACTGTTTCCTCTGTGGAGTTTTACCTGCACAGGTAAATGTTAAAATGCACGTGTGTTATTTCATCAGTTTTATTTATGTAGCGCCAATTCCTAACAAAAGGCATCTTATTGTACTTCTCATATAGAGCAGGTCTAGACAGTCTCTGTTTAATATTATTTACAGGGGCCCTAAAAATTCCCAACTCTCCGACAGTGTCTGCCTGCTGCTTTACTGAACGCAGATTACACTTCATTTACAGTCAGCATGAGCAAGAGGAAAGGAATTTCTTGCTGAATAAAGTTGAAACTTAAAACTTGAAATGATAAGAATTAGGAATTAGAGAGGACGATGCAGACTGTGATAGTGTCTTTGGACCTGGTTCAGCATTGTGTGGGTCTGATTTTCTGCCACTTTTGCTGTAGAATAGTGACCCCTGACTACAAAGGTTGTTGTGTGGTATGGGGCCCCCGTGAACTGGTGTAATGAACGTGATTTATCATCATCTGCACACATCAGTTAAATAGGCAGGGAAATTGTAAGGTTTGTAAGATTTTAGTCCCGCTGCTGCGCTGTACTGGGTTTCTTCTAAAGTAAGGTCATTCTTTGGCCCATTATTTAAGATTTGAAGGTCGGGGCTTTTATTTTGAAGGTGTATAGTCGGAAGAGAAACTGTACTTAAGGTAGACTGTAAATAAAATAAAAAAAGGTTTGTCTGCTGTAAGGACAGTTATGTGAATGTCAGGGCACAAGGTGTGTTATAGTTTCCTTTCATCTGGTGTCTAACGTTTAGTCACATTGTGGTTCCTTTTCATAATGTTGTACAGTTTCATGCTGTTAGTGTGTTTAAGCCATAGACTGGATATAAAAAGGTTGAAGCTAGCAAGACTTCTTCATTATCCGTCTTAAAGGGCAGTTATCCCGGAAGAGTTTGCTTGGTATGAAGAAATGCAAGAGTTTGTGTGTTTTGTAGTAACTGCAACATGAGGTTAAATTACCTTTTAAAGCTGCAAATGTGACATAAAAATACTATTAATAGTGTTAATTTTGTCAGCCATTTAAAATTTAGTCTCAGTCCTGTTTCAAATGTCTGTTAGATTTTGTCATATTTATCCTGCTCTATACAGTTTTGTTTTTTTATCAGGTTTTAGTTGACTAAAAGTCTGGGTATTTTTATCCGATGTTAGTAAAAAGAAAAGTATTTTAGTCTAGTTTTAGTCATTAACCGTCATTTTATTCTTTTCTAACTCATTAGTATAATTTTGATTAGCATTTTGGTCAATCTGCTCAAACGAAAATAGAGATTTTTTTTTATCATTTTAGTCTTTATTTCACTCATCTCTCACATTGATAAAATGTTTAGTAAAATTTGAGCGTTAGATTTCATTTTTATTGCAAAGGAGACATTAACTGATCTCAGTTCTGGCTCGATGTGCCGCTTCAAGTTCATGGTGTTTTTTTCCAGAAATCTTATAACAACGTTGCTTCCCGTCCGATATAACCAGGCACTCACAGACTTTAAAGACCCTTCCGCATTTCTGCAGACTTTGGCTGAGGGAATTTCCCACAGTTCATAGTGGCATGACGTGAAACACGGGGGTTACCAGGGGAAGCCCTGGAGCGAGAGAAGCATCACTGCAAATCTGCCTGATAAGAGAAGAAGAAAACAATAAACAATCAAGCGTCGACACCTGAGCTGATGTTAAAACTGTTGAAAGTTTTCTGAACTTAAGATGCTGCGTAGAACACATGAAGTCAGAGGAAAAGCAATTATTACAAACTTAGTTTTTGCTTAATGATGCTGTTTTGAGCAACAATAGTTTATTGATTATTGACAAATATATATTGACATTTCCCTTTTCGACAGCCTGCAGGACTTAAAGATAATACATAAAACAAAAGGTGTGCAACGTGTTTCAGCTTCGTCGGGGTCACGTGATAAAAGGCTGTGATGTTCCTGTTCGCAGCATTTTGAGCCCTCGCAGCCTCTTAAAGTAAAGAAAGGTCTGTGAGGGTTCAGGGTTCAGGGGGGACACTTGGACTTTGAAATGGGACCAAATATCAAAACGCCTCTTTCTCCCGAGCATGTTCATCACCACCACCACAGTGACGTTTTCCTCGCGCACCAAGAGTTCAATCTCAGGACGTTTTGCGGTCGTTGACGTTTTCTGATTGAACGACATGTTTCCTGGCAACGTTCTGCGGCGGGCTTCGACGTGTGTTTTCTCCCGTGTGGTGGGCGTGTCTCAGGTGTTACCCAATCAGCGGCCACAAGTTCGTAAACACAACGGCGTGAAGAAGGCAGGGCAACGCAGCGCGCATGCGTTCACAGCAGGTGTTCAGGGAAAAAACGTTTTGTTACGTTTTGTCGTCGCCCAGCGGAAGAAAAAAAACAGCTGACTGAAAAGACTGTTCAAGTAAAAAGGGAGGGAGAAAATTTTGTCTCCTCTTTATACTGACAAAGAGAGAGAGATTTTATTAACGTTTTTGTTTTATGGATGACATTTTAGTCTCGTCATTTGTTAAAATAGTTGCATCAGTGTTTAAGGACATTGTCTTCGTCTCCTTTTAGTCAGGGGGGGGGGGGGAAGGTCGTTGACGAATATGTTTTGTTTAGTTTCGTCTGACGAAAGTAACACTAGTTATTTCATTCTTAAATGAATAAACTTACACAGAGCGCTCTTATTAGAGGTTGTAATTGGGTATGTGAACAACATTTTCAACATGGTTAAATGCTAAAACAAATTGTACAGATAGAAAGAGCTTGAAATATCCTTTAAAATGATACCAAGACCATGTTTATAGGTTCAATAATCGCACAACACTTTCCAGTGAAGTCAAAGCCAAAGGTGTGACCCTGCGGCACGGCTAAAGCACACTCCGCTGGCTGCTTCTTACGTTGTTAGCCAATGGAAGCAGATTTTGCGGGCAATAAAACTGCCAAGGTCGTCGTTCAGATTCATTGAAAATTCGATAACTTGTAGTTTAGCAACTAAACTAAATGTCTGTTACAGTTTAAAGAATGTTTTTACTCACTTTCAGCTAAAAACGAGACAATTTTGTGACCGACAAACTGTGACTTGCTCAAAATGCCAGTATTTCAACGGGAAAGAGACTTGAAACGAGGAGGTATCTATGGTTTTTCTGGTGGTGTAATCAATCAGAACCCGGAAGTTCCACAAAAAACAAGCCAACAGGAGCAATTATTTTCATAACACTGCAAGTTGTCAGGGAAAATCCCGAGTTACGTCTGTTGGAACCAAGACGGCAGCCGCGATGGTGGAGATAGAGAAATTTCATGTTTGAAATATAACAGGAGAGTAATGCTTTTATTTTCTTTCTTAGCTCTTACTGAGTGTTTAAGGTGTATTCAGGTTTTATGGAGCACATTGTGAACCCTCTGTGAAAGCGTAGACCATCATTCAGCCGGGGACCTCTGACCTTTAATCCAGCCTGAGAGCTTTGTGGTCTTTGCTTGGTCGTTTTTGCTTTGTAGTGTTCTGAATCACCAGTAGCGTGTTGTCTAAGTTTTATGTTATTTAAAATGTGCTGTGTAAATAAATGGGATTGGGTCTCCTGCTGCTCAGATCTGATATTCAGGGTGTAGCTGCAGAATTTCGGGAGTTCAAGTTTCTGTTGGCTCACTGTTGATGGAATAAAAGCTAATCCCTGAGAAGTGACCATACACACAGCAGAGATGTGACTATAGAGGAATGAAAAGACCTTTTAAATAGAAGAAAAGCAGTATACACCAACAGTGTACTACTACACACACTCAGTGAGTCAGCAGCCAAGTGATTGTTGGAGGAGGAGGAGGATGTTTGGCCAGACAGGGAGTCTTTGTGGTCCGCTGGACAAAGAGCCGTTCTCTGCGGTCTGCGTCGGGTCACAGTGGAACAGATCGGACTCAGAACCCAGCCGGACGCTCTGCTGCTCCGACCCGACTCCTTCCCCTGCCTGCTTTCACTCCAGCTTTCCTTCTCGTTTGCAGGGAGACGACATGAAGCGCCGCCTCGGATTATTCCTGCTGGTTTGTTTTGGGATGCTTCACGTGGGTGAGTGGACCGGGACGGATCACATACTGACACCTCTGAACCTCGTGTTCCTAAAAATAACTTTACATTTACATTCATTTACCCCTAATCTGTTCTCACTCCTTATTCAGCATTTATAATCAGTATAAAAACATCAGATTAATGGTTTATAATATAGATTAATTTAAGATTATTTGACAAAAATAAAGGGAAATACAAGACTGCGATCACAGACTGTCATTCAGTTTAGATAAAAACACAATAAAGCTCTTCTTACCAAAGGAGAAGAGTCTGACAGGAAAACAAGTCTTATGTTTGACTGTTTTATGAGTGACAGACAGATTAATATCTGGCATTTTGAGATTATCAGAATCGCCCACAAGGCCGATATATATCATCCTAACTGGCAGCAGATCTAATCTAACAGCATTACTTGTTAAAGAGAACAAAGCAGCTGAGTGACGTCTGACAAACTGGACCTGCTCTGAAAACTACAGCAGAACCCAAAGAATATTTCTGTTTCAATCATTAATGAAGCTTCTGTCTAAAAAGTTACTGCTGAGAGAACAGACAGCAGATTAGACTGGACTCTGCAGGAATTATGGATCATACAGGACTTTGCTTTAATATCTGCATTATACATCCTGCTCTCTAAATGTTAATAAACTCGAATCAGTCGACTTTTTATCTACCATTTCTTTACCAGAAGCTTCAGACCCCTCGGTTTGTTCCAGAGAGCTGCAGCAGTGTAAACGCATGTACGTTTGCCTGTGTGAATCTAAAAGGAACAAACAACCCTCTTGTTGCACGAAGACTAGAATAGTTCAGGAACCAGGAGCTGTTTTTTCATTTTACAGTAATTTATCTTTCCACTGTGAAAAAACTGAGATTTGCAAAATGTGCTGGGTGTAAATGTGGGGAGGGAGGTAGTCTAGAAATCACAATGAGACGTGGAGAACGGCTGCAGCAGAAGGAGAGAGCAAAATCCAAGTGATGTTGGAGAAAGGTCTGAAGGTTTTAGAGGTCCATTAATCCAGCAGGGTTGCTTTCCTGGTCAGTGCTTTTAGTGCCTCAATAAGAGCTGATTATCTAAACCACAACCTGGCAGTCTAAGGAAGCTCAAACTCTCCACACAGAGGAAGAAGAGGACTCTGTAAAGTATCTCCAGCCTCCCATCTTACCGGCCACTCCGACTGGACGCTGCAGCCTGTTCTTGTCACCTGTTGTAGGTCATCCCAAACCAGCTGAGCTTCTGGAGGAGGCGCCGTTGTTCTTTCACACACTGCCACTGTGTTGGCGTTTTAAATCAGCTTATCATCAGGTTTATTACAGCTATGAATCAGCCCGACACTTAAAGCTGCAGTATGAACTTTCTTAAAAATAACTTCTGCTGGACACTTTCTCTACGGCGAACATGAGACAGGTGATCAGGTTCCTCTGGCTCCTCCTACTGCTTCTGATGCCATTTGCACAAATCAAAACAACCAGTCAGAGCCAGGAGCAGCCTCTAAAGGTGTGTTCACATACAACGCAAATTTTTTTTCCTCCCGCTGGGCTTTTATTGTTGGACAACTGCTGAGTGTTCACACACAAGGCGATAACGCAAATGAACACAACCTGCGATTATTCCAGCTGCATGAACCCAAAGTCAACATTTTACTGTGATTAAATAGCAATAAATGGATCAAACTGATGCCGAAATAACAACGATATGATGCAGATTTGGTAAATATATGAATTCATGCTTTGTCAGGTCTGTCAGCACAACAACTTCTAAAATGTTAGTTTTCTGAATGGATCGATCAGGGCTATGCTATGCTAACCTAAGTACAACAACAGCTGGAATAAAGACACATATTTTCTGGGCTCAGCAGGTAGTTCAGCTTCTTCTTTTCTCCTGTTTTATCTGGTTTTATATAAATATGTAGTAGTAGTCCAGCAGAGCTCTTTGTGCCGACCGACGCTGACAACAACACTGGAAGCTACTGAGAAGCTCCAGTGAAGATAAATCAACGTCGTAATCCCAAAAACTAAAGTAAAAAGCTAATCTAATAAAAGCAGTTAACTCCGAGCTCCTCCTGAAGGGTAAACGGCGTAGCTGTCAGAGCAGAATCCAGACAGACTGCGGGGGTTTATTTGTCTGAAAGCTGCAGCGCTGCTCCCGCGGCATTTCACTCCCACGCTCTGCCCGGTCCTCTCCAAACAACGCTCTGAAGCCGTGGCGACGTCCGGCCAACTACAGTGTACAGAACAGAACCAACCTGCGTTTCCTGCAAAACGTGGTTAACATTGTGAAATGGTCACAGTTTGGTTAGGTTCAGGAAAACGTCATAGTTTGGGTTAAAGTTAGTAAACGATGTCAGTCACGTGATAGAGTTCAGTAATGTTTAAGTTAAAACTCTAAATAATTCAGCATTTACTTGGTTTCGCACGGGACTCGAACGCTGTTCTCCAGAGCGAAAGTCCCGGGTTTGACCCTGCCTCCTTATGCCGAACACGTCCCGTCTCCGCACAGAGCTTCCTGCTCAGTATGTTTGATGCCATGGCCTTCAAATCAATGAGAAGCAAAGAGGTGTGATGACAAACACTGGGGAATAACTTCTGAGCCGGGAGGCCGGGTTGTACTAGCCTCTCATCCAGCTGCCTCTGAAACCGGGACGCTCTGCCCTGCGCCGCCAAGAGTCGGAGACACGTCTTTGAGAAGACGGGTCGCTGCGAGAGGGACCGGGGTTCTGGTGAGGTTCTCGCCATGGAGAGCGAGCCCTTCGCAGGATGGTGTCTCCAGGCCAAACAGCTCCTGTCTCTGGGTTTGGAGGCAGACATGGAAGGTTTTGCATCGTTAGTTCGGTTGTTGCCGACTGCAGCTTTAAGTCTGAACGGGCGTGTAGGGCCGCTGAGCAGAATCACTCCCCTCGCTATGACCGAGCCATCAGTCAGCTACAGGAGCTCCTGCAGTTGTTGGTGGACCAAATGTATAAAAACCAGCGACACAGGGATCTGTCCTGCAGAGAAACAGGACAAGTTAAGACCATGTGGGGGGGGCTGTGTTCAAAGCCGTGCAGAAATCTACAGACAGTAAGCGTGAATGTGTACCTGAACAGCATCATCCACACCTCTTTGGTTCCTGCATGCAAACTGCAGAGGCTCCAGTGAATCCTCCACAGACGCAACAAACTCCCTCGGCATCAGATTTTCCATTTCGGGCCAACAGGAACCTCCTGCTGAGGAACATTTAAATGTGAGATGGAAAACAAAACCTAAATGATCTGCACAGTGTTTCAACAGGTGACTCGAGGTCCTTCAGGAGACCCGGTTCAGAACAATGTGTATTTTATTACTGGATTATAATTTGTCACAGTTCTGGGATGTTGGTGTTTCTTGTTTCCTGTTTTATTTTGGTAAACATCCTGTCTGTGTGCTCCGTGACTGTCTGATCAGCCTCACCTGTGTGTTCAGTCTGTGCTGGTTCATGCAGAGTTCAGTCCTGTTCCCTCTGCTCCCCTGAGCTCAGTTTTCCCAAAGTGAAGAGAAACGTTATTATCAGCTCCACATATTTCCCTCTGAAATGTTGTCTTTATATTATGGGATGTTTTCAAAGCAGCATTGTCTGCGTGAGCAGGCATATTTTAAATTATTAATATATTATTCAAAAGGAAAAGTGGCCTCAGCTGACTCCTCTCCCTTTAACAGCTGTTACAGCAACACAGTAATATATTTTTATTATAATGTACAAACAGATAATGCATTTCAAGCCAGTAAAACACAGCTGTAATATATATTACTGTAGAAATGTGTTTCATTTCCTTCCACTGCTGCAGAATAACTTGAAGTTGTTAACTCATTATTGATCCCTGAAAACTGTTTATCTCAGTTTTGCTGACCTAAACTTTGTGTTTATCTTCTCTGGCTATATTATTTATTTATATATATATATAAACACCATGTTACACTATATTTTATAGATATTCTATATAATATTAATGAAGGCAGACAGAGCAGCTGGTCATCAGTTGATCCTACAGTGAAATAATGAACAAAACTCCTTTATTTGTTCATTTTAGATCTAAAAATGTCTGTTTTTAACTTATTTTTCTACCATTTAAGGTTTTTCACAGGACTTGAACAACTTAGATTTACAGAAGAACTACAAACATGGAGGCTGTTCTAAAACCTTTGTACCAGTGTAGTGTAGCTACCTTTATGCTAAGCTAGCTACTTTAGCAGGAGTTTAGCAGTTTCTGTTCCTTTTATCTAATTATTTAACATGAACGTAATTCTTGTGGCGATGGTTCGATGACGCTCCGGAGCTCCCGGCTCACCTGGAACAGGTGTCGGTGACGCTCGACTCGATCTGTGCGAACGCTGGTCGAGCTGAGTAAAGTAAAGTCTCTTCTTCCTCTGCAGGTTCTGGACTTCGCTGCTACAAGTGCTCTGATTACACGGGCCGCTGTGAGAACGTGCAGGAGTGCACGGACGAGGACTCGTGCATCTCTCTGAGTGAGAGAGGTCAGTGACCAACGGCGTTATCGTTTTTTCTGAATTAAAAGTTAGAATACTACAGTAACAATACTACATTGTTGTTCAGTCCGTCTGGCAGAAAGTGCTGTTATGATTCTGAAGGAAAGTTTTCCCTCTGGTGTCCCCCTGCTTCTCTACATCAACTCTCTGTGGATTAGATAGCTTGTTGCTAACGCTACGGTAACCGCCTGCAGGGAAAATGATGCTCGATGATGACAATAATCAGAAGTTTGTGCTGTAACTTAACATTTACTTTTACTGAGTGCAGTAAACTCTCTTGTGGTTTGAGGATTTTAACCCTTTCAATGCATGACGTCCACCACAGTGGACAGATATTTGGAAGCCATTTTGAGCTATTTAAGTTATAGTACCATGTCCCACCCACCACGTGGCGGGCCGCCAAAATCGTCGTCTACTGTAAGATCCTTTTATTCTCAGAAAACTAGACATTTTCCAACAAAATAAGATGTTGGAAATACTTTTAGCCAGATTGTAATTATATATTTCTTGTAAATCTTTTCACACAAAAAAGAGGCAGAAACAAATCTGAGGCAGAACATTCAGAACTATTCTGATAAAATCTTTGTCAACAAATATCCAGGAGGAAAATTAAGTAAAAGCTTTTTTCACTCCTTTTTCCTTTGAACACCTTAAGAAAATAAGTCCTAATTCCTGAATAATTCCACTGAATAAAATCAAACGTTTATTGAACATTTGTTGTTATTGAAAAAAAAATTATATCCTGATAATTATTGTTAGTGTTTTATTGTCCAGTCATTTGTAGATTCCACCTTATTTTATATGTTTTATTTAAAATTATGATATAAATTGCGGTTGAATAACTTTATGTGTATTTATACCACTAGCTTTTAGTAAAAGTTTCAAAAACAGTTTTTTACCAACATTGAGTTCCACTGAATCACCTTCGATGCCTGGGGACACATTTCTAAATTGAATATATTGGGGAACAAAAGTTTAGAGGCATAATTTTTTACTTCTAAAAACAAAAAAGCATTTCTGCTTATCGCAGTATTTTCTGGGTGGTTTGTCCTCAGTGTGTGTTGTTTTGTCTGCAGGTGGGAAGACCATCCGTCAGTGCATCAGGTACACCTACTGCGATAACTCCCGCCTCTCCCAGATGTTCCCGGCGATCTCCGGCTTCACCTACCGCTGCTGCAGCAGCAACCTGTGCAACTCCGGCAACGCCGTTACCACAGCGACGCCCGTCCTGGCCCTGGCGGGTTCCCTGCTGAGTGTTTGGTGGTGTTGGGTCTGAGCAGCTGCCCGTTACAGTAGTTAGTAAGTTAACATGAACTAATCTGTTTGTGTTAGTCGCCTCTCAGGTCGATAAGAGTGACTTTTTCACCGCATTTGCTAATTTTCAATGTCATACTTTATACAACAATTAACAATAAATATAAGAAGAAAAAAAAACATAGTTGTTGTGTTGTATTTTTTTTTATCAGACTCAGGTTCTGAGGCGCCCCGGCGTCTCACCTGGTGGAGCCTCACCTGGTGGAGCCTCACCTGGTGGAGCCTCACCTGTCCAGCCTCTGTCTGCAGCTGTCACTGTCCAACACAGGCTGAAAATAAATTCACGTTCTGGTGTCTTCCTGGAAACAACTCAGATCTATTTAACGATGATTTAAACCTCAACAAAACTTCCCATCAAGGGAAACTACCGCCTGACTACAAGGTCATTACATCATCATCGCTCAGATTTCTATAAATCAGACTCTCTGATCAATCAGCATTTTAATCAGAGTCGCTTTCAAATTATTATCATGACATCATTTCATGTTTTTATATTAAAACCTGGTTATAGCATCCTGCTGCCATTGTGGAAGCTAATGTTGGTCTATGACAATTTTAATAATGTAACTGAAGAAATCGCACTTTGGTTCAGGGGAACTAAGGCGACTTTAGAAACCCAAAAGACGCACATTTAGTGTTTAGGGCCAGTTACATGTTTCAGTGAACTATGCACACCCAGAGCACACATACTGACTTTGTGGATATTGATTGATAATCTAACCCAGACCCCAAACCAGTGAGTCAAACCAAAAACTCAAGGTTGACCTGATGAAATGCAGCACTTGGTGCAGTCTGGCCAAACGTGAGAGGGATTGATTGCTGGTTTCAGGATTTACTGGACATCTGATGGAGATTATCCTAATATGGTAACAGAGACCCGGTTTGAGGTGATGGCTTTGCCTATAATGTTCTGATCTTTAAGCTGCGTCAGTTCTTTCTGCAGTATGGAAGCCCCAAGCGGCCATACATTCATACATGTCAGTTAACGGTGCACAAAAATCTCAGTTCGGTAAGTACCTCGGTACAGGAAGGGGAAAAAATTAAATTGCTGCTGGTTTATTATGAACTTTTGTAAACATCTGTCAATTTAAGGCTCCATCCACTCCAGCGTTTTAGCCACATACAACTAATCTCCGTCTGTATTAAAACAACTGAAAACACACATCATGTGACCGTTCACGTACACTGGGCATGTGCATGCTGGTGTAAACAGGAAGCATTGTCTACTCTGCAGCTGCAGAAGATTCGGCTAAAGAAGAAAGTTCTACTAGAGACGAACGAAGGACAGCGATGGTGAAGATGGAGAGTTTTGGGCGAAAGTCTTTTTTATTCTCTTCAACAAATTAGCTATGAAGAGACCGTTTCACAGGCTCAGTAGGATGTGTGCCTACTGGCTATTGATCCACATAGCTGGTCTGAAGCTGCTGCTGTGTCTTTGTGTCTTATTGTGTGGTCGTTTTGTGTCTCTTTGTGGTCGTTTTGTGTCTTTTTGTGGTCATTTTGTGTCACTTTGTGGTCATTTTGTGTCACTTTGTGGTCGTTTTGTGTCTTTTTGTGGTCATTTTGTGTCACTTTGTGTCTCTTTGTGGTCGTTTTGTGTCTTTTTGTGGTCATTTTGTGTCACTTTGTGGTCGTTTTGTGTCACTTTGTGGTCATTATGTGTCACTTTGTGGTCGTTTTGTGTCTTTTTGTGGTCGTTTTGTGTCTTTTTGTGGTCATTTTGTGTCACTTTGTGGTCGTTTTGTGTCACTTTGTCTCTTTGTGGTCGTTTTGTGTCACTTTGTGGTCGTTTTGTGTCACTTTGTGGTCACTTTGTGTCTCTTTGTGTCGCTTTGTCTCTTTGTGGTCATTTTGTGTCACTTTGTGGTCGTTTTGTGTCACTTTGTCTCTTTGTGGTCGTTTTGTGTCACTTTGTGTCTCTTTGTGGTCGTTTTGTGTCTTTTTGTGGTCACTTTGTGTCTCTTTGTGGTCATTTTGTGTCACTTTGTGGTCATTTTGTGTCTCTTTGTGGTCGTTTTGTGTCTTTTTGTGTCACTTTGTGGTCATTTTGTGTCACTTTGTCTCTTTGTGGTCGTTTTGTGTCTTTTGTGGTCATTTTGTGTCACTTTGTCTCTTTGTGGTCGTTTTGAGTCACTTTGTCTCTTTGTGGTCATTTTGTGTCACTTTGTCTCTTTGTGGTCGTTTTGTGTCACTTTGTGGTCGTTTTGTGTCACTTTGTCTCTTTGTGGTCGTTTTGAGTCACTTTGTGTCTCTTTGTGGTCGTTTTGTGTCTTTTTGTGGTCATTTTGTGTCACTTTGTGGTCGTTTTGTGTCACTTTGTGGTCGTTTTGTGTCACTTTGTCTCTTTGTGGTCGTTTTGAGTCACTTTGTGTCTCTTTGTGGTCATTTTGTGTCTTTTTGTGGTCATTTTGTGTCACTTTGTGGTCGTTTTGTGTCGCTTTGTCTCTTTGTGGTCATTTTGTGTCACTTTGTTGTCGTTTTGTGTCGCTTTGTCTCTTTGTGGTCATTTTGTGTCACTTTGTGTCTCTTTGTGTCGCTTTGTCTCTTTGTGGTCATTTTGTGTCACTTTGTGGTCGTTTTGTGTCACTTTGTCTCTTTGTGGTCGTTTTGTGTCACTTTGTGTCTCTTTGTGGTCGTTTTGTGTCTTTTTGTGTCACTTTGTGGTCGTTTTGTGTCACTTTGTGTCTCTTTGTGGTCGTTTTGTGTCTTTTTGTGGTCGTTTTGTGTCTTTTTGTGTCACTTTGTGGTCGTTTTGTGTCACTTTGTGTCTCTTTGTGGTCGTTTTGTGTCTTTTTGTGGTCATTTTGTGTCTCTTTGTGGTCGTTTTGTGTCACTTTGTGTCTCTTTGTGGTCGTTTTGTGTCTCTTTGTGGTCATTTTGTGTCACTTTGTGGTCGTTTTGTGACGCACACACCCCAGTACATGCTTTATGGTGAGCATGTGAAACAGTCTAATAATTAATTTGTTGAAGAGGATAAAAATAAACTGTTCACTCCATGTGGGGAATAAACACACAACCCTTTAATTGACAGCCCCATGCTCTACCGATGAACATGCTATCGACACATGAACAACTTAAATTATCAAACACAATTGGCCTGATGCCAGACTTACGTGCCGACCCCTGCGCTAGACTATAGTTTTTTTTTCTCAAGATCTTAAATTAATTATCTATTAATTAATATTTCATTATCTCGTAAAAATGATCCCGTTATCTCAGGAAAACAGCTTTTCTTATTTCAAGATAGTGACATAAAAAATCTGGAAATCTTGAGAAAACAGATTAAAGTAACCCATTATCACGGGAAAACTGAGTAAAATAATGGATGAATTTATGGCCGTTTAGGGCTTCAGTACTGCAGAGATAAACTCAGACTTGTCTCCTTCAAATTATTGATTTTGAATTACTTAATATTCCAAAAAGAAACGCAGAGAGAAAGAAGTTGCACTTCACCATCAATGTGTTGCTTCCAGTCCGCTGGTTTCTGCTTCTTTATTTAAAACACAGCGTTATTTTCAAACCTTCCCTCGTTGTACTCTTCTACATTCGTTAAATCTTGACTCTGGCTTGAAGGGAAGTTCCTGTAATCTGACTGCTCAACAATGCGTCGAGCACTTGGGTTGAAACATACAAACGCCTTCACTCGTGTTGGAAATGAATTATTTATTGTCTCAGATCCTCCTGCAGCAGTTTGAACAGACTGAACATGTCGACAAAATGCAAAAGATCCATCCATACATCTATACCTGCTTATCTGTGCAGGGTCGCAGGGGGCTGCAGCCAATCCCAGCTGCCAGTGGGCGAGAGGCGGGATCCACCCTGGACAGGTCGACGGTCCATCACAGAAAAATAAAAAAGATGTCTTAAATAAACATCATACAGTCGTATACAAAAGTTTAGGCACCCCTGACAATTTGCATGATTTTCATTTATAAATACATAATTGGGTATTTTTTTTAATTTTGAGCTATCAAATCTGCATCAAACGACGATTTTGCATAAATTTGGACCCCCAACAGAGATATCACATCAATACTTAATTGAGCTTCCTTTAGCAGAAATAACGGCCTCCAGACGCTTCCTGGAGCCTGTAATGAGTGTCTGGATGAAGGTATTTTGAACCATTCCTCCTTGCAAAACATCTCCAGTTCAGTTAGGTTTGATGGTTGCCGAGCGTGGACAGGTTGCTTCAAATCTCCCCACAGATTTTCAATGATATTCAGGTCTGGGGAACGTTGTACTTGTTCCTCTGCATAAATGCCAGAGTAGATTTTGAGCAGTGTTTTGGCTCGTTGTCTTGTTGAAATATCCAGCCCTGGCGTAATTTCGACTTTGTGACCGATTCCTCTACATTATTCTCAAGTATCTGCTGATATTGAGTGGAATCCATTTGACCCTCAACTTAAACAAGACTCCCAGTACTGGTACTGGCCACACGGCCCCACAGCATGATGGAACCTCCACCAAACTTTACTGTGGGTAGCAAGTGTTTGTCTTGCCGCCATGCATAACGCCCCTTGTTATGAACAAATAACTCCATCTTTGTTTCATCAGTCCACAGCACCTTCTTCCAAAATGAAGCTGGCTTGTCCAAATGAGCGTTTGCAGACCTCAAACATTTATCTGTTTGTGGCGTATGTGCAGAAAAGGCTTCTTCCGCATCACTCTCCCGTACAAGCTTCTCCTTGTGCAAAGTGCGTTGAATTGTTGAACGATGCACAGTGACACCATCTGCAGCAAGATGATGTTTTAGGTCTTTGGAGGTGGTCTGTGGGCTGTTTCTTTCACCATCCTTCGCCTTTGGCTCTCCGATATTTTACTTGGCCTGCCACTTCTGGCCGTAACAAGAACTGCGCCTGTGGTCTTCCATTTCCTCACTATGTTCCTCACAGCGGACGCTGACAGCTTAAATCTGTGCAATAGCTTTCTGTAGCCTTCCACTAAACCATAATGTTGAACAATCTTTGTTTTCAGGTCATTTGAGAGTTGTATTGAGGCCCCCATGTTGCCACTCTTCAGAGGACAGTCAAAGAGAACAACAACTTGCAATTGGCCACCTTAAATACCTTTTCTCCTGATTGGATGCACCTGTTTATGAAGTTCAAGGCTTAATGAGCTCACCAAACCAATTGTGTGTTCCAGTTAATCAGTGCTAGGTAATTACAGGTATTCAAATCAACAAACTGACAAGGGTGCCCACATTTATGCACCTGTCTAATTTCGTTTTGATTGCACATTTTCAACCTCTTTTCACTACTGAAATAGCGACCAAAGCGACTTGCAATTGCTCTACATGTCAGAGGTCTCACGCCTCTGGTTAAGTGTCTTGCTCAGGGACACAATGGTGGATGTGTCACAGTGGGGAATTGAACCCAGGTCTCTCACACCAAAGGCATGCGTCTTATCCATTGCTCCAGCACCACCCCCAAATTATTGTTTATTACTGTGTCTTTCAGTTATTTGATAACTCAAATTAAATTGCTGATCCAAAAACCTAATTATTTATAAATTAAAATCATGGAACTTGTCAGGGGTGCCTAAACTTTTTCATACGACTTCATCACTCTAACTGACACCTTACAGACAGAGATGAGGATAGTGTCACAGTGAAGATCATGTGCTATAAGATTTAATATGTGATTTACATAACACACAGTACTATCTAACATCAGGCTTTAATAAACTATTTAAACACTGGGTTTTATATGAACGGGATACTATAAAGAGAAGACGATACATAACAAGAGAAGCTGTGTCCCAGATGTAGGACTGCACACTGAGTCCAAGCAGGTTTCGAGTCTGCGTTGTGTTCAGGTGTGTACACGCTACTGTACGCTACCCGAGACCACTTACTCAGGCTGTCCTCTCTGCCCTCAGTAGTGGAGGATACGGCTAATCCTCACAGACGGTGGCCCAGAATAAACATCCATAAATCCACTAAGAGATCAGAGAAAGACGCTGCAGAAGCTGCCTGAGAAGTTTTCTTCAGCATCTCAGTAAATCCTGCGAGAGCTGTCTGTACATCCATGCTAACAGGAGATGCTAATTCAGCTACTGTTAATGGAGACCGTTTGACTGATGGTGACCAAATACAGGCTAAGAAGAGAAGAGCAGCAACGACCCTGCAGCTGACATGACAGCAGCACAGCTGACCTCGCTCTCCTGATGGCTTTAATCTTTTCTGTCGTCATTTTGGTTCCTAAACAGGCCGATATGTTGGTGTTAGCATGTTAGCATCTACCAGATTAGCAGCAACATTTTTGACTTCCTGTATTTTCACACAAACGTCAAAAGAAATAAAGTAGAAGGACCAGAAGTCCACAGAAAAACCTCAGAGATCCACTTTAAAATACAAAGACGGGATTAAAATCAGTGGCCCGCAGGAGATGTTAAACCCCGCCCCCCTGCAGACGGTCTAGATATATGTTGTGTATACTGATCCCGGTGTGTTGTGTGGAACCGGGACTCGCTGTCTGCGTCCTGGTCTTCAGTCGCTCATCTCTCCCAGCGAGTCTTCTTCAGTCTTTCGTCCAATCACTTCCAGGTGCATCGTCTTCTTCTCCGCCTCCTTCTGTGGTTTCTCTGATTGAGCGTACCAGGGCTGAGGGGTGGAGCTATTGCAGGTCCGGCCTCCTCTGCGGAAGCCTCCTCTGCCGGCTCGGACCAGCCCCCAGCCCTGAGGCTGGGCTTCAGAGCTGCCCTCCTGGACGCCCTTGATCTGGTCCAGCTCCTTGGCGCTGAGAGACGACATCCTGACGGGAACCGTGTTGCCGAACTTGGAGTAGTTGACGCAGTAACGGCCGTCCTCCTCTGTCATGATGGAGACAAAGCGCCTCCCCCACAGGATCTCCTCGGGGGTGTAGGAGGTCCGGGCCTGCATGGTGATCCCTGTTGTCTCCACCACACCTACAAAATAAGAGAACATTGAGTAGTTCAGACAGAACTGAGTGAGTACTTATTACTGTGGATCCACATTGACAGGATCCAGGTGTTCCCGACCTTCCAGGACGACGATGATCTCCAGGTCTTCGGAGGCCAGGGACTGGGCGGAGAGCTCGTACAGAGGACTCCCTCTCTCTATGGTGTGGCTGATGATCAGAGGAGAAACCAGGAAGATGCCGTTACTCCGCAGAGGGTTCTCCACCTGGATGTCCAGCTGGCACACCGGGATCACCTCACCCTCCGCCGTCACCGTCCGCCGGATCACCTGAAAGGGAGAACTTCAGTCTTAACACCCAAACACAGAATCAGTACCAGAAAACATGAAGCTACAGCAGCAGCTGGTTAGCTTAGCATAGCATAAAGACTGGAAACAGCTAGCCTGGATTTAGTGTCTGTGGTTGTTTTGTGGTTGTTTTGTGGTTGTTTTGTGTCTCTTTGTGTCTGTTTGTGGTTGTTTTGTGTCTGTTTGTAGTTGTTTTGTGTCTGTTTGTAGTTGTTTTGTGTCTGTTTGTGGTTGTTTTGGTCTCTTTGTGGTTGTTTTGTGTCTCTTTGTGGTCATTTTGTGGTTGTTTTGTGTCTCTTTGTGTCTGTTTGTGGTTGTTTTGTAGTTTTTTTGTGTCTGTTTGTGGTTTTGTGTCTGTTTGTGGTTGTTTTGGTCTCTTTGTGGTTGTTTTGTGTCTCTTTGTGTCTGTTTGTGGTTGTTTTGTGTCTCTTTGTGTCGGTTTGTGGTTGTTTTGTAGTTGTTTTGTGTCTGTTTGTGGTTTTGTGTCTGTTTGTGGTTTTGTGTCTGTTTGTGGTTGTTTTGGTCTCTTTGTGGTTGTTTTGTGTCTCTTTGTGTCTGTTTGTGGTTTTGTGTCTGTTTGTGGTTGTTTTGGTCTCTTTGTGGTTGTTTTGTGTCTCTTTGTGTCTGTTTGTGGTTGTTTTGTGTCTCTTTGTGTCTGTTTGTGGTTGTTTTGTAGTTGTTTTGTGTCTGTTTGTGGTTTTGTGTCTGTTTGTGGTTGTTTTGTGTCTCTTTGTGTCTGTTTGTGGTTGTTTTGTGTCTCTTTGTGTTGGTTTGTGGTTGTTTTGTGTCTCTTTGTGTCGGTTTGTGGTTGTTTTGTGTCTGTTTGTGTCGGTTTGTGGTTGTTTTGTGTCTGTTTGTGGTTGTTTTGGTCTCTTTGTGGTCATTTTGTGGTCGTTTTGGTCTCTTTGTGGTCGTTTTGTGTCTCACGCTCATTCTGTGTCTGTCTGGTCATTTTAAGTCTCTCTGTTGTCATTTTACTTCTGTAAATAGTAATTTTTTTCTGTGGTTGTTTTGTGTGATGTTCAGTTCAGCTGTGTCAGACGTCACCTGCAGCTGGATCGTGGCAGAGATGATCATACTTTTCCTCAGGTCTCCGACTCTGAACATAAAGGTCGGACGGCCGTTTCGAGGAGCGATGACGGCGTTTCTGGAGAAGATGAGCGTCTCTGCGCGCCGGTTGGCCTGTGCGGTCTTCATGAACACACAGCCGAGCATCACGGCGTTGATGATCAGGCCCAGGATATTCTGGATGATCAACACGGTGATGGCCAGAGGACACTCTTCCGTCACCATCCTGCCACCAAAACCGATGGTCACCTGCAGCAGACAGGACTGCAGCGTTCACAGCTAAGAAAACCACAACCCACTGCACCTGGATCAGTCAACGAGACCAACAACAGCTCTCACCTGGACTTCAATGGAGAAGAGGAAGGCTGAGGTGAAGGAGTGGATGGCAGTGACGCAGGGGACGGGGCCTGGCTCGCCGTCTGGGCTACGGGGCTCCAGGTCTCCGTGAGCGAAGGCCATGAGCCACCAGATCATAGCGAAGAGCATCCAGGAGCAAAGGAAGGCCGAGGTGAAGATGAGGAAGGAGTGCTGCCACTTCAGGTCCACCATGGTGGTGAAAACGTCCTGCAGAAACCGACCCTGGAACACGCAGAGAAGACAAAGGTAAGTCAGACGGAACAAGGGAAGACGTGCACGTGTATGTGCACAGGGTTAAAAAGTACTTTTCTTTAATTATCAGTGAAAAAGCATCTTTGTTTTTCAAAGACACAAAGACAATCATTTATACTTTTGGAGAGCAAGATAAAAAGAGATGTTCAGCATGTTTTGCCCTCTGCCCTACCTGCTCCCTGATGTTCTTGTGAGCCACATTGCAGGATCCGGACTTGGTGATGAAGCGGGCTCTCTGAGATCTGGAGCGGTTGCGGTTCGGCTGGTTCTGGTCCTCCGCCAGACGGGTCAGCAGAAAACCGTCCGGCACGAGGCCCTTCCTGGCCAACATGATGCTGCGCGCACACAGATTTAGGTTTATGTTTTATTCATTTAATACGAGTTTACAGAGCCAGAGCAGCTTATGATAAAACTCATATGGAAAAGATTACTGATATACACAAATATACGTTATATGTTGCACAAGACTGGAGATTATTATATTAATTAAATCTCCACACTCCACATTTCTGGTTGAATTAAAGTTTAGTTGTTGGCTTATTATTGCACTTCTGTCTGTGAGAAACACTCTGTCAGGGTCAGACTGGTTAAAGACGTCAAGATTAAACTGTTGAATTCAGACAGTTTTATGTAAAAGAAGCGGATTAGACTAAATGAACGTATTTTACATATTCATCTGCGTTATTCATCCATTCAGTGGGATTTATTGGGATTAACATTGTTACCGTTTCGACAGGGGGCCCGATATTTTTGTTTGAAGGCTGGCTTTAGCCGTCAGTTTCACGGTTTAAACTAAACATCAGGTCACAAATTCAACCGACTCTTAAGATAAGGAAGTTTGTTGTTGTTGAAATCTCTACAACCAAACGTTGTTCGGTATCTCAGAGACAGCAGCATGACGCAAGAGTTAAAACTCACGGCAGGACAGAGGAACTAGACAACACTGTGGAAAAACAATAAAAGGCATATAAACAGTAACAGATATCAGTAATAAATGAATAAATAAAGGCAGCAACTTCCCATGCTATCAGAGAAGAGTTTATTTCACAATAGCATGTTTTGAGTCCTTATCTATGGTTGTCATGTTTGTGTAGAGGTTGCAGCTGCAGCTCTTTGGAAAAATCTGTTCTGTTTGTTTGTTCAGGTTTACATTTATTCATTTAGCTGATGCTTTTATCCAAAGCTACTTACAACTGCTGTACAGGTCAGAGGTCGCACGCCTCTGGAGCAACGAGGGGTTAAATGTCTCGCTCAGGGACACACTGGTGGACGTGTCACAGTGGGAATCAAACCCGGGTCTCTCACACAGACTGCATGTGTCTTATCCTTTTTTTCTTCTGTCACCAATTTTTATTCCTAATCACCACAACCACGAGTCAAAAATAAGCCAGAGCGGTCAAGAAAGAAGAAAATCTGACCAAAAGCAAAGAAAACATGATTTAACAGCCTTTTTGTTTTTACACTCAGAAAAGGAAAAAAAAATATTGCTTAATATTAGCAGCCTTTTTTAAAAAAGTGTGTCTTATGGTCAGAATCAGAGAAGATTTAGTGCCAAGTAGTTTTTACACATACGAGGAATTTGCTTTGGAGATAAGGTGCTACACGCAGACAAACACACAGCTGCTGTAAATAAAGGTAGAAATATATATAAACATGGAATAGACTGACAAAATATAGAAGAATAACGGTTAACAAGAAGTATATGCAATGAAATAATATTTACATGTGCACAGACATTTACAGTATTTAGTAGTGTTGTAGTACCGGTCTTGGTCTTAAGACCACTTTTTGATGGTCTTGTCTCGGTCATTGAGGACTCTGGATTTTATTTCAAGACCATAACTTTGGGAACATCAATAAATTGCTTTTGCATTATCTGATTTATTTGTTAACATCCTAACTTTGATTGGAAGTAAAACTTATTTCTTCAAATTCAACCAATAACCCTAATTAGACATGTGTTGTTCCCGTTAATGACTGTCCCCCCTCCCTGCGATGCTGACGTTGATTTCAGCTCTTAATGTTTGTATGTGGGTGTTTTAATGGGAAAGTGGATCTTTAACTCTCATCTGTCTTTGCTTCATCACTTCCTCTCCGGTGTTTCGGCCCTGATTGCAACTCATTGCCCTTACCTGTCTCCTGGTTTGCTCATTTGCTCACCTGCAGCTCTTTCCTCATCAGTCTCTTCATATACAAACCAGCCCACCATCAGCTGGTTCCTCCTGCGCCTACTGTTCTGGTTTTGCCTGAAGTCTGCCTTCTTTTCAGTATTTGCATATTCTGGGTTTTCCTCTGAGTATCCCCCCCACACACACACACCTCGGCTGCATAATGCATTTATTTACTGTATCTATACTGGCCCCAACACGCCGCTTCAGGGTCTGTTTGCGGGTTTCATAACGATTAAATAATAGTTTCAGGTCGAGAGCCGCTCATCTCTACAGAAACACCATCCATCACCGTCAACAGCCATTCAGAGAATAGAAGATTTAAAAGCCACCGACAGTTTTAATACCCGCACCCTGTAATGATCAGAGTCCGCAGGTGAACGCAGGTGAGGATGTTACCTGTTCAGGAAACAGAGAGGCTCTGAGGCTCCTAAAGGTTTTATTTATGTCGACGTGAGACACATCACGGCATCCATCGTCCCCCCATCAGGTCCTTCATATAACCCCACCAGACCTGTGTCAAGCTAGAACAGGTGATAAGGCAGAGCTTCCGGCTCACCTTCACAATAAAACACCAACCCTTTTCTCCCGCTTACCTAAAATGTCAAACATGATAAAAAACTTTAATGGAGTTTCCTGCAAAAGTCTCTTTAAACGTGGATAGTTTGCGGTAACTAGTCCTGCATGTTGCTGGTAATGAGAACTTTTAGTTAAAGGTTTTTATGCATGTCATTTTTTAGGGACAATGAGCAGCTAAACGACCCACATATAAAAAACAAAATTATTCCTAAAACCAAAAACGAATAAAACAAACCTGCAGAGACATTATGTGACTTTCCCCCCTGTTTCAGTCTCTCCGGATCTTAGTGGTGATGGATGTGATCAAATTTAAAAGACCTTAAGTTTGAAATATTGGACTCGGTTCCGGTGTTGTGTGATCCGGACACGTTGAGCTTGACGCTGCAGGACGCTGAGCAGGTTGCAGAAGCTTCCTGCTGCCTGCAGGGGGCCAGAGAGGAGAGTTTACTTCCTGTAAACACTGAAAATATTTAAAACAATTATATTATTATTAGTTAGTCCCGTTAATTATTCACCGAAAAATAAAATAGATTTATGGACGGATCAACAGTTAAAGGAAACTTTCTGTTCATGGATTACAGGAGTATTAGACATAAATTTACCATTAAATAAAATAACCAGTTTCTTAAAGTCAGAAAAATAAGTAGGAAGACTTTTGGGTGCAAGAAAGTTTAAATTAAAAGTTCCTGTATCTCTTAAATATTCACTGTGTTATTAATCAGTCGCTTTATTTATTCCTATGTTTATTATTGTTTGTCCACTGTTGTGCAGCAGTGAAACAGAAACACACTTCATGTAAAAAAAAAAAAAGTCAAAACAAACAAACAACAGAACAACATAAAGTTTAAATATCTGTAAAAATCAATACAAGTAATTACATTTTATTTAAAAAGCAAGCAAACAGGGCTATTCTTAAAAACAGTAAATGTAAATTTTCTAACCAGCCTGTTTTCTTGATTATCCTTATTGTAAACTGTAACGTGTCATTTCAAACAACATCATTAACCATCATAAACACATTTCCTGGTACAAACCTTTATTTCTGTTTTTTTAAAGGGATTCAGACATTATATGAAATTTTCCCTTCAATTTGTTTAAACCAGCATCCCTCCTGGCTGCTCATCAGGATCAGAAAGAGAATTTATTTATTATTATTTTACAAGTACAAGGGATTTGTGATGGTGATTAGGTGCTCGACATTAACACACAGTTGGCATAAATACATTTATAAATATGTAAATATGGAATGAACAGATGAAACAGACACAAGTTATAAAATAATTTGATCTGTTGATTGATTAATTGAGCTTATTTATTGATTGTAAATATAAAAGTGGTGCCTCCAGCAAGAGATGCCCCGACTACAGAAACCATCAAAAGGAAAAAACACAATAAAGCCAGACGGCTAATTTCCATTGTGGTTCTTATCTATGTGTAAAAGAAAGTAATTTACATGTGCACTATTATTTTAATCTAATTATTGTTATAGTGATGTTAATAATGATCATGGAATGTTTACTTATTTTTATAATTTCTAGATTGTTTGTTTTTGTGTATTTCTTACCGTTTTGTATTAACTCTAATGCATGAAGTATGATTTTGCACTTGAAAATAAAATATTTCATCCTTTTTTCTGGAAGATTTGAAATGACAAATCAACAAAGTAACTTTCACATCACAGAACAATTTAATACTTTCACAACAATTATTAGGAAAATCAAGAGGGAACTGGTACTCTTTTCAATTACAAATATAGGATATAGGATAAATAAATAATAAATATAATAAAATAAATATACATCTGACCACAAAACCTGGTAAAAAACATTTTAATATGTTTTTTTAGATGTTGCTACACAAGTACATATTTTTTTATTGTCAAGTTAATAGTGTCTAAACATCTAAAACTAATGAAATTTAGCTCAGCCTTCACTCGCACCACATCATATCAATTCCTCCATCTCATTGGTTACTTTCTGACATGTCAGGGTCAGTGTCAAATGTTAAAATTTTAAAGGATTCAAGTCAATTCAATCTAGCTCTATTGGCATGAATGTTCAATATTACCAAAGCTACAAATAAATTACAAAAGAACAATTAATTTTACACAGTTCATTAAATAAAGTTAATAAAAAAGTAAAAGTGTATGTTTGTGTGTGTAAAAAAAAAAAAGTTAAAAAGTAAAACAGTAAACGTGTGCGTGTTAAAAAATAAAAATAATACATATTAAAAATATAAATAAATAAATAAAACAGTAAACGTGTGTGTGTATTAAAAATAAAATAATACATATTAAAAATGTAAATAAATAAATAAAACAGTAAACATGTGTGTGTTAAAAAATGAAAATAATACATATTAAAAATGAAAATAAATAAATAAAACAGTAAACATGTGTGTGTTAAAAAAATAAAAATATATATTAAAAATTTAAATAAATGAATAAAACAGTAAACGTGTGTGTGTTAAAAAAATATATATTAAAAATTTAAATAAATGAATAAAAAAGTAAACGTGTGTGTGTGTTAAAAAATAAAAATATATGTTAAAAATTTTAATAAATGAATAAAACAGTAAACATGTGTGTGTGTGTTAAAAAAAAAAATATATTAAAAATTTTAATAAATGAATGAAACAGTAAACGTGTGTGCGTGAGTGTATATTAATAGACAAAAATAAATAAATAAATAAAAAACAACTAAAAATCAGTATCAAATGTGAAATAAAAAAATAAAAATAGAGGAACAATAATAGATAATATCTGTGGGTAACTGAGCCCAGAAAGGATTCTGTTGCCTGAGGTCAACGCAGCCTCGACCGACAGGTGGCGTCGGTGAGTCGACTGCCGATAACAAACAGCAGAAGAAGAAGAAAGACTTTCTCTTTCCGGTCTGCGCCGGATGTGCTGTTGTTTATGGATGTAGGAGCCGAAAGCGTGAAAATATGGCGAACACATACAGAAGTAATGTTTTTTAAAAACAGATTCAGAAAGATAAAAGTTCTGTTAATGTTTTTGGGATCAAACTCACAGCTGCATTTAACCGGGGACGTTACTGCTGTGCGATGCTAGCTGAGATGCTAACTGCTAACGATAACGGATCTGATGCTTCTAACCGATAAACAACGTGAAAAACTTATTAAACGTGTTAGTGACAGATTATAGGACAGTATACTTTAAAAGCAGGTATGCTGTGTAAAATCCTAATAAATTAATAATTAAAATTAATTCATAATAATAATCTATTTTATTTATTTATATAACTTTTACATTTACTGATGTGGCTTTTATTCAAAGTGACTTACAGGTGCGGAACAACATACTAGCGCCAATAAAGTAAGAGATCTACAAGTTACAATAAATACTAAGAGCTGCCTGGAGGAAGAAGTGAGAGTTATAGAATAGTGCAATCACTACAGGAGAACTGTGAGGAGACAGAAGAAGAAGAGCACAGGAAGTGCATGTCAGAGGTCAGAGGTGTTATCAGAGGAAGTGTTCTCAGAAGAGATGAGTTTTCAGGAGCTTCTTGAAGTCAGAGAGGGACGCCCCTGCTCTGATGGCGTGCGGTAGCTCGTTCCACCATCGTGGGGTCACAGATGAGAACAGGGACTGAGGTTGCTTTGTGTGAAGGGAGGCAGGCGGCGTTCATTGGAGGAGCGCAGTGGCCCAGAAGGAACTTATGGAGTTTAGGTAGATGGTGCAGACCCAGTGGTCACTCTGTATGCAGCATCAGGGACTTGGATTTGATTCTGGAGGCCACGGGGAGCCAGTGGAGGTCACAGAGTAATGGAGGGACATGAGTCATTTTGGGCTGATCAGATACCAGACGGACTGCTGAGCTCTGAACCATTTGTAAAGGTTTCACCTCACAACCTGGAAGAGCTGCTAGGAGGCAGAGAGGTAACCACGGGCTGTACCAGGAGCTGTGTGGCGTACTGAGTGAGGTAGGGCCTGATTCTCCTTATGTTATAGAGCAAAGAGGCACGACCGACAGACAGCTAAAAGGTACTGAAAGGCACTTTACAAGGTCAAAAATACAAAACAAGATCAGCATAATAACCACAAACAATAACAACTTAAGATTACTATTAAAACTTTAAAAGCAAAACAGCATGAAAACGGGACAGAAACAAAAAGAAAACGGGTTAAAAGCAGCTTTATGCAGATGGACTTTGAGTGCCGTTTGCAAGTGATGTGGACTGTCTGAGGTGATGAGGGAGGGGCCAGTAATGGAGAAGGCCAGGTCCCCCCCAGGTTCTGTACTTGAGGCAGGTGAGAGGATAAGGAGTTAAGCGTCTGCGGATCTGAGGTTGTGGGTGGGAGTATGACGGTGTGGGAGGTGACGAACGTTTCAGCAGCTGAGCTCCACAAAAGTAACTAATAAATGTATTGAAGGAAAAAGTATAGATCCCTTCTGAATGTGGTAGAGTAGAGGTAAAAAGTATAAAATGAGATTACACAGTACCTCAAACTTGTACCGAAGAACATTTGAGTACATGTACACCGCTGATTTTAACCTTTATTTACTGCGGTAATCTGCAGGAGAAACGCAACAAAACAACCTCTAAAATCATTTTTTAGTGTCGTTTCAGATTTATTCAGTTTTGTGGTGCTGAAAGTACTGAAGGCGGTATTTACTGGTGGGGTATCAGTCAGTCTGAGTTTGTTGCTAGTGAGTAATCTTGATTAGTTTATCGACCAAAGCAGGCCCCGCCCCCATTAGCTGTGGATGACCATGAAAGAAAACCACTGAAACTGTGGATTCGGTTGTGAAAGCAATTTCAATTATTGTGCAGCCCTAATTCTGACTCTTGTCACAGACAGAGATGAACGTGTTGCTCTGGCTGCAGATACAGACGACTGAGCAAATGAGTCTTAGAGGAGGCAGACGATAATAAGGTGGTGAAAACCTAAATATTGTCTGATGATGAATCTGTTTCCTCAGTGACGGACCGAGACATCAGACTGATGATACAGCTTCGTGCCACCAACGCAGCCATCTTCACCGGCAGGAGGAACTCCGCCATGAGAGGCTGGAGGTCAGTCTGGTTTCCACCATCATCCATCAAACTGCATTCGGATACTCAGCCCCTCTGCACCAATCTCACTCAGGAGACCACATGTCCTACTTAGCATACATGCAAAACACTAAAGAGCGGGTCACATGGTTCAGGGGCGGCTGTAACACCGTGATTGTAATGTGCACGAGGTCAAAAGGTCAGCAACTGATGAAGAAAGCTGTGAGTGTGCAGGAAGGTCACGTCCGTCTGTATGACTGCTGCACCACTGATCTGTCCTCTCTGCTCCCCTGCAGGGCCATAAGAAAGGAGATGGGGCTCCAGGGGATGCTGTCAGCACGGCAGCTGAAGAAGAAGTGGGACAACTTGAAGGAGAAGTACAGGGTCAGTCCAGCTGAACTCCTCCTGCAGGGCAGAGGAGGAGCTCACTGAAAAGATGGTGATGAAGTTTGGGGGGCGAATTATTCCTTTTCTGGTTGTGTTTACATTCAGTGTTTCTCTCACGTGAATCCCTGAGGTCTAACACACCAGAGACCAGGGGCGAGAACCGATACTTTGGTACCATGTCGATGCCAAAATTCTGAAAACATAATGGCACTTGTTTTCTAGCTACCGGGGATCCAACACTTGGAAGATGGTGACAAGTGCAGCTGCAGCTCTGCTGCTCAGAGTCAAAGCCTGGATTTCTGCCAGTTCTGTTGGAGAGCTGATTCAGGCAGACTGTACTGTAGGAGGAGTATGGGAGTGTCTGAAAAGGTCGATACGATCCATTTCAATCATCAATAAACAATTGATTTTTAATACAAAAATCTTACTGTTTGTAAAGAAATGTTAAGTAATTTAATTAATGATGCACAGTGCAAGGTTGTAATTTCAGTATCTTACTCATTTCTGGATATATTGACATCAAACCACCTCTCATCTGTCCAGGCGCCTCATTTATAAAACTGTGCGTAGAAACATCACTAAAAGTGTCCGTGCGCCCAAACGTCAAAAAATACTCTAAGACTTCTAAAACCGTGCGTACGCAATCTGTGTGAAATGTGGCCCCTGTGAGGGAGCTCCATGTCCGAGCCTCCAAACAGCCACAGCTGCCTGTAGACGCTCAGTGAAGCTCTTTAATATTAATCCGTCCTGACTGCAGGAAGAAAAGGAGGCAGACTCTGAAAACTGAATCTAACTCAGTGACGCTGACGTTCCTTTTGGTGAAGCTGAAGCTGTTTGGTGGTAAAAAACGCACTTTCACTAACGCTTGTGCACTGGAGGAAAGGGGGCCCCTTTACAACCAATCTGCAGAGAGAGGCCTCCGTCCTCATTCCACTTGTGTTTAAACATTTATTTACACAAACCGTCCGCTCACTCAACGAGGCGGCCGACCAGTTAAAAAAAAATAAATGACTTGTTGTTTTCCATAATGTGTTTTTACAAGCAGCGCGTCACATCCACACGCTGGCGCTCAGCGTTTGGTTCCATAAGGAAACGAACATCTGATAACAAGATATGAAACTCTCCTATTTGCTTGACTGACGCACTGAAAACAGCATCAGTTTAAATGTAATTTGTCTCCTGTTCACCTTATTTAGGAGAATAAATTAAGTATTAACTAATATGACTCCTGATTAAACTGTCCAACATGTATAACGTTCTTTTGCAGAAACAGAATCTCCGTTTGTGTTTCTGATCCTGAATCTGGATCTTTTTGTGGCTGCCAATGATCTTAATGATGATTTTTTGCCACTTCAGGGAGAATCAGTCAAACGGCTGTTTGTTTATTCAGAAAGGCTTTAAGCCTGGAATACTCAGAGGGAATATCTGGATTTATTTTACACAGCAGTAGGCCTCTTCATTTCAAACCGTTTCATCCTTCTGCCATGTGAGGCGCCGTTTCTCTTCTCGTGTGCATGATTCAGAGTTTACTTACAGGACGCACAGGTCTGGTTTTAAAGATCACAACCTTTGCTTGGGAAGTGGCGTCCGCACGTTTCCAGCCCTGTTTAGTTCGTACGCACCGTTTAGAAATGAGGGTCCTGGACATCCTCTTACAGCTTTTACAGCTGCCAGTTGTTTTTTATAATGTTCAAATGTTTTTATTAAAGGAGTGTACGTTGAAAGACATGATGGGATTTATTGTTTTTGTTTTTTCCATGGCATCAAAATTGATTATCGTGGAATTTTACTGGTGTTGGTTTCGACTCTCTGGTATCATGACGTCCCTACTACAGAGTCAAAACCTGTTAAGATTTAGTGTGAAGTCTGGATTTGGAACACAATCCTGCACCCCAAGCAGACTCTCTGCAGGTCCGCAGAAAGTCTTGCTGATCTGTGGATTTGGACAAACTCGGGTTCGGTCTGTGAGTCTGCAGTTAGTTGTCTTCGTGTTTTATGTGTACTACACATTTGATTCCCCGCCCCCACATCAGTTTGTGCTCGTGTGAAGCACAGGGTTTGTTTTGGTTTCTGCTGCAGCTCTCTGTCCAATCAAAGTTATAAAGTTACATTAACACTAGAGATAAAATCTTCTTTAAAATTCTGATGTCCTTTTCCTGCGTAGGCGCTGAAGAACCCTCCAGAGGGCATGGAGACCACGACCCTGCCCAGCTCGTGGCGCTGGTTCCACCTGATGGAGGAGGCCATGAGTGGCCGCCTTGCCGGGACAGCCAACATCATCCAGCCCTCCCTGCTGGACGAGGACGAGGACAACAACGCGGCCCTGCCTCCGCTCATTATTCCCAACATGGGAGGAGCTTTTTCTGGACTAGTTGGAACGGGAACCCTGGAGGGTGCCGGGACGCCGCAGGAGGTCCTGGATCTAAGTGAAATCGAATCATGTGGGAAAGTTGAGGCAGTGAGCAGAACTGAATCTCCTGCAGAGGTTGTTGCAGCCGAAGGACACACGAGACGCCCCGAGTGCGAGCTGAGCCAGCCGGCTGCACTGTACGTCACCTTACTGCCGGACCGCACCAACGAGACGCCGTCCTCCTCCAGAAACATCGTCAGGGAGGCGTCCGAGGTCGACAGGAAGCTGGCTGAGCTGCAGACGGAGAGGCGGGCTCTGGAGAGAGAGCAGGCCGAGTTCGACAGAGAGCTGATCGCTTTAGAAAGAGACAGAGAGCTGCTGAGCAGAGACATGGCCACTCTCGAGCGAGACAGAACCGCTATAGACAGAGACCGGGCGGCTGTGGAGAGAGACCGGGCGGCCGTGGAGAGAGACCGGGTGTTTCTGGATCGAGACCGAGCCTTCCTGGACAGAGACAGAGCTTTTCTGGAGAGAGACCGGGTGTTTCTAGAGAGAGCCAGGGAGGATTTAGAGAGAGCCAGAGCGCTGCTGAGGAGAGAGAGGGCCGTCCTGGAGAGGGAGGGGGCGGCTGTGGACGGACATCAGGCTGAGATGACGGCGGAGAAGGAAGTGGTACTACAGACCCGGTTCTACCAGAGCCTGATGGCTGCAGACCTGGATCCAGACCAGCTGGAGACCAGACAGAGACTGGTTTCTTTGTTCCAGAGGCTTGTTGAAAAACTGTGAGCGGAGGAAGTATTGTTCTGTCGTATGGCTCGATTTCAGGTGATAAAAGGAACTGTTCTCTATTCCTGGCAGTTTGTTGTTCCTGTTTGCGGCGCTCCTCACGTGTTAATAAAGACTCTGTGTTCGTCTGCTTTGGTGCAGAAACCTCGACTTACGGCTCCTTTACTTTACACTAAGACCAAAGTTGATCATCAAATCTAAAACAGTGGTGCAAGATCTCGCTGAGACTCGAAACACAGACGCTCCAGTTAATTCAGTTGTTTTAATTTTCTTGCTCCAAATAACAACAGAAGTTGCCTCATTGCACTTTTCATTTAGAGCAGCGCGATGCAAAATCCACTCAGAAACACAAACTCAGTAAAGGTAAAGTGGTACAGACAGAAAATGAGTAATGAGACTGATATTAGTGATAACAATAGTCGTTGCAGCAGAGGGTGTCGAGCAGGAACACGGGGGCAGCAGGTGACCCGCAACCACAGATCCAGACTCCACAGCTCCAGAGCCAGAAAACCTGCAGGAAGTGATAGGAGGAGAGAGGAGAGAGACGAGAAAGCACAAGACTACCGGAAAGGGGAGAAGTTGTGTTAGTAACATGCAATAATGGGATATGGTTGCATACAGAGGGAGAGAAAGTAGAGGAGAGAGGAGCTCAGTGCATCATGGGAAATCACCCGGCAGTCTAGGCCTATAGCAGCATAACTAAGGGATGGTTCAGGACTCACCTGAGCCAGCCCTAACTATAAGCTTTATCAAAGAGGAAAGACATCGTATGATTCACCACACAGTCACTCAGACTAACATCATACAGTGAGACTGAGACTGAAATTAGATTGATACAGAATAATGATAATCATCGTATGTGTAATTCCCTAACGCGTAATCTGAGCTGAACAGGACACTGCAGTACAACCTGAGGAGAAGTGGATCAACAGAGCAGCTCTGATTGACACTAAAAGAGATGAAAACCAAAGCAGGCTGCAGCCACGGGGACGTCCTGAGATCACAAAACTTTATTTATCCCTGTATGTGGGGGAGATGGATGATTCACTGGCAACAAAAGACAACTGAAATTTACAAAAACAATTTACTACTTATTGTGACGGCCCCAGGTTTGGGCCCTCTCTTGTTCTTTGTATCTTGCTGTGTTCTGTCCCTTTAATCCAGGTAGTTGGTGGGTGGAGCTGATACCTGGGGCGGTTTGCAACGTTTTCTGATTGAACGACACGCTTCGAGGTACGTTTTCTCCCGTTTGGTGGGCGTGTCTTAGGTGTCACCCAATCAGCTGCCACAAGTTTGTAAACACAACCTTGTTAGAAAGGCACCACCGTTTCCATTGAAAAAAACTTTTTGCTACGTTTTGTAACATGAGCAGGCAGGGAACAGGTGGCTATAAAGATCCTGCTGGATAATGTTTCTCTCTCTCCTCCTGGCTTGCCGACTGATTCTGTTCTGTTTTTTTCTGTGTTTTACACAGACACTGCATACATACTGATCCGATGGACACCTACAGTTGTATATTTTGCTTAATTTACTTAAAATATCTAGTATTATTTTCAGACTGTGTGGTTTTCCGCTTTCGTCACTTACTGTTGAGCCATTCACTCATTTCACTACAAAAAGTGAGCTCTCAAAAACAAGGGGAAAAAAACATTAAAATTGGGGCAATATTACTTAAAATAAGCAAAATTATCTGCCAACAGAACAAGAATATTTCACTTGCTACTTAAGGCCAAAAAAGGCTGAAACAAGTGAAATTCTCTAACATAAAAGCCGCCTGGTAAGAAGAAATATCAAAAACAAATGTATTTAGCCTTCAATTAAGATAATTAATCTTACTAAGATTTTAGTTTTTGCAGTGTTGGCAGGTGCTTTTATCCAAAGTGACTTAAATTTGAGGAACAACATACAAGCATCAATAAAGCACTCAAACATTTATAACTGTGGACCTAACAGCTTTTTAGAAATTAGACTTAGCTTATTGACAGCAGTCAAAAGAAAGAATGATCAGGTGCAGGTGGGCAGCCCCCCTGCTGTGCTGGGTAACATCTGGAGTCCCTTCATGCTGCACACACAGAAATGAACAGGTAATTAAATGTGTATTAAAATACAGTTATTTAAATACATATATATAGACACATATCCACCGCTAACCTTCGTCAGTTATTATTAAATATTTACCAGATATATTGTTTAATTTCTCTGAAACTCATCCATGGGTATACTGTTTCACCGTTTCATGTCTCTGAAACTTACAGATATATTGTCCATCACTTCTTTTTGTTTCATTTTATTCTATAATATTCTATATTCTTTATTATTTTTATTGTTTGTTAGTTGCTTCCTGGAGCTGGGCACAAACACATTTCACTGCACGTTGTATTGTGTATGATTGTGTTTGTGACAAACAAAACTTGATTTAACTTCATTTAAATTTGATTTGTTGATGCTGATACTTTACAGCAACAATAATTGGTGCTGGAAGCACTTCTAAGTATTTACAGAAGGACCAAACTGAAAGGAACACAGATAGCCACTACAGCCCTCAGGCAGCAGATACAGATCCCTCACAGTCAGGAGTAGAAACACAATCTTTTTAATGTTTATTGCCTATTTATCATGTATTTATTTTGCTTTAGGAGCTTTACTTTACTCACACGGACCTATGTGACGTGTGTGTGGTATATTGTGCCATGTGTTTCTGGAATGTGAACAGTACAAGCACTGATGCTCCGCACAAATGAAGTTCCTAACGGATAAATAAAGTTCATTGAAATTAATTTAACAGTAGGCTACTTACATTTCTATTTACATTTACTCATTCGGCAGACACTTTTATCCAAAGCAACCAAATATAAGCATGCATAAATAAAAATAGAATGAGTAGATCAAGTTTTAGTGTAAATATCTGTACATTGCACCACGTTTAAGCAAAAAATTTAAATTTTTATGTAAGAAATGATAGGAAAATCAAAGTACTGCATTTTAAAAGTAATTCTGATTCACTATTTACATATTTAATAATTAAATTAAACTATATTACTGTATTAAAAATGAAAAGTCTCTAAAATAATATTATTAAATATATAATATTATTAAATAAATAATATTTACTGTTTCTGCCCAACCCCGCCCTCCCGAGCTGCACGTCACGTGACGGAGTGAAGGCCGGGGTGGAGTTATCGAACGCACTCTCCTCTCCGAGGAAACGGGATGCAGGCTAGCTCCGGTAACGGTTTCATTTACGGTTATTATCCACTCCCGGGACGATGACACAAAATAACGTTACCCACCGGACGTCAGAATCAGCCCGAGCTAACGGAAACCGGAGACGCTGTTTGGCGGGAAGCCCGGCTGTGTGTCGGTTTGTTGTTTAGGTTAGCTGCCGCGCTAGCTCGCTACTAGCTAGCAGCCTGCTTCTGTTAACGGTTCGCTGGGAGTTAGCCTCGGAGGAGGCAGCTAACCGCGGCCCGGTTAAAGTCACGTTAAATCTCCCCCGGGACGTTCCCCACAACGATGGACGGAGACGCGCGGCTGTAGGAGCAACGACGCCGGGTAAACGTGCAGGATGCGCTAGCGGATGTAGTTAGCATCAGGCCTGAACACCAGCACGCCTCCTTGCTTCCTTTCCTCCCTCCTTCCTCCCTCGCTACCACAGGAGCACAGACTCTCCTCTCCCGTGATCAGGATGGAGTCAGCCCTGAATGCCCTGCCGCAGTTCCCGGAAAACACCTACAAGAGTGAGTAACCACGTTGTTTGTTTTGTAAACTCGTGAGCTTCTCACCTGTTGACCTTTGACCCTAGGGACAGTCAGAAACCACAAGTTTAGTAGTGGACACCGAGACCAGTGGAACTACACGATTCTCGATCCCAGGGTCAACAACTAAGTCCCCTGTACTTCAGCACACACTCCTTTAAAGGTCCAGTCTGTAATATTTATATTCTGTCTATAGACAGAAGGTCAGTATAATATTCATAACTGTGTTGTCAGTGGTTGTAAAGGCCGTACATAATCAATGGGGCTGCGACTTACGATCATATTCTTTATCGATGAATCGTTCAGTCTATAATTCATCAAGAAATTGTGAAAAATGCTCTTCATAATTTTCCAGAGCACAAAGTGACGTCTTCAAATTTATTCTCTTGTCCAGCCAACAGTTCAAAACCCAAAAACTCTTTGTTTACAGTCATAACTGACAAAAAACAGCGGCAGTTCCTCACATGCGTTCTTCGTACAAGATGAAACCAGCAAATGTTTAACAGTCTTGCTTTAAAAAAAATTGCATGAACTGATTAATTGACTAATCGTTGCAGCTCTAATAATCACTCCTTGCAGGACTTCAGGGGCCTTTTCAGTGCGGCAGGTTTTCTAAAAAATAGTGATGAAATTGTGGTAATAAGTAAACATGCAAAGGTAGATATTTTTAACTTTAGAATAACTTTAGAATTACCCCTGAACCTGCATGTTTAAACCAGCTGACCTTGATTCTTTCTTGCAGCTGAGCGGGACGCAGCAGCCTGTGTCTCAACGTCTCGTCTGACGTCCTTCATGTGTTTCTGACGTTCTCTCTCAAAGTGTTTGTCAGGAGACAATTTCCTTTATGTTGCACCACAATACTGCACGTTCTGCAGAACAGCTTCCCCAGCTTTGGTAAAGAAGATCTGGATCCTGGTCTTCACGGTCCTTTGCTGTTATTCTTGTAGGTAATTGTGAGACGTTGGTATTCAGGGGCAGATTGGCCATACGGGAACAATCCCGAACAGCCGGTCCATACCAGGCCGAACTGTTTTTTATTTTTCAGTCTCTTGTGTTCAACTTCAGATCTGCAACCTCTGTGTCTATCAGACAGTGCCAAACTAATACTTTCAATGTTGAGGGGGATACGGACGGCCCTTCCCAACTTGGACCGATCCTCGTTTTTGCTGCATTCTGATTGGCTCGCCGATCAGAGGAGTTTACTTTCCATCTGGGACGAGTTCAATCTCAATACGTTTTGTCCGGGCTAAACTCAGCCCACGGCTGTGTGACAAGCACAACAGAGAAGGTAAATGTCGAAAAGAAAGATGGAGGAAAAAGAAAGGCCGAAAAAATAAGATTTTAGTAAACAAAAATCTTCTTCCCAGGTAGAAAGTGGAAAGGTGCTCTGGCAGGCACAGATGAGACAGGACCCAGCACAGGCACTAACCTGAGATTATTTATGCATTTATCTGTAGGCATATGGGCCATTTTATATATATTATAAACAACAGTTGAAGGAAGAAGAAGAGGAACAGGAGGAGCTGATTAGAACTGATGTTCTTCTCATTCATACACTGCTCAAAAAGGGAACACTAAAATAACACATCCTAGATCTGAATGAATGAAATAATCTCATTAAATACTCCTTTCTTTACATAGTTGAATGTGCTGACAACAAAATCACACAAAAATTATCAATGGAAATCAAATTTATCAACCCATGGAGGTCTGGATTTGGAGTCACACTCTAAATCTAAGTGGAAAACACTACAGGCCGATCCAACTTTGATGTAATGTCCTTAAAACAAGTCAAAATGAGGCTCAGTAGTGTGTGTGGCCTCCACGTGCCTGTATGACCTCCCTACAACGCCTGGGCTCCTGATGAGGTGGCGGATGGTCGCCTGAGGGATCTCCTCCCAGACCTGGACTAAAGCATCCGCCAACTCCCGGACAGTCTGTGGTGCAACGTGGCGTTGGTGGCTGGAGCGAGACATGATGTCCCAGATGTGCTCAGTTGGGCTGTGCGGCCCCCCAAAGAAATGCCACCCCACACCATTACTGACCCACCGCCAAACCGGTCATGCTGGAGGATGTTGCAGGCAGCAGAACGTTCTCCACGGCGTCTCCAGACTCCGTCACGTCTGTCACATGTGCTCAGTGTGAACCTGCTTTCATCTGTGAAGAGCACAGGGCGCCAGTGGCGAATTTGCCAATCTTGGTGTTCTCTGGCAAATGCCAAACGTCCTGCAAGGTGTTGGGCTGTAAGCACAACCCCCACCTGTGGACGTCGGGCCCTCGTACCACCCTCATAGAGTCTGTTTCTGACCGTTTGAGCAGACACATGCACATTTGTGGCCTGCTGGAGGTCATTTTGCAGGGCTCTGGCAGTGCTCCTCCTGCTCCTCCTTGCACAAAGGCAGGGGTAGCGGTCCTGCTGCTGGGTTGTTGCCCTCCTACGGCCTCCTCCACGTCTCCTGATGTACTGGCCTGTCTCCTGGTAGCGCCTCCGTGCTCTGGACACTACGCTGGCAGACACAGCAAACCTTCTTGCCACAGCTCGCATTGATGTGCCATCCTGGATGAGCTGCACTACCTGAGCCACTTGTGTGGGTTGTAGTCTCCGTGTCATGCTACCACTAGACTGAAAGCGCCGCCAGCATTCAAAAGTGACCAAAACATCAGCCAGGAAGCATAGGAACTGAGAAGTGGTCTGTGGTCACCACCAGCAGAACCACTCCTTTATTGGGGGGGGTCTTGCTAATTGCCTATAATTTCCACCTGTTGTCTATTCCATTTGCACAACAGCATGTGAAACTGATTGTCAATCAGTGTTGCTTCCTAAGTGGACAGTTTGATTTCACAGAAGTGTGATTGACTTGGAGTTACATTATGTTGTTTAAGTGTTCCCTTTATTTTTTTGAGCAGTGTATGTAGCTGTACAATCAGTAAAAGCAGAGTCGGGGTCCAGTACAGGGGAGCTGAGCCGGGGAGAGGCAACCTCAGAGCTGAAGCTGGGGGATTTGATTTTTATGCACACACATACACACTGCTGTATTTTACGAGACTGTATTGTAGTTCCTGAGTATATTTAACTATTTTAGCATTCAGACTCAGGCTTGCCTGACCTGGTCTTGTTGAGTGCAGTGGTGCCCTGCGTATACAAACAAAAAGTTTCTTGAAGGTCTTCAGCATAATGAAATGGACTGTATACAAGCGCAACACTATTTATTAAAATAACTGCAAAAATCTTTCTCCGTGCCCCCACATGGCGCTCGCATAAAAGGCCTCTATGTCTCAAAAGTCCCAGGCTGAATTTCAGTCCCATTACGTCCCTGTTGGTATCACACATGTCTGCTGCATCTTCTAAACAAGGAAGTGAGTTTGCTGACGTGTGACGACGTTTTGCAGGAAACGGAGATGAGATGTCAGATATGCAGAAAAGTCGTCGTGCTGAATTCACAGGGATTTGTTGAATTTGTGTTAAAAGTTGTGAGTGCGACATCGTGAAATCCTGGAGGGACTGAAGAACGAGCAAGATAATGAAATTAAAACGTTGCACTGTGCAAATTTAATTATTAAGTGAGTTACTTATTTTTCTTAACTTTTCTTTACAGTTCCTCAGGTGTGAAATGTTAAATGGTGGTTTCTACCTACCTGCAGTCTGAGAGTTTAATATTGAAAAACTAAACAGTTATTGATGATTGAAATGGATCGTATTGACCTTTTTCAGACGGTCCCTAACTCCTCCTGCAGTAACAGGAGCGTTGGACAGATGTTCATCGTCATCTTTGGTGATTTTCAGGTGATCAAACGTCTGCCTGAATCAGCTCTCCGAACAGAACTGGGAGAAATCCAGGCTTGGACTCGGAGCTGTTGAAACTAACGTCACCTGGTTTCTAAACTCTTTTCTATCGGTCGAGGCTGCAGCTGCACTTGTCGCCATCTTCCACGTGTTGAACCTCCGAACAAAACGAGAACCGACATGTTTTCAGATTTTTAGTATTGACTTGGTACCAGTATCTGTTCTCGTAACGTCCCAACCTTTGTCCCTCTTCCATCTGCAGTGACTGAGGAGGACGTGAAGAGGCTGATCGAGTTCAGGGCGTCCAACGAGGCTCTGTTCACCGGGAAAAGAAACTCTGCCAAGATAGCGTGGAGGTATGAAGCAGGCTTTTGCTTTTTTAAATTGTGTCCGATAGTGAGCGCTCCTCCAAGCTGACCGTCCTGTGTTCCTCAGCACCATCTTGAAGGGCCTCGGCCTCGAAGGGAAGCTGACCGCAGACCAGATCGCCAAGAAGTGGGACAACCTGCGGACAAAATACAAGGTATAAATATGACGCAGGGAGGCTTTGAGTTAGTCAGGAAACATGTGTTGATCTGAAGCAGCAGCGGGACAGAGAGGCGTCTGATCTGCCACCGTGTAGATGAAATGAGCCGGTTCATTAGGCACATAGATAAAACAAAAGTCAGTATGATCCACCAGCCCGGCAGGAAATCTTCCCTTCACGCAGACAATCAGATTGCGTTGATACGTGGCGTCTGTTAGCCGGGACGTTACAGCTGTTCATGTTATTTTAGCCATCACACGCAGCTTCTTCAGAAAATATACACATATTCCAAAATTCTAATTGTTCTATAGTTTAACTGTAATCGTGTGATTGGCAATTAGCCGATCATATGAGAGCTGATCACTTTTTAAAATCTTTGCTCATGTTTATTTCAAAATAAAAGCGCCCTGTGACTCAGTGTAACAGATCAGCTGGTTTTAGCCTGTTACCGGTACGTTAGCCTGAATTAGCCTCATTCGATGGATCTTGTTGTCGTCTCCAGGACCTGAAGCAGCCCTACCAGGGCCAGGACAACATCGGGGGGGTCGTAGAGTCGTGGCCCTGGTTCCACATCATGGACGAAGCCATGCAGGGTCGCCTCTACAACAGCAACCTGGTGCTGAGCCCGGAGACCGCCGCCGGTGCCGGTCACCGGGGGACCAGCCAGCACAACCAGAGCCAGGAGAACACCGACATCCTGGAGTTCCTCATCAAGACGGAGATGGAGGACACGGTGGCAGCAGAAACCGCAGAGGATGATGGGATGGCTCACACGGAGGCGCCTCCTGCTGAGGGAGTCCCGATGGGCTGGAGGAGGATGAGCGAGTGCTCCTATAAAAGTAGGCGGACGCACCTGGCTGAGAGTTTAGATGGTTAAATACAGACGATCAGAGATCGATTAATCGATTAGTTGCCAACTATTTTGATAATTGATTGAATTGAGTCCTTTTTTTTAAAGAAAAAACATCTTTGTTCTCTGATTCTAGCTTCTCAAATATATGAATATTTTCTGGTTTCTTTCCTCCTCTGTGACAGTAAACTGAATGTCTTGGGACAAAATAAGACATGTGAGGACGTCAGCTTGAGATTTTGGGAAACACTGGTTGACATTTTTTACAATTTTCTGGACCAAACAATCGATTAATAGAGAAAATAAAGGACGGATTAATTGATAATGAAAATAATCGTTATATATCAGATCAGAGTTGACCTGCAGGGATCTCACAGAGCTGATGATGAAGCTGTAATCATTTTCAAATTAAGAATTATTGTGTAATTTACTTCCTGCTACGTATCAGCTGCAGTGTTATTGTGGTGGTTTGTGTAATGATGGGAACAGCTTCAGTTATCATTGTTATGATGCTCACTGGAGGATTCTCAAATCTTAACCGACACGATGACAGAATGAAACGATCTTTAATATTTTCATTTTAAGAACGCACACGGTTCAGTCCAGACGGTTTCATAAACCAGCGCTGTACCGGTCAGGTTTTAGGGCGAACTTGTGATGTAATGAACTCTTAAGTCTGCCGTATTTCAGCAGCCTTAAAGTTTTTCTCTCAGTACAAAGAGGGCTGTGAGTAAGACACAGAGTTTAACACTTGAAGGGATCTTTATTTTTCCTGTGAAGTCTTATTGAATTGTGCATCTTCGTGGTTCTTGGTGAACAGTTGATTATAGTAAAATACTGTGCACGACGTGTGTGCACGTTGTGGATTTTGGACTCCTGCTCTTGAAACATTCTTCCTCTTCCAAGCTGCTTAATTCACAATGAGAATGTGTTTATTGTCGTGGCACAAGTACAATGAAATTAGAGAGCCGTCCTTTTCTGTATCAAAGAGCAAATCATTAAATGGAGAAATGGGTATAAAGATAAAATATAACATAAAATAGGTACAAGATAAAAGTACGCATTGAAACTGTTTCAGCACATTAGTGAAAACTGTTCTTCTCGCTCACAGTGACCGAACCAGAAACTGAAAGAATGATCAAACTTCGAGCTGCGAACGAAGCTCTCTTCACCGGCAGGAAACATTCGGCCAAACCGGCTTGGAGGTGAGTTTCAGGCGGCTCGTGATGAGACACAGGGTTGGGTTTAGAGACGAGATTGTAACACTATTTTTAAGAAATCTTCATTACTGTATTATATGAGCATTTTGAGCATCAAACAGTGAATTTCCTGCATCCTGCAAATGTTTTAAAGCAGCGGTTCCCAAACTTTTTAGGCAACGCAGCCCCTTCAACATCGTGACCGGTTTGCTGCACCCCCAAACCCCTTCTCTCTCTAGGTTTGCTTAAACTAAGTGTGACTCAGTGACGCCTTTTGAATCAGTCGCTCTCCCCTTACCCCCTCACTACGCTTCAACAAAGCATGCATCTGTTTTCTTTTCACAGCAACTCTGCATCGCGATATAACGTAACACATTTACTACTTTAAAAAGCAACAGTTGCAGTAAAGCCTTATCTCAGACAAAAAAAAACGTTTCAAAACATCCCCCCTCTGTTTTTAACATGGACAAAAGAGGATCAGAGGATTTGTTCATACAACGCGGGGGGGCTCAGCCTGAGAGAGAAGTGTGTGAGTAGCCTTTCCCTGTGAGCTAACTGTTAAAAATTTAATTTTAAAGAGGTGGTATTCTGCTTTTTGCCTTTTCCCCTCTCCTTTATTGAGTTATACTCCTTTTTGTGCATGTAACAGGTTTGCAAAGTGAAAAAGCCCAAAGTCCAGCCCAAAGTGAGTTCCCATCTCCCACAGAAAACTCTGAACTGAAAACAGCTCGATTGTAGTCCAGCCGCTTCCCTTTCATCCCTGTGACGTCACAGGGATGAAAGCTAAACATGCCTCATATAACGCTCGCCAAGCGGCTACTCCGACACGCCCTCAGAAACAGCGAGCTGCAGCACACAGCTCTCCTCTCCCTTCCAAACACTAGCTACCCTCCAGGCAGTCAGTGGACAGAAAGTTGTTCCTGTGATGTAGAGACAGAGCTCAGTTAAAACTTTATGGATACAGATTAATAACTCACCGCTCTGAAACTCTCGCTCCAGTCCAGTACGGCTGAACCCGAGCCGTTTACCGGCTTCTCGCCGACCCGCCCTTCTCTGCTTCTGATTGGCTAGTAGTCCTTAACTAGGAACTGAGCATGTGCAACTCCCAACAAAGATCATTTAGAAACAAGATGTATCACTCCATAGCTAAAACGAAGCCTTCAACACAGGCTGAAAAGAGGAGCTGCAGCAATGTGCAGTAGGACAAAAATATTAAACCATGTAAACCTGCTCTGGTACAAACTCTAAATAAGATGATGAACCTGAAAATTAGCGGAATACCACCTCTTTTAAATTAAATTTACAAAGGAAAGTTTTCAATTCAGGTTTTTATATCATGAAAAATTCCACAAAAAAATAATTGTTATTACACTAGCACACCACCATTACATTTTTCCTGTCACGCACCCCCAGGGGCGGAAAACACTTTGTAAATCACTGTTATAAAGGAAGGAAACTGAACATGCACAAAGAGTTCTGGTGAAAAACTCTACTGATTGTAAACAGGGTCTTCAGTCAGGGATTCAATCTGAGTAATTTCTTGCAGAGCCATTCTTTATGAGCTGGGCCTTCAGGGGAAGCTGACCACAGATCAGTTAGCAAAGAAGTGGGACAACCTGAAGAGGAGATACAAGGTAGGTCCAACCCCCTCCGACTCCACAGACAGACCATGACTCGTGGTGACGTCTCTGTTTAGGCGACGCTGGGCCTCACATAAGAGGTGAAGTGACACGTACGAATGATTTAAGAGAACTTTACGTCACATTTACCAACTTTCTCTCAGGAACAAAGTCCAGATAGTCTCCTTTCAACACAAGAGGAAACACTTGTTAGCCTTAATCTGAATTCATCTGGAGTTTAAATATGAAATGAACTACAATATATAAATAAAATCTAAAAAAAATAAACTTTGTGTCCTCATCGTACTTGACCACTCTGCTGTTTAAAGATCCAACGACAGCACCACAGGTAGATTAATATGGCAGTTTGAGGAAGGCAAACATGCTAAACTATTTTCTACTATTACTTACTAAGTAAGTAGTATGAAAATTTCATGTCAAGATTATAGGTGTGACGGTTATCAGTGTTATCACGGTGTTGTGAAAATGTGCCGAAACACACACTGAAACCATTTCATCAAGTTTTATTTTTAAAACTACAAATAAAATTTTGTTTGCGTAAACATTAAAATAACAGCCAAATGAAAACCATGTAAGTGTGCATTATATAGATTTTATATGTTGTATTATATATGTCATGCAATGAGCCCATGCACAATTAGACGGAAACAAATAAGTCAAACTGCAGTCTGCAGCGTTTCTCCCGTTCTGACACTTTTACAACTAATTTGATCGCTGCTAGATTTAAAATGAACGAGATGTGCTGGTTGGTTGACTGAACGGCGTAACGTGTTCTCGTGTGCAGCGGACGAACAGTCTGCAGACAAGCGACGCACACAGCAGCAGAACAACGTGCAGCGTTTTTACAAGAGCAGCAACTCTGAGGGCTTCAGCTTACAAGCTGTTAGCAGGTCAGACAGACAAACCAAAGCTAGAAGTTAACTCAGGTCTTTTCTTCAATCAAGTTTCCCTCAGCGCTAAAAAACCCACTCTGCATACTGCGCCTGCTTCTGGGAGACTGTCTAACTTCGGTTGATGCTGGACAGGATTTGCCTTGAGTTTATAATGGCGCGGTAACCAAACACGGTTGTCATAGTAATTAAAATGTGTACATTAATAATAACAGGCAGGACTTTTTATCGTAATCGTTTCAACCCTGTTAAGGAGCTGATTATATTTTTACAGTTTGAATAATTGGAAAACCTCTGCAGAACAGTCATTTCCTCCAGCCTAAGCTGGTTTCATCATGTCATTATTTTAGCTGACCAACTGTAGCGGCAACTTAAAAACCTTGCAGGACATAAAGTTTCTGACTCGGCACATTTGTAAAATCCAGTGAGGCAAGGAGGCAGATGTGTGATGTCATTTTATTGGACACAAACGATGACAGTTACAAAATAAAACGTCTCCAGCAGGAGTCCCAAATATGTGTTCTGAAACAAACAGAAAATATTACTAAATGAAACACAAAAAGAAAACTAAATATAATTTAGGAATATCTGGAATCTTTGCTTGAAAAATGACCAAAGTAGTTGCCGATTAATTTTCTGTTGATCGACTACTCGTTGCAGCTCTACTAATCATCAAATCTCTAGAACGGTTACTGACTCGTGAACACGGCGCTCAGCAAGTTGAAAGGAGCGAGTTCAGACAGTCTGGTGGATCCGACTAGGAGCACTAATACAAACAAACCTCACAAGTTGGAGAGGTTGAAGATTCCTGAGGCCGGATGTTTGTGGGTTAACTCTTCTCATTACTTCACAGGCCAAATGTTCCTGCCATCACTCTGTTATTAAATCCTTTCCAAATTAAAATGCATAATGAAATGGTGGCGTAGAGAAACAGAGATGTCCCAGTGAGTCATGGGTAACAGGAGCTGGTGCTGGTGGCGGTGTTGACAGGAGGATAAGGTCCCTCTGTGGACGATCTGTAGCGTTTTCTGTCTCCACCAGGAGTTGAAGTTTCCTGCTCGCGGCGTGGAGACGAACCCGAGCTCCTGGCCCTGGTTTTACCGAATGAACGACGCCATGGAGGGACGATTCGCCGGGGCGGCGCCCATCCTCACGCCCATCGTGGAGGACGAAGACGAGGATTGTGAGCCCCTGTCGCCAACGCCCAAGAAACGAGCACGCCGGAGCCGAGGGGGAATGGCCGAGTTCCTGACGGAGTCGGAGATGGACCTGCTGGTTGATAACGAAGAGAAGAACGGGTCCTCGGCTCTGGGAGATCTGCACCGCATGGCCGAGTTCACATACAAATGTAGGTGTTACGTTAATACAACATGTATCAAAACAGTCGAGTTGCATTGTGGGTAATGTAGGTCCCTGGTTTTGACAGAAGAAGAATGTGTGGAATAAAAGACGATATTTTTATGATATTTTTACTGTCTGCTGACACTTTTACAGGAGTGTGATGAAAATGATCACTGGACTTTGATGACAGCGATATATATCGACTGATTCTGGTTAAACTAAAAGGATCTTATTCATAAAACAAAGGTCTCAATCTGTAGGGATCCTTTCCATAATGCTGTCAGACACCCAAACCCCACTGTCTTCTGATTGTCCCTGAGCAAGACACACTGGGCGTGCGACCTCTGAAATATAGAGCAATTGTAAGTAGCTTTGGATAAAACGTCAGCTAAATGAGTAAATGTAACGTAAAATATATGGAACACCGGCTCCCTCTGGCTCGGTAATAGGTAAACGTTGGTGGAAGAAGCAGTTGAAAACAGAGCGTTCAAAACAGGAGAAAATCGGAGGTTTTTGCTCACAGGGATGTCTTATAAATGCGTTAACCTCAGTTTTTGAAGCTTTGGCTTTTAGTTTAGGTCTCCTTTAAAAACTGTGGAAAATCAGGTTGAAAAATACCGAAGTTACCCTTTAAGTAAAGATTAAACTGTAGAAGTTTGACAGGTCAAAACATTTAGTAGGGCTGCAGCTAACGATTATTGTCATAGTCTATTAATCGGTCTATTTTCTTGATTATTTGATTAGTTGTTTGGTCCAGAAAATTGTGAAAAATGTTGATTAGAATTCCCCAAAGCCCGAGGTGACGTCCTAAAAAGTATTTTTTTGCAAAATACCAGAAGATATTCACATTTGAGAAGCTGAAATCAAAGAATATGGACGTTATTTTGTAAAAAAGGACTCAAAGCGATTAATCTATTATTAAAATAGTTGGCGATTAATTTAGTAGTTGACAACTAATCGATTAATTGACTCGTCGTTGCAGCTCTGACATCTAAATCAGAGGGTGTTTCCTGTCGCACCATCCACAGCGGTTCTGTTTTTGGAGAATGTTTTAGTTCATCTGTTGACAAAGTATAAAATCAGAACTTCACCTTCATTCCAGTGACAGAGGAAGACACCAGGAGACTAATTGAGTTACGAGCTGCGAACGAGTCTCTGTTTACTGGGAGGAGGAACACCGCCAAGCCGGCCTGGAGGTAAAGGATCACAAAATGTCTTTAAAGAAGTTCAGTCTGTGAACATCAGCTGGTTTCCATCCAGCTGTGACTAAAGCCCAGATCCTTGAATAATCCTGGTTTTATGTTGTTAATTAGTTTTTGTTTGTCCGCAGGGGAATAGTGAAGGAGATGGGTCTGACGGGGAAGATAACACCTGACCAGGTCGCCAAGAAGTGGGACAACCTGAAGACCAAATTCAAGGTGACAGCCTTCCACAGTTTGATCTGCACTAAGCCTCAGTCTTACCTGTACAGGAAGGAAAGTCTTATTTTGTTAAAATCATTTGGCGTCATCCCCATTAATTCAGCGTCCAATGAAAAGCTTTCTCATTTTTATGACGCCACCTGAGTGTAGTGTTTCTGGGGGCCGATCACTGATTACTCTACAAAAACAAAAACACATCTTTAGCAACTGATTTTGGTGAAACTGGATCAAATTTGATGGAGAACAATATGTTCTGGTTCTCCCTCTGATGTCCTCCGGCTGCTCTGCTTCAACGATCTGTGATTTACGGCGTTCGCCGATGAACAGATAGCTTTAGCTTTAGCTACTAGCTGCTGTAAGTTCGCTCAGTTAGCCGGCTCTGCCTGGACTGGGAGCTCGGAGCACTGGGGGAGTGTTAGAGTTTAACGTTAAAATTCTGATGTTACTCAAGCCATGGAGGGGGTTTGTAAAGTCTGTAGCCAGGGGCGGGGGGGCCCAGCAGGGAGTGATGGCGGGTAATGTTCCGGAGCCGGTGCGAGCGGGTAATGACACCGCGGTCAGCAGCCTCCCAGTGAACACAGCCTGAACAGGACCGAACACAGTACAGAGGGGATTTAACGTTACAGAGCTTCAGGATGGACAGATCGCTTTAGTTTTTGCTAAACCGTTAAATGCTGCTAACTATCTGGCTGCAGCTGTCTTATCTGTGTGGGGTGGTGATGGCGCAATGGATAAGACACATGTGAGAGACCCGGGTTCAATCCCCCACTGTGACCCTGAGCAAGACTCTTAACCCCTAGCTGCTCCAGAGGCGTGCGACCTCTGACATGTAGAGCAATTGTAAGTCGCTTTGGATAAAAGCGTCAGCTAAATGAATAAATGTAAATGTCTGCATCTGTAGCCAGTTAGCTCGGTTAATTGCCGGGCTGCTAGCGGTCCTATTAGCTGACTCCAGTCCGGTACTGTATTCCCTCTTGTCAGACTGGCCTCTGTCGGTCTCGGATGATGTGTTTGGTCCCGGTGACACCAAAATGTCTCACACACTATCAGATTCTGTGACCCCAGTGGGAAGTTTTGTTGACGATGTTAATCGGCTGCAGTTTGCTAAAAGTACTTGGTTGGGTTTAGGTACTAAAAGTACTTGGTTATGGTTAGGAACTGGTCTGTACAGAGTCTCCAAGACGTTGTGGGGGCGTAACGCACTATCAGCGCTGTTGGCTACTGCAAACGTCAATCAGTATTTGAGACAAGTCCCTCCGTAGCTTTGTGTTTTAACAGGAAACACAATCCGAAAGCAAATAGCGCTCCGGTTTCCGTTTCACGGGAACTTTACATTAGAAGATAAGCTCAGCCTTGCTGTGTATTGGTTAGCTTTTACCTAACTATTTATGTTAGCGCAACGTGTTATCTGCTCGCTAAGTAATGTTAGCTTGTACTCTGCATGTTTGTGTGTGAGAGATTCAGTTAAGTTCACAGTGTTTAGGGCCAATGGGGATGCTCCTCTGAAAACCCGCCCACAACAGACGTTTGAGTCAGTGCTGCAAAACAGTCGGGCAGCGCAGAAGAGAGAATCAGAGGGCCCGCTGTTCAGCCTCATGGCCGCTGTGTCGTCTAACTGGGCCCCTCTGTATTTACAGGACCTGAAGTTTCCTCCTCGGGGGATGGAGGGCCAGACTAACCCGGCCTCCTGGCCCTGGTTCCAGCTGATGAGCGACGCTCTGGAGGGACGGCTGTTGGGAAAAGCTCCCAGAGTGACGCCCGTCTGGAGCAGCGAGGAGGACGGCGTCTTCGGCTCGTCGCCGCCTCCCGACAGAGACTGTTTGCTGGCAGAGAGGAGCAGCGTGTCGGAGCTGGAGAGCATGGTGGGGGGGGACGCCGCCGAGGCTGATGGGAACGTTACCTACATCGACGCCAGTGGGGAGGAGTGTTCGACGCCCTCAGACCTGTCCTATAAAAGTAAAGCTTCTTCTCCTTCTGGGCTTATTAGTATAAATGTTTCAGCTTTTATTAGCATTTTTTATAGTGTTACATTCAAACTTGTGGGTATTTATATTTTGCTTTTCGTATTGTTTTATTTTATAGGCATTTATTTAGTGTGTTTTGGTATTAAATTAGTCAATCGATTCAGAAACAGTTGTTATAGTTGATTGTCAGTTATTTTCTAAGAAAACACCAAATGTCCTCTAGTTTTTACGTCTTTAGCTGAAGAATATTTCTGCTTTTATATCTCAGTCAACTGAATCTCTGTGGGTTCTGGACAAAACAAGACATTCTTTAAAAATATTAAATAAAATTAGACCCTTGAACTTTGGGACGATAGTAGAAGTAAAGTGCAGCACTGACAGCCTGGACACCGGACACATCATACATACAGAAGTGAAGTCACCTGTTGGTTTGTGGACCGTTGTCTTTGAAGCCTCCAGTTTGGCATCTTAACCCTACACCAAGAACGTTTTTATGTTTTCCAATGAAAAATATGTAATTTCACATTGGGCCGTTATATTCACCTTATCTCTGAACAAATGGTTGGAAAAGCTCAAGCAGATAATAAATACACAACAGCCAAAGATCAGCCTGCTGGAGGAACGACAACCTTCAGATCTGGAGAAAGTAATTTGGTTGGTTCTGATGCTCCACAGTGATTTTACAGTGAGGGCACAGCATGTTTTGGGCATCACCCCCTAAAACCCTGTTAATATGACCTCAGAATTCATGATTGCCTTCTGTGTCTTCATTTCACAGCTTCTGACATTTATCTGTAGACATTAATATAAAAAATAGGCAGCATGAGAAACCTCCTCCCTTCTGAGGTGCATTTTATTTGCACATTTCACGGCGCACCGCTGCTCCTGAATGCATATAGAGGAAACACTGCTCCCCTGCTTCCTGGTCTCTGTTCCTCTAAATGGGACCATAATTTACTAAATGAACATCATGCTGTGTTGAAGAAGACTTGAAACTAGCGACTGAGACCAGAAACTCATCAGGAAAGTGTTTACTGAGGGAATAAATCAGCTGACAAGTAGAAACATTTTCTCACAGATTTCTATACAATCACACCCCTGCTGGCTGCAGGCTCTTCAGCATCGGCTTCACTTTCAGACCCGGAGGTTCCTGCTTGCTGGCAGCTGCTATGTCGCTCTTAGTTACTTGATTTACAAACGTTCTTGTTCACAATGTTGAAAACTGTCTGTTAATTAAGGGCTGACATCAAGCTGCGTATTGTCTCTGACCATCTGTATATACACGTCTGTCTCTTTACCTGCCGCAGTGTCAGACCAGGACACCCGGAGGATGATTAAACTGCGAGCTTCTAACGAGTCGTTGTTCACCGGGAGGAGAAACGCTGCCAAAGCTGCGTGGAAGTAAGAGAGCCTGTCTTTTTCTCGGTAAGCATCAAACAACAGCTTAAGTGTTCCCTCATGCATCCTGACTCTCCCTCAGGGCCATCCTGAAGGAGCTCGGGCTGCAGGGGAAAGTCTCAACCTACCAGATGGCAAAGAAGTGGGACAATCTGAAGAGGAGATACAAGGTAAGGTAGTCCGTAAACCAGTATCCAGTCTGTGGAGGAGAGAGCCGGGGGCCGAGTTAATTAACCTTTAAATATTAATTTTGGGGAGTAAAAAGTCACTTGAGCTTCTTAACCTGTCTGCAGCAGCGAGCCGCCGAGTTTCCAACCTCCACTGTCGTTATTGTAGCCGTTAGCGGGCGCCCAGAGCTCTGAGATACCACTTCATATTTATACAGAAACCAGATAAAACAGGAGAAAAGGAAGAGAGGAAGCTGAACTACCTGTAAGTTCAGAAACTTTAAGAAAGTTCAGTCAGTTGATTCCAGCTGCTGACTTGAAACAAGTTAGCTTAGCACAGCCCGGATCGAGCCAAACTCCATTCAGAAAACAAACATTTTAAAAATTGTTTGCTTGTCATCTTGTTGACTTACCTGACAAAACATGAATTCATATTTTTAGCCCATCACCATCCTGATGTTGTAATTTCTGCATCATTTTGTTCCTTTTATTAAAACTAAACCATCAGGAAAATGTTGATTTTGCATAAATTTTAAAAAACTCCTCATAGATTAATTAGTTTCATGTTTAAAAGACTCAGTAATTTATAATTTAATTTATAGTAAATGCTGCTCGCTGTAGTTTCTGTCAGACAAACAGGAGGAAGTAGAGCATCTCTTGGGGACTACTTTCAGCGGCGGATGAATCTATATGTGGTGCTGTAGTGAGTTTTCTGTTTCCCCCCCTTCAGGATCTGAAGTACCCTCCTGTTGGGATGGAGAGCGTAGCGGACGGCACCTCCTCCTGGCCGTGGTTTCACCTGATGAATGAGGCCATGGAGGGCCGTCTGGCGAGCAGCGCCCCCCTTCTCACCCCCGTCACTCAGGATGACGAGCAGCACCCTGACCCCGCCCCGAAACACAAGTCCCGCCCCGCCCCTCCGCCCCCCACCTCCTCATCAGACTACGGACAGGAGCCGTTTGACGCCGCCGCCACCGCCGAGCAGAACCAGCAGCGAAGCTCGGAGGCGTGCGACGGGCCGCTGGGAGGACTGGAGCGGGAGTGGGAGATGGTGGAGCGGGAGAGGGCGGCGATGGAGCGGGAGAGGGAGATGGTGGAGCGAGAGAGGGCGGCGGTGGAGAGAGAGAGGGCGGCGGTGCAGGCGGAGAGGCTGTGGCTGGAGAGGGAGAGGGCGGCGGTGGAGCGGGACCGAGCCATGGTGGAGCAGGAGAGAGCGACGCTGGGCCGAGAGAGGGAGGTGCTGGACCAGAGAGCCTTGATGCTGAACTCTGTAGGACACTCCGGACACCTCAACGCCCTCATGTAGGCCGCCGCGCTCTGGGGATGTAGACCGTCCCTGTAGAGACATGCTGGTCTGTCGTGGTCTGGACCTTCAGGAGGGAACCACGCTGACAGACGGGCCACAGAGGAGACCCGGTGCACCCGCTGAGGTCAAAGCCACGTTTTGGATGTAGAGACGTGGCTGTAGGTCTTCCACACAGAGCCGGGGGGGGGCGGGGGGGACGGGTCCCGGAGAGCACCCGGGGACGTAGACCAGTTTAGCAGGAGGGCTGCACAATCAGGATCACATGATCTCAATCAGGATATTTAATGTGTGATTTGGATTTTTTAAGTGTTACTGGAAGATATTTGAAGTTTTAAAAGATCCAATAAATCGTTTTGTTTTTTTATCAGAAATGATTAATACAGATTCCTACAGTTTGTTTGTTTTTACGACACAGAGACGTTTCAGCTCCACACTGACACAGATATATTTTGGAGGTCTAGCTCTGGTCTCCTGACCTGAGGGGGGGGTAGTTACTCACCTGTAGAATCTGTCGATTACTGAGGCGGCGTAAAGCGTCCGATACGCTCCAACAGAAGCTCATCAGGCGGTCGAACTGCGTCTGAATGCCGCCCGCACCTTTCAGACGCCAGAGTCCACCTCCAGAAATGTGAAACGTGGCGGTCTCTGAGTTGATGGGTGGCTCCTTGGCGGATGGTACCTCCACCCAAGTAGTCACCGGCGAGTGACGAGTAATGTTTAGATCCTGTTTGAATTGTGACCTGAATTACACACACGTGATGTTTGTCAGTTTAAAAGATCAGAAGTTTGTCGTAAAACTAAAAAGTAAAGTATCAGTGAAACCTCAGAAGAAACTGTGATCTTGTGTCGATGAAACACCTTTTTATGTTTCTATGAAACCACACAAAAATGTCACACTTGAAACTAATGGGGGGAAACGGTGTTCAGATTTCAGGTTGCATTCGAACGCCTCTAAACGTTTGTTCCAGATGAGGGCGCCTTAACGCCGCTGCTCAGAGAGCGTGTTGTCTGGTTTATATGTGATAACACGTGGACGCTCTCTGAAGAGGAGACAAACGATAGAACCTGCAGTTACTCTCTCTGCCCACAAGGTGGACCGATTGAACTGCTTAAATAACCATTCAAGAGTTTTTCTTATCGCTCAACAGGAATCAAGTCCTTCCCACTTTCTAACCTTTCTATTTGGCGTCCTGCTGTGTCGACATCATTAATATGCTGCGGCCAGTTTGATTTGAAATCACTGCATGTAGTACTTCAAGTATTTGTATATTACGACATCAAGCTGAAGGCAGTTTACTCTTTCTGATCCTGCCTATTCTCTTTTCCTCCACTTTACGTTAATGCATCAAACTGATTCCATCGCTCTTCAGTGTGTAAAGTAACACGAGGATGAAACCAAACATCACTTCTTCACCAAAACACACAACACAAACCACTGAGCTGAGATTTGAAGAGTCAGAGCGTAAAAAAACAAAAATACAAAGCAAAATACTGATTAATGATTGTGCAGCTCTACCTGTTTAGACCTCCGGGGGTGGAGACTGACCTCCGGGGTTGGAGGCCACTTTGCACTGATGTAGAAAGTCAAACATAAGCAGTTTGTATTGGACCTGAATCTGCATTAAAATCCTCTTGTTCACGTGTTTCCCACGCAGGATTTATTTGGGCGGCCGACCCCCTTGTTGGTAATTATTTTAACATCTTTGTGTTATTTTTATGAAAAAGTGGCGATGGCGGTCGGTTTGTCAAACCCAGGAGGAGCTTTAACATCACGTCCTGCTGTCCTGAAGAGACGCTTCGAACATAAAACCAAAAACGATTCAAGTCTTGTTTCCTGATCCAAACAGAGACAGATGATGTGTGTCATCACGTCATCGGTTTTATTTATTTGTATCGATCTTACGTTGCATAGTTTTATATTAATTTTATATTTTCTGATAAATCAGGAGCAGGACAGAACTTTTTGTTTTTGCGTCGCACGTTTCAAACTTCCAGCAGTGTCACAGCATGAGGATCACATCTGCTGGAGATTTCAAAAGTAAAAAGTGTTTCTGCCTTAAACTACCAGTGTTAATGTGATATTACTTCCCGTTGCTTCTCGCTGTAGTGATGTTTTTAAAAAAGAAATGTTTTATACGTTAAGCCACAGCCGGAACGATCAGTAGGTTAATCAGATAGTTGATCAACAAAAAAAGCAGCAGCTGTTTTGATGATAATTGAACTCGTGTTTCAAGCACAAATATCCAGAATTCCCCAGTTTCAGCGTCTCAGTTGTGAGGATTTCCATCAGTCAGTCCAAAAACATTCAGTCTTCTAGAATTTGCCATCTGAGGAAAACATTAGCTTTGGTCCCTGGAGGCCACATTTTATACACACACGTTTATATTTCACAGCTTCTCACCTGAGAGACTGAACAGGTAAAGGTTCTCCTGAGGGATAAAAAGCCGAGACATACGTGAAACACACGTGTAGAAGTGCAGAATCCATCTGCTAAATGTTGGGTGGTGATGGTGCAGTGGATAAGACACATGCCTTTGGTGTGAGAGAGCCGGGTTCAACTCCCACTGTGACACGTCCCTGAGCACTTTGGATGAAAGCGTCAGCTAAACACGTAAAACCTCTAAATGAACTGAAGACAATGAAGTTGGGGCCGGTTATCTCACCTTATCGCAGCACTTTGTGTGAAGTGAACTTGTTTGTTCAAATAAAACCGAGATAAATAAGCAAAAAGCATTAAACTTCTGATGGAAATCTCTTCTGTAGTGAGGGACCCTCGCGTCCTTGCGAGACATTCAGGGTTCATCTGTTTTGTGGGAAATGTGACGCGTGCAGCAGCAAAGCCTAAAACATTTTTGGTGGTTTTGCTGTCGGACTCCTGGTTTTTGATTTGGAGTATTAATCAGCTTTAAAATGATTTAAAGAATAATTCAGTCTGAATCTCTGCGTCAGGGTTCACCTGCTTCGCTCCACGAGGTCGGCCGCCACAGTAAACCCTCTTCCTGTTGGAAACACTGCCGCCTGATGGACTCTGCTTCATTAACCCTTCGCAGACTCGAGCTGCAGACGCTCCCCTGAGCTCAGCTCGAGGCCCTCAGGCCGGAGCTGTACATTCGATCTTCCCTGTGAATGCAATAACGTGTCGTCTTCATCCAGCCGAGCTCTGAATGTGTGTAAAGCGTCCGGTGGTTCCTGTGAAATGTTTTGTCGTTTGAACGCAGCAGTATTTTCCGTTGTTTTGTCGCTAACACCAGATGATTGTCTGCAGACTGATCTTTAACCAAAGCTCATCGATTTGTTTGTAAATCTATTTTTCAAGAAACGCCTGATGACATGTTCCTGTTGTAGCCTTCAATAAACGGACCAGAACCACCTACTGATGCTGGGGGTGATGGGGTGATGAAAAAGTGCTGTTTTCTTTAATAACTCACCGGAAGGAAAGAAAATAGTCGTTGATACTCAGTGTTGGAGAGGTTACTTTGGAAATGTAATGAGTTACGGATGACAGGTTATTTTAAGTGGCCATATTATGCTAGTTTTCAGGTTGAGAATTTTATTTAGGGGTTGTACCAGAACAGATTTACATGGTTCATTTTCACAAATCATTTTATCAAACTGTACCTTGCTGCAGACTTTTTCAGACTATTTCAACAGGTAAAAAGGTCTTGATTGGTTGGTACACAGCAAGTTAAATAATGTAAACAAGGCTATTAGACATAGGCCTACCAAACACATAATCCATCTGCAACAACAGGCTTCTGTTATTGCCTTTGATCACGTAAATGTCCAAACTGTTTACGCTATAAACTGCTAATTTTTTTTCGCAGCTGTGTGCTCTGCTGTCCAGTCTTTCTGGACACGTAAAATCTGAGTTCAGGTCTATTTACACCTAACAACAGTCTATGATTAACACACTGTTAAAAACGGGGACATTTCCGGGGACATCTGGTCACCCTAGGCTTGCTAGCTAGCTAGCTGGCAGTGTCAAGGAAAACTAGGGTCCTACAAATGCAGTTCCTGTCCTAGGATTGCAGTCCTGAAACTGCAGCCTCTGGTACTTCAGCTACATGCTACTGGAAAAGGGAGGCAAATGTGGAAGAGCCTTAAACCTGCGTTCACTCCAGCAGCCAGCAGGGGGCGACTCCACCGGCTGCAGAAAGAAGTGTGATTGTTTAGAAGTCTCTGAGAAAATTAGGCTACTTCTCAGCTGATTTATGTTCATTTAGTAAATAGAGAGTCTAAGTCACTCCCTTCTGCTTCCGGCCCATGGGGGCTTATTTTGGAAAAAATATGTACAGTAGTGACGGCGACAGTCAACTTATTTTTTGATCCTGTTTGAACTGAGCCCTGAATTACATGCATGATGTTTGTCAATTCAAAAGATAATTTTGTCCGTCAAGAAGGTTGCAGTTTGTCATAAAACAATAGTCACATGTCTAGCTAGCTAGAAATTTATCTCACCTGATGTGTTTAATCCAACCACTCTGTTCTTTTATCACATCATCTACACATGGAAGCTTTTTGATTTTAGCTTCAGTCATTCAGAGAGAAAAAGTTACGACGTCACATACACGACTTTTGGGTTTGTAATTATGTATTTTCAGTCTTATACCTCAACAGTTTTACATCAAACTGCATGTGTGTAATTCAGGGTAGAGGCGACTCGTACCAGCGTCATTGTGTAAATTTGACCTGCACCGTTGAAAAAGTTTAGCTGTTCATTTTCTCTGACTCAAGGCTTCAAATCAGGTGACGTCGGTCTATGATAATACCTAGTTGTGGCCTAGTAGCCCATCAGAAGCAGAGTAGGGCGGGTCTTGACAAGCTGATGAAAACAGCTTCGGTTCAGCTGTACATGTTCCCAAAGCAGCTTAGCAACTGATCAGACTGGATCAAGACTTTCAGAGTGGTGAGTTATTATTCTGTAACTCATTCATCTTTCATAACGTTTTACCTGAGCTCCGTCTCTACGTCACAGTAACAGCTTTCTTTCCTCTGACTGCCTGGAGGGGCTTGAACGTTGGGTAGGGAGGGTGAGGAGAGGCAGCGGGCAGACGTCTTGTCACTATGTGCTGCAGCTCAGTGTGTTTCTCCACCAGTGTTTCTGAGGGCGTGCCACACTGGCTGCTGTGTTACGACATGACGCAACTTGATAACGGAAAAAAGGCTGGACTACAAACGAGCTGTTTTCAGACAGTCCAGAGCAGAGTTTTCTGTGGGAGATGGGAACTCCTTTTGGGCTGGACTTTGAGCTTTTTCATTTTTCAAACCTGTTACATGCACAAAAAAGATAGATAACTCAATAAAGGAGAGGGGAAACAGCAGAAAACAACTTCTTTATAATGAAATATCAATGAAACTATTTCAATTACTTTATCAGTGTAACTTATTACATTTAATTACTTTTTGATTACTTTTCTACACATCTAATGAATGTTTTAAACCATTTCCAAAGACAGCTTGAGAGGCAGTTTAACTGGCAGACGGGCGAAAAAGGAGAACCAATCAGAAGCATCAGAACACCATCAAACTTTACGAAACGGCTGGAAACGGAAAAGGAAGACATTGTGCACACGAAAAACATGCAAACAAACAAAATAAATATGAGCTTTTTACAAAACATGTACTTATGTAAGCCCCAATGTGACCATGAACCTTTTAATTAGTAACTGTTGTTTAATTACTGTTTTTCCTAATAACTGTAACCAGTTTCTCAGTGTATAAGCCCTTCGAGGACACATATCTCCCATTCACCCATTGTGTGAATGACTTTGCTCAGATAAAGAGCAAACTCATTATTAGTAGTTCATTTCCTGTAGAAGGGCCATTTATTCGATAAGTAAGAAGCATACACTTGTTATGGTGATGTGACTGTCCCTGCCAAAACAGAAAACAACTTTTATCTGACGTGTCCAGGCAGCAGCCTTTAAACAAAGGCAAAATAAACACAAACGTAGTCGGGTGCAACTATCCTAATAGTTCCTATTATTTTATCCAGCAGGTTTATCTAAGAGACAATATAGATAAGAATTACAACTGAACTAATCAGCTCATCCTCACACGATGAATGTTAAAATACCAATATTTGTTCCCCTAGCTTGCTCCCAACTCAAGAATGTTCTGCAAAGACAGCTAATCTTCTGTTGTCAATTAATGATGTGTCTGTTTAAAGGTTCAGTGTGTAAGTTTTAGTGACATCTAGGGGTGAGGGTTGCAAATTGCAAGCAGTGGCTCACGGTGCTTTCAGGTGCTCCTCGGATGGTCCCGTGTCCCGAGTTGTGTAGTCATTCTTTCAACTTCAGTGTGTGTGGGGGGAAAAAAAGATTCTGGTTTTTCCAATACCACATGAATGCACCATCAGTCACCACTTACCCCTCCCTTTGAAAGCGTGCAGGAGAAGCTTCGGTGGCCAGAGGCAAGTCCCGGCCTCCGGGCTGCTATTTCAGACTAACAAGACCAGGCTCCTGTCTGAATGAATACGCAGAGAGCCAGATCTGCACTTTCACAGGTCACCAGGATATAAAAACTACTTGAATAGAATCAGCAGTAAAATAAGCAGTAAAATCTGATAAAAATCGCTGAAAAAGTTTGACAACTTTGTGTCAAAATAAGGTTTAAAAAGCGTTTTTTCCCGACCGGTTTTACTTATGGTAGTAGAAACCACACGATTTGCTGAAATGTTTTACCACTTTACCACACAAGCAGATGATTGGCTTTCTAGCGGGAGGGGCGCCATCTTTCTAATCGCCATCTTTGCCGCTATGGGCTTTCCCCATAGGGCTGTATTGAGGGTGCGACTGAGTGGCGTGTCTCCCCTAAAATGTCTCTGACGACACGCTTTGTCGGCACGGAGCTAAATAACACGTGTGCTCCTCCGTTTGTCCAGATTTCACTTCTCTTCTTACTTCTATAAATCAGACTACTGCTACTTCTTCGTCACTCTGTGGCGCTGTTTGTCCTTTTGGGCTACTGTAGAAACATGCCGGCGCAACATGGCGACGTCCATGTCAGAGGCCCCGCGGCGTATGTATGACAGAAATGTCTCATGGTAAGGTAATAAAAACAGTTCATCACGTAAGGTCTTTATACACCACTTTAAACATAGTTATGGATCTTATATTGTGTTTCTGTCAGTAGATCCTCTGAAATGTGACACACTGAACCTTTAAAAGTAATGTTGTGTCCACGTTGGGGCCAGAGGGAGGATTGTTGTGGCAGAGATGTATCTATGCTGATAATTATTTATCTACCATTGTGTACTTACAGTGACCTCCTCTGTTATTTTACTGTCCACTAGGCTCTGCCAGGGTTTATGCATGAACATCTGTGAGATTGTTGTGTCTCCTGAGTTTTCAAGGCCCCTGTGTGAGGGAGCAGATGTCTGATACTGCCCAAGGTGCTAGACGTCTGACGCAGCTGTACGTCCTTGTTTTTCTCCTTTAATGAATCAACCAAAAGCCAACGGGTTGTTTTAATCCATTTACTCGTTTAAGTCTGCACCGGGGAAACATACGATTTCCGTGACAAGGTGAGTCGAGCTCGTGCCTTGATGTGAAAAAGGGGCTTTAGAAAGACGGACACCCAGATGTTTTTCTGCAGCAACATGAGGAAAAACACGTCTCTCCCAGCTGGCTTGTTAACAGATTCATTACTCTCATTAAATCCAGGTCAGAGGCAGATCTGTAACTTATTCACTCCATCATAAAATTCCGCCTCCATGCACCACCTTAAAGGTAAACAGGAGAACGTAGCAAACTGTTATCAGGAAGTTTTCCCTGTTTAAACAGTCAAACCTCAGTGGGCATGAATCTGACTCACGCTCTTTACACTCTTGAATGAACCCCTTAAATATGACAAACGTAATATTTTAACAAACAAGACGTGGGCCAATCACAGGAGGCTTAAAACAGACGCTTCAGTCTCATGAGCTCCCTCAGAGCTGTAAATATTCCTTCATTATCAGCAGCTGAGTAATGTGGAGTCCGGCCCTCTAGGAGCTGCTTGGTCTGTAACCAGGTGATCAGGGAGGTGGAGCAGAATCAGCTCAGGTATCTGAACGCCTCGCGGGCGCAGAACGCCACAGGCATGCTCACAGTCACAGTAGGTAAGTTTCTCTCTGTTCATACATTCTAGTTTCATGGTCGTCTTCTTGTTGCTGGACTGCAGAGTTGTGAACCTGACCTGGACCTGTGCAGGGAGACATTTACTTTTACTTTTTTGCTCCTGTGCTGTAAACTATTAATAATGAGTGATTGATCGGTGATTGATGATGATGTGAGGACGTCCTGCTCTGGTTTTATGTGACAGTAAACTGATTCTGTGACTTGCCGCTGCGGGAAGATGTGGTGTCCAGTTACCGACTGGTTTATAGAAACTTCTGAAGGCAGAACTTTGAAATCTCTCACTTCTCTCTGCTGTTGTGTTGTTGTTGCAGCTGCTGATGTGATGAGTCAGTCACTTAATTGGTGAGTCAGTCTTTTAGTCCTGAACCTGTTTTTATTTTTTAACAGGAAGAACAAGAATGACGAGACGCCAGAACTTCAGTAAGTTCAAACAGGTTCTTTGTGTGCGCGGTGTCTTACCATGGTAACTTCCTCATTGTTGACATTATTTACAGATTATCTGCAGATTTAACAGAAGCTCACCTTGATCCAGTCCTCTTGTGGGATCACAGAGTCAGATATTAACAGTAGAGCAGGATTTAGATACTTAAAGCTGTTCATGTATTATTTTAAATGTAGTAATGTATTTGCTGTTTGATTTAAACCGGCCGTGGTAAAGAATTTTAAATAAGTAAAAGTAAAGGTATTAATAATAATTAACTGTAAAGGATTTGTTGTGGAGTTTCTAACAGGTTTTACTGTTGGAATTGGTCCACATGGAGCGAAACTTTATTTTAAACTACTGACGTCTGGATTTTATAGTTATGAGTATTGACTGAGTTTGTTTAGTTGAGTTTAGTTTTATTTTGCCTGGTTTGGTTAGAACAGAATGACCGAACAAACAAACCAAAAGCTTCCAGTTGTTCTGTTTGATCACACGTCTCACAGATTTATTCATTCTCTCAGCCTCCAGTCCGACGAGAGCCGCTCACTCTCTGGTGCAAGTTTACACAGCACTGCAAACAAAGAATAAGGAAACAATATGGGAGTTAACCTGACAGCTCCGCAGTTTAGTCAGATTTAACCTCTGCTGGAAGACACAGCTGCTGGAGCAGTGATTGGACTGTTGCTTCAACATATGATTAGACAGGCTGATTATCACCTGATCACAGACACACCTGCTCAACTAGAGAGTCCTATGCAGCACTGCGTCCCAATATTTTAGAGAAAAACTGAACTTAACCACGAGTGTGTCCAGCTCAGGACTTTATATAAGTATAAAAAAATGTTTACTTTGGCACTTTGAGGTAATTCAAAGTTTCCTTGCATCCATAACAATTCTTTAAAAACTATTTGAGCTTAGTCTAATTGTTTGCAGCCTTTTTTAGCTCATGACTAGGGGTGTGACGAGATTTTAACTTTTTAAATCTTTAATGCTGAGCTCTATGAAGACTTTGAGCATTAAACAGTTCATTTCCTGAATCGCAACGATTTCTGGTTGAAATGTTGTAATTTATGTAAAGGAAAAAATGTATAAACAACAATAAACCAAATTCAGGCGGCAGGTGACAATTAAAACAGAATCTAAGTCCGTCATTCTGTCAGATCTGTTTCTCCAACACGTTCTCACTCCTGACTCGTCACATATTGACGCTTGGTCAAAGCCCTTTGGCGTCGCTTTTCAACGCCTTGGGTCCCCGTTCAGCGTCATTTTTAGATGTTTAAGGCTCCACGGTCAAGTTAGCTTAGCAAAAACAAATATGCAAAATCCGGTTAGCCCCTCAAAATAAAATGCTAGCATTTCCAAACATCGCCAGTTGTGAAACGTTGCAGTTTGGTTGGGTTTAGGTAACAAAAGTACTTGGTTAAGGTTCAGAAAAGATCCTGACTTGATTTGGGTTAAAATAACTACGTACGTCAGGTAACATGTTAGTTACGTCACTTGCGTAACTTACGCAATATGCCTAACTCAAATAAAAACATTTAATGTTATTGTTTCACACGGGACACGAACCCCACTCTCCTGGTTCAAAGTCCAGGTTCTGGCCATATGTGACGAGTTGAGGAGTGAGAACGGGTTGGTTTCTCCTGTAGATCAACTTTTCTCCTGGAACATCATCCCTGCTGAGTCATGATTTGGTTTTCCCTCCTCTTTGTGTTTTTGTTTGGTGAAGTAACCTCTTTAAATGTGAACATGGCACCTTTTCAAATGAGGTGAGGTGAGGTCGGCGTAGCAGCTCCTGGCAGATAATAGACACTTTGATGGACTGTAAAATGCCTTCTGCAGTTCAGTCAGGAGCTGAGATATGCAGAAAGTTAGGAATAGAGAAGCAGAATCCAAACACACGTCTCTTAATGAATCCACGGTTCTTGGAAATCTGGTACCAATTCCAACTTAGAACCAGTTCTCGATACGCAACCCTAATCTCGCCCCTCACATAATCTTTATATCCAGTTTTGGTGGCTCATTTGTGCCTTCTGCCATCAGACTCCACAACTGACAGACTCTATTTTTGTCTCTATTCTGAGCGTGTCAGTTTGTACAAATCTGTTGTATTTAGGGCCTGAGCATGAAGCATGCTGTTCATATGTCAGGAATTATTATTTTCCCAAAGTAATCACATTCTTGGCGGCTTAAACATGCACAAAAACTCACCAAACTTTGCACAAAATTCAAATGTGGTGGGAATTTACATGTCATATGATCGCCTCGCAGGGGCGTGGCAAACTGGCTCGCTACCCCGCCACTAGCGAGCCAGTTTGCCACACCCAGTGTGTATAATACATCTACATGAGAATGCCAAACTTATTCTACTTTTATTGCATCTTGCTCTTTACATTCCTCTGTGCTGCGATTAATAAAGACTCATCTTATAAGTCTTGTCTCTGTGTCCTGCAGGGGTTCTGCAGGTCGTGATGGTGATGGTGCCCGTGGTCGTCCTCATCACATTCGTCCTGCAGAATTACGGCATCTTTGCCGCTACGGCATTCACATGTAGGAACCTTTCGTCCCTCACAGACTGCCTTCCGTCATCAGTTTGTTCTTTTAAAACCACTGTGTGTGGACGATTTGTGAGATTAAAGCATTTCGCAAATTATTTTGGGTGACGGTGATGGAGCGGTGAGAGACCCGGGTTCACTGTGACACACTAATGTGTCCCTGAGCAAGACACTTAACCCCTCGTTGCTCCAGAGGCATGTGACCTCTGAGATGTATAGCAATTGTAAGTCGCTTTGGATAAAAGCGTCAGCTAAATGAATAAATGTACATTTTAGAGAGCTTAAGCCCCGCCCCTTTTTTTCAGACCACAAAGGAACCTTATTTCAGAAAAAATATGTTCGGTATTCTACAGCGAGAGATGTCTAATGTTTAGATCCTGTTTGCATTGTGTCCTGAATTACTCACATGATGTTTGTCAGTTCAAACGGGATCTAAACATCAATCGTCTCTCGCCGTTGACTACGGAACATATTTTTTCTGAAATTCTGGAACTACACAGTAACTGGCATGAACGTGGTTATTTTGGACAGATCTTTAGTGGAGCATCACTTTAACTTGACCTGTCTGTGTAGTCGTCTTCCTGTGACTCTAACTCTTGTTGTTCCAGTTGACTGGCGGCGTGCTTTATCTGAAGGCGCCGCCCCTCAGACCTTCAAGACGCCTCCTAAACAGTCAGGTTAGTGATTGAGTCAACCGGATCAGAGTGAACTGTTGTGACGTTGATCTGGTTCATCAATGTGTTCTGCGTTTCAGGATCGTGCGTCATAAATAAAGAGTGTCCGGAGGATCACTTCAGCTTCTTCATCCAGAGCGGAGCCGCTAACGTCGTGGCTCCAAAGATCTGCATCCAAAACAAGCTGTAGGTGTTTTCCTTTCTCCTCAAGGCTTGCTTGTTTCCCGAGTTTTATCTCTACGTAAAAAACCCAAACGAGTCTTGTGTTTTTGATTTCAGATTTAAAAATAAAATAAGGCCACAGTGGTCGAACACAGACACACAAAGTCTGAATCAGATAGAGTTGCTGGTTTGGTTTTAGCAGAGACCATTTAAGGGGAAAGTGACCTGATGTTTAAAGATTCCTGAATAGAATCCTTTAGAGAAAAACACCTCCCTCCAGCAACAAAGCCAATCGTCTGCTTTTTAACATCAGAGCTGGAAAACATATTCAGCCAATCGTGTGGCTCCACTGACGTCAGTGGACAGCTGTGACCGTTTTAGATGTTGTTGTGGTCGAGATCAGATCAGATGCTCTACATGTCTGGAAAGCGTGGAAAGGTGACAGATTTAATATGCAGTACTTTGGCTGGGTATCGGTACTCGATACTTTCAAGGTATCGAACGAAACAGTCCAGCAGCGACTGAGTAGTATCGAATCTTCTCCTGTCAAACGAGTACTGCGTTCGATCCTTTTTGTATCCAGATCTGAAAAATTTGTATTGTTTTGCTCGCAGCCAAACTCCTCCTTTTTTTTTTTCTTGCTCATGTGCTGCACGCCGCCTAACGTTAACTGTGCATTTGGACCAAACGCAAATTTAATCCTTGTGTCGTTTTCCTCGCGGGGGTTTTACCGCTGGATAACTGCTGAGTGTTCACACAACGCGATATTGCGAATAAACCTTTTTATATACAGTCTATGGAATAAACACAACCCGCTATTACTACAGCTGTATGAACCCAAAATAAACATTTTGCTGTTATTTAGTTTCAATAAATGAATGAAACTGATGCTGAATTAAAGGAACCATGACGCTGATTTGTTAAACATATGAATCCATGCTTTGTTGAGTCTGTCAGCAAGATGACAAGCAGACAATTAAAAATGCTTGTTTTCTGAATGGAGTTTGGCCTGATCAGGGCTACGCTATGCTAATGTAATGGCTATGCTATGCTAACGTCTTTCATAGAAAAGTACAACGATAGCTGGAATCACGTATTTTCTGAACTTACAGGTAGTTCAACTTCTCTCCGCGTCTTTGCATTGACTCTGTAATCGCGCTGCATCCAACGTGCACAGTAAGCCTCAGCATCGGCTGTTGGAAGTTTATAACCACAAGCTTGGCTTTCCCTTCATTTCCTCTTCTGATATCCTTTAATTCTACTCTGTGCAGTTTTATTTGCTTCACATCACTTGTCAGCAATCGATCACTGCGTTTCATCAGATCAATTCAACGCGTTTGTTGCGCAGCAGCTGATTTGCCTCCCCGAGCCTCCTGCTGCTGAGATGTTGTCTGATATCAGCTGGATGTGCAGCTTTCTTTTCCTCTGGCTGCTTCTTCAGACTCTCTAGTGTAGTTTAGTGACTTGTTTAACTCCTCACTCGTTTTGTACCTCTTACTGTCTCTGTCCTCTATTCTCTGTCCCTCTGGTCTCTGGTCCTCTAGTCTCTGTCCTCTGGTCCTCTGTCCCTCTGGTCCCTGTCCCTCTAGTCTCTGGTCTCCGTCCTCTAGTCTCTGTCCTCTGGTCTTCTAGTCTCTGTCCTTCTGTCCTCTGGTCCTCTAGTCTCTGTCCTTCTGGTCTCTGTTCCTCTGGTCCTCTAGTCTCTGTCTTTCTGGTCTATGGTCCTCTGGTCTTCTAGTCTCTGTCCTTCTGGTTTCTGTTCCTCTGGTCCTCTAGTCTCTGTCTTTCTGGTCTATGGTCCTCTGTCCCTGTGGTCCCTGGTCCTCTGGTCCTTCTGGTCTCTGTCCCTCTGGTCTGTGGTCCTCTAGTCTCTGTCCTTGTGGTCCTCTGGTCTCTGTCCCCTGGTCCTCTGTCCCTCTGGTCCTCTGTCCCTCTAGTCTCTGTCCTTCTGGTCTCTGTCCTTCTGGTCCTCTAATCTCTGTCCTCTGTCCCTCTGGTCCCTGTCCCTCCGGTCCCTGTCCCTCTAGTCTCTGTCCTTCTGGTCTCAGGTCTCTGTCCTTCGGGTCTCTGTCCTTCTGGTCTCTAGTCTCTGTCCTTTGATCCTCTAGTCTCTGTCCTCTGTCCCTCTGGTCCCTGTCCCTCTAGTCTCTGTCCTTTGGTCTCTTGTCTCTGTCCTCTGGTCCTCCAGTCTCTGTCCTCTGGTCCTTCGGGTCTCTGTCCTTCTGTCCTCTGGTCCTCTAGTCTCTGTCCTTCTGGTCTCTGGTCTATGTCCTTCTGGTCTCTGTCCTTCTGGTCCTCTAATCTCTGTCCTCTGTCCCTCCGGTCCCTGTCCCTCTAGTCTCTGTCCTTCTGGTCCTTCGGGTCTCTGTCCTCTGGTCCTTCTGGTCTCTGTCATTCTGCCCTCTAGTGTCTGTCCTTCTGGTCTCTAGTCTCTGTCCCTCTGGTCCCTGTCCCTCCGGTCCCTGTCCCTCTAGTCTCTGTCCTTCTGGTCTCAGGTCTCTGTCCTTCTGGTCTCTGTCCTCTGGTCCTCTAGTCTCTGTCTTCTGGTCCTCTGTCCCTCTGGTCCCTGTCCCTCTAGTCTCTGTCCTTCGGGTCTCTGTCCTTCTGGTCTCTGTCCTTCTGGTCTCTAGTCTCTGTCCTCTGGTCCTCCAGTCTCTGTCCTCTGGTCCTTCGGGTCTCTGTCCTTCTGTCCTCTGGTCCTCTAGTCTCTGTCCTTTGGTCCTCTAGTCTCTGTCCTCTGGTCCTCTGTCCCTCTGGTCCCTGTCCCTCTAGTCTCTGTCCTTCGGGTCTCTGTCCTTCTGGTCTCTGTCCTTCTGGTCTCTAGTCTCTGTCCTCTGGTCCTCCAGTCTCTGTCCTCTGGTCCTTCGGGTCTCTGTCCTTCTGTCCTCTGGTCCTCTAGTCTCTGTCCTTCTGGTCTCTGGTCTATGTCCTTCTGGTCTCTGTCCTTCTGGTCCTCTAATCTCTGTCCTCTGTCCCTCCGGTCCCTGTCCCTCTAGTCTCTGTCCTTCTGGTCCTTCGGGTCTCTGTCCTCTGGTCCTTCTGGTCTCTGTCATTCTGCCCTCTAGTGTCTGACCTTCTGGTCTCTAGTCTCTGTCCCTCTGGTCCCTGTCCCTCCGGTCCCTGTCCCTCTAGTCTCTGTCCTTCTGGTCTCTAGTCTCTGTCCCTCTGGTCCCTGTCCCTCCGGTCCCTGTCCCTCTAGTCTCTGTCCTTCTGGTCTCAGGTCTCTGTCCTTCTGGTCTCTGTCCTCTGGTCCTTCTGGTCTCTGTCCTTCTGGTCTCTAGTCTCTATCCTTCTGGTCTCAGGTCTCTGTCCTTCTGGTCCTTCGGGTCTCTGTCCTTCTGGTCTCTGTCCTTCTGGTCTCTAGTCTCTGTCCTTCTGGTGTCTGTCCTCTGGTCCTTCTGGTCTCTGTCCTTCTGGTCTCTAGTGTCTGTCCTTCTGGTCTCTAGTGTCTGTCCTCTGCCACCTGACATTAACAGAACCTCTAACCTTCCTCAGGGTTCTTGGCTCGGTGCTGAACAACGCTGGATATGGGATCAACATCGTTATAATAAACGGTGAGTGTTGGACGGAGAACCTGCGTCTCTCTGTCTTCATGAAGTGGCTGCAGGTAGATTCACAGGTGTCTTTCTTCAACAGGTAAAACAGGAGAAGTCACAAAGATCGCCAGCTTCGAAATGTACAGCGGCGGTACGTAGCAGCAGTGTGCTCCTGTGTGTCACATGATGTTAACACTGAAAGATTTTATGATGGACGCCATGTTTGTGTTGCAGATGTGAAACCTCTCATCGAGCTCCTGAAGAGCATCACAGACGGCTCCGTTGTGCTGATGGCGTCCTACGACGAGCCTTCAACAAAGTAAGTGTTTATTCTTTTACATCAAGAGTAATGACAGTTTCTAAATTCCCATTGCGTGACTTTGACCGCTGGATGAACCCAAAATAAACATTTTGCTGTGATTTAGTTTCAATAAACGGATCAAACGGATGCTGATTTAACAACAACATGACGCTGGTTTGTTAAACATATGAATTCAAGCTTTGTCAGGTCTGTCAGCAAGATGACAAGCAAACAACTTTTAAAATGCTTGTTTTCTGAATGGAGTTTGGCCTGATCCGGGCTATGCTATGCTAACTGCTTTCGTAGTAAAGTACAACGATATCTGGAATCAGACGCATGTTTTGGGTGGACTCGCTGTTGTTGCCAGCGGTTTAGACATTAATGGTGATGGCGTCTGTGCTCCTGTTGAACAGGTTAAATGAAGATGCGAGGAAGCTGATTTCTGAGCTGGGGAGCTCTGCTGTCAAGTCGCTTGGCTTCAGGGATAACTGGGTGTTTGTTGGCGGGAAAGGAGCAGCGGTGCAGAGCAGCTTCGAGAAGGTAACAAGCTCATATTGGAATATTGATCCATCTGAACCTGTTCGACCCCAAACAACCCATCCTTAATTACACCACAAGAGGGAGTAACTGATTTGGTTACCTTCAGGTTCAAGAGTTGAATGGGGAAGAACTCTTTCCTGTGTTCAGCTGCATTATGTGGAATGGTTTACCGATGAGCATTAAGGAGATCAACCCTTTAGCTAGCTTTAAGTCCTCACTAATAATATGGCGGTGTGGCCGATTGCAATACGCTAGTTTTTACTTGCATTGTAAAGGCATATCTAATTTATTAAAATTGAATCCGCTCATATAGCGTTTAGTAAAGTTCCCTGTCTGAATAGCTGAATGGTCCACTCGATCCATCAGTGAAATTCATGATGAGCAACCAAATATTTCCCCAAAGTTTCCAAACATACGAGATGTTAAGGATAAATACAGACTGACAACACTGGCATAACTGCTAGCTTAGCTTAGCATAAAGACTGGAAACAGGTGGAAACTGCTAGCTTTGCCTAAAGACTAGAAACGGAGAGAAACAGCTAGCTTAGCATAAAGACCGGAAACGGGGGGAAACATCTAGCTTAGCATAAAGACTGGAAACAGGCTAACAGCTAGCTTAGCATAAAGAGTGGAAATGGGGGGGAAACAGCTAGCTTAGCATATAGACTGGAAACAGGCTAACAGCTAGCTTAGCATAAAGACTGGAAACGGGGGGAAACAGCCAGCTTAGCATAAAGACTGGAAACGGGGGGGAAACAGCTAGCTTAGCATAAAGACTGGAAACGGGGGGGACACAGCTAGCTTAGCATAAAGACTGGAAACGGGGGGGAAACAGCTAGCTTAGCATAAAGACTGGAAACGGGGGGGGGGGGGGGAAATCAGCTAGCTTAGCATAAAGACTGGTAACAGGCTAACAGCTAGCTTACCATAAAGACTGGAAACGGGGGGAAACGGCTATCTTAGCATAAAGACTGGAAACAGGCTAACAGCTAGCTTAGCATATAGACTGGAAACAGGCTAACAGCTAGCTTAGCATATAGACTGGAAACAGGCTAACAGCTAGCTTAGCATAAAGACTGGAAACAGGCTAACAGCTAGCCTGGTTAGTCTGTAAAGAAAACAGTAAAATATCATCTTTACACTGTTTGCCCAGATGAAACAAAGCAGATGTAACGTGTTGATCAATGAGCTTTTAGAGGAGCTGGTATGTGGATTGGGTTCCCTTTGTAAAGAGCCAGGCTAGTTGTTCCCCCCTATTTCCAGCCTTTATGCTAAGCTAAGCTAACCAGCTGCTGAGTGTAGCTTCGTATTTAGCGTACAGACGTGAGAGTGGTATCGGTCTGAACATCTGACTCTCAGAGAGGAAGAAGAAGAGGATTCACTAAATGTTGGACTATTCCTTCAGCTCCATCAAACAATTATTTTCATTATTGATTAATTTGACAATAAATTGATTGTGTGGTTACTAAATGTTCCAGAGCCTGAGGCGACGTATGACCGACAAATAACAGCATCAGATCTACAAACGTTCTTTAACTGATCAATTAATGGACGAAGCGTTGCAGTTTCTGGCTTCCTGTTGATGTTGAATCTGAGCCGTGTTTCTGTTCCAGCTCATAAAGAACGACAACGCTAAGAACAAATACCAGAACTGGCCCGAGATTATCGACCTGCAAGGATGCATCCCCAAATACCTGAACTGACCCGCCGCCTCAGCCCGAAGGAACGTTTCAACTTTTACAGCCAACTGCAGGAACAAGAAGCCGGAGAACCCGAACGTGTTTGTTCTATAAGAACAGGAGACTCAGTAAACGTTTGACGGTATGAACCAAAGCCTGGTGTGTAAATTGATATCTGTTTGACCTGAGGAGCCAGTTACTGCGTCAGTGCAGGTAAATACAGAGAATCCACCCGTTCTCTCTCTACACTCCTTCCTCCTCGGGCGAACGTTCGATGGTGACCTGAACAATGACAGAATCATACAGAAGAACTCAGGGACTCTCGGGCTACAGCCACACTGCTGTGTCTTCTTTTTAAAATGGAGCTTTTAAAACAAAAACGATCTCCGTCCACAACAGCGTTTCAGCTGCGTATCAGATTTGATCTCTGTCTATAAGAAAACGACTGAAAACGCACATCACGTGACCGCTCACGTACACTGGGCGTGTGCGTGCCGGTGTAAACAGGAAGCGGATTGTCTACTGCGCAGCTACAGAAGAAAGTTCTGCTACAGACGAACGAAGAGCAGCAGAGATTTCAGGTGGAAGTGTTACTGAGAGGAACACGGGAGGACAAAGAGGCAAAGTCAATACGGAGACATGCAGAGGACAAATGTAGAAGTGTTATTTACACAGTACAGAGTATTTTAATAAAAACACCAAAACTAAAACTCTGTCAGTAGCGGCGTAGACAATCTGCTTCCTGTTTAAACGTACACGCACATGCTCAGTGTATGTGAACGGTCACATGATGTGCGTTTTCCGTCATTTTAAAACAGACGGAGATCAGTTCTGAAAGGCCGGTGTGGACGGAGATGGTTTCAGTTTAGTGTATGAAAGCAGGAATGTGGATGGAGCCTGAGGTTCTGGAAAACATTAGAGTCAAACTTCCCTACAGACGTTGTACATTCACATCGAGGACCCCCGAACTGACACAAATTAGACCCCGGACCTCCATCTGATTGTATTTTTGCTTTTAGATGTTTTATAACAGAAAGTGCATGAAACCTATGACCTAAATAATCACACACTCTGTCATTGTGTCACTTATGGATGGAATAATCGTGAACATACCCTGAGAACTACATTGTAAAAGCAGACACGGCTCGTTTCAGCTGCAGCCAACAAGAACCGAATCATTCAGGAGAACAGCGTCCCTGCAGCGACGTCCCAACTCCTGGATGTTCACGATCCTCTGCAGGAATTTGTCCTCTGCTGCTTTCAGTCAGGCACACGTGTTTAAATCTGCTGTCAAGAAGTCGCCACAGCTGGAAAACCGCACAGAGCAGACGGCTTCTTCTTTTTACTGCCGTTAACATTTTCTTTTCCTTAAATATTGAGTTCCTGTCAATAACAATATGTTTCCCTTATTTTTATAATGTATTAATGTCTAAATAACGAGTCGAGGTTCACTGAAGAAAAAGGAGACTTTATTTCTGTGTTTACGTTGTGTTTTCTCACTTTGCTGCAAGTGTTGTCAAACAGGTGAAGATGTTTTCTAAAGATGAGCTCTCTGGGCCACCGTACTGATCTAAACTCCGCAGGCAGCTTCTGATTAATAATATAATAATAATATCAACACATCTCAGAATGTGTGTGATTTGATTTTGACTTTGAACTAAAAGTGAAGCATTTTCACTGTCAGCAGTTTGGTAATCAGCGAGTAAAGCTTGAAGGAAATAAAACAGAACAGTATTTCTATGATGTGTGTCTGGACCCGGAGCTGCTCTTTATCTCCAGCGTGGATGTTAAATTCAGGATTAACTCTTAAAGGTTCAGTGTGGGAATACTTTTAATGATTATACTTCTGTACTTTTTACTTAAGTACAAGACTTGAGTACTTTGAAACATGTAAAAAAGAAAACGTGCTTGTTGTTTCATGTTCTGTCCTCAGAACCTCAGACATCTTCCAGATGAGCGTGTTTGTACTAATAAACAAGAAAGACACCTTTGCAGAGCTCAGCAGTCAGGTCGCAGGAGCCACCGCACACTCGGATTACTTCTTTACATTTTTTATTAAACTTTTGTTTAATCAGGCAAGTTAGTTAGGAACAAAAAATCATATATTCAACCACAGCCTGGCAAGAGGAAGAGAGATACACGGGAATAAAGAGTCTGTAAAATAAGATGGACACAGAGTTTTACTTTACTGTGAGTACTTTACTCTGCACTCACAGCCAGGTGTGTTAAATAGGTAGTGTCTAAATCACATGACCCGTAATCCCAGTCTGCATCTTTTCTCTTGCTTTTTTTGTTTTTTTCAAGTGAAAACAGAAACGTGTTACACATAATTCTCTAATTCAAAAGTCATAAACATGATAAATCTAGAAAAACATAAGTGAGTCACAAGAATTGCATCATTTCACATAAGTACGGCTGAAGGATCATTGTCACAGAAAGAAGTGAAACCCCGTGTTTCAGTAACTCCATGAGGCTCAATCGTGTTCAGCTCCAAAAAGTCTGTGAAGATACCCTCCTCTCAGATTTGGGTCTCACTCTTTCAACGCCAGTAAATCTTCCTCCCTGGATGTACGGGACGTTTGCAGCTCGGGTTGTGACGTCAAACACCCGTCCCTTGCAACACACCCGGACTGTCACCTGAACAAACACGTTCATGCCTGACTTCTGTTCATCACATCCTCCTCATGGTTCCTGTTCACGCTCAGATGAATAAAAACACTCTCTGTTCAGACTCAGTCGTCTCAAATTAGTGGATTTATTACAGTTGTGGTTCCAAGCGTCAGCTTGATAACAGCAGATAATCTCACTGCCAAGGCCAGAGAGACGGCCTGTAGGGCTGAGCAATAAAACAATAGTGATAATTATCTCAATATAATTTTCCTCAATAACAAATGTCCAATAAATTTTTGATTTTATTCATTTGAATCACAAATGAATCAGCACTTAATGTTCCTTCTAAGATCTTAATCTTGTTGTGGAAAACCGATTTTACTTAATTTTCCTCGTGCATATTTGTTAAACATATAAAACAGATTTAATCAGAATAGTTCTGAATGTTCTGCCTCAGGTTTGTGAAGTGATGAGCTGTTTGTTCTGACCACAAAGTAAAAGTTTAAAACCGCATTAACTTTCACTCAGAAGCAAAAATCAGCCTTAAATAATGATTTGACATTTATCCTGATAATTATCGATACCGATTTGATATGAAATTTATTATCGTGATAACATTTTTGCCCGCATCGCCCAGCTGTATTAAACTGTCATGTCTCTAAGAACCAAACTCCAGTCAGAACGAAGCACCAACAAGCAAATCTGAAAGTAGTGAGACGCCTCAGGGTCTTCTTTTCTATTGTTTTTGTATTATTGTCTCTTGGGTATTATTGTCTTTACACTTGTTAAAGCACTTTGTAACTTGTTTTTGAAAAGTGCTCTATAAATAAAGATTATTATTATTCTATCTTCAGACTGCACACTCTGAACCTCCTCCCACTTCTAACAGATGATTTAACAGGGATTTCAGTCATTTCACCGCACAGAAACGTGTTTCCGCTGCTGGACCTGTTTCATGAAAAATAAACCAAAAGTGTTGTCGTCTTAATCTACATATAGTAGATGTCATATTATTAATCATATCAGAGACCGTATACGGCAATGTTAGTTTAAGTACAACACTGGTCTTTGGTTTGGTTTGGTTTCTATTTTTATTTCATAAACTTCTAATTATTTATTTTTTAGTCTCTCTGTTTATCTGGACTTATATCTGTCTTTGTGCTGCTGCAACACCTGAATCTCTCCTCTGAGGATCAATAAAGGTTTCTTATCTTATTACCATGTATGATGATGTCTCAACTTCATGTTTACTGTGAGTGCGGCGGTGAGGGCTGAGTGTGGGTGCACGTCACTGAACATTTTATCACAAAGGTTTCTTTATACTTTGCATTGTCAACTTTGTAAATGTATTATTAATGTGAAACTTCATGTTGAAAGTGTATGAAGTTACTCCTCCTTTTGCTTTAATGGTAAAATCCCTTTTAACTAATATTAAAGACAAAACTTTAACAGAAAATAAAATGCAGATTTTCTGATAATGAAAATAATAAAAAGTTGCAGCTGCTATAATATTAAATTGATCTTTATTTACTCGTTTACTGTTTATTTATGACGTACAGTCTCAGTTTATAACCCCAGTACAAACTGTAAAAAAATCACGTCACTTCCATGGATTTAGAATTTCATGTATTTAGAATTTGCTGAGTTAAAATCGAGTTTTAAATCAAGTTGTTGCTGGTTTTTCACTGATTTCCATGTCAGTTCAGCAGATCTTGCGGAGGAAAGATGAGGCTTGTTTCTGCCCGAACATATTTGTAGAAGGACCTTAAACATCGTGTCTGATTGGCTATACCAACGGCCAATGACCATAAAGCGAAGGAGGCGGAGACCTGATTGGCTGCCCTCAGCGTCATGCCAGCCGGAAATAGAAAATAAGAAGAAGCTGATTGGCGGAAGGAGTAAATAAAGTGTTAATGGCGGCGCCGTGTGTCAGTAAAAGTGTAGAAATGTGTTCCGTTTCATTCACTGTGGATTCGGTTTGACTCGGTTTGTCAGTACCGGATCTGAAATGGCCACGTTAGTTCTGGATAACGGAGCCTATACGGCGAAAATAGGATACAGTCAGGAGAAAGTCAGGTAAGTTCAGTTAGCACGGGAGCTAACGGTAAAGCTAATAATGATAAACAGCGCCCTGGTTCGGATGAAACCGAACTCCGTTCAAAAAGCGGTCGGTTTAATGTTTTCAGTGAGTTTTAATAAACAAACCGGCGATGCAGAACATGACTGAGGACGAGTGTGAAGCTTCAGGGCTCAAACTGAAATTCGGCACATAATGAACACCCCAAGTGATGTTTAATACACCGTGTCATACAACATCAGAAGTCTGAGCGTGTTTATTAAACACATTTTATTTTCACCTTAAAGTCAATTTGGCTGACGTAAAATGGTAAAAAAATAAAATAAAAATAAAAGTCAGTGGTTTTTTCCTTTTAAATAAAAACAAATGAAGTGCTGAAGATTATTTTGAGCGTATGTTCCTCCTGGTGCTCAGTCAGGTTTAAGTTGGATGTAATCAGTTAAAAGCTGTAATTTATCATCAACTGAAACACTGATGCTTGGTATCACAGTAGGAGCTCTATGATGAGGCACTAAATGTGATCTTTTCCCCTGTAAGATCCTTTTGTGTCACTGACACTTGTGTTTAAACGTTATTGCTTGCTTGATAATAAAAGCAGCAGAGCGCCTGAAGTGTATTTACTGCCGCTCAGCTCAGATCCCGAAGTCTCAGTGTGACATCCTTCGTTTCTCTCTTTCTCCCTCAGCGTCATCCCAAATTGCCAGTTTCGCTCTAAGACGTCCAGATTAAAAACCTTCACAGCCAATCAGCTGGATGAGATCAAAGACCCTTCAGGTCTCTTTTACATCCTCCCCTTCCAGAAGGTGAGAGAGTGAAACCACGTGTGGAGTCTGCAGCCTTACAGAGATCCTCTCTCACTGGCTGTCCTGTTCTTTGTCTTCAGGGTTATCTGGTCAACTGGGACGTCCAGAGGAAAGTGTGGGATCATCTGTTTGGAAAGGAGATGTTCAAGGTTTAGAGTTTGCTTCATTTTTGTCCACAATGTCTTTTCTTTACGAAAGGTGCTTTGGTTTGTTCTGTTTCACGCTCTCTGCTAATCTGATCTGATTTCATCCCGTCTGTGTGTTCTGGGTCCAGGTGGATTTCGCAGACACCAGCATCATCATCACAGAGCCGTACTTCAACTTCACCTCCATTCAGGAGTCGATGAATGAGATCCTGTTTGAGGAGTACCAGTTCCAGTCGGCTCTCAGAATAAACGGTGAGACTTAGAGTCAGACTTTAAGTTGTGGTTATCTTCTGTACGTCTTCTTCTAGACTCTGACAGTGAAGTCGGTCTGAATGTGTGTTCTCCAGCGAGTTCTCTCAGCGCTCATCACTACTTCAGCACTAAACCCTCTGAGCTGTGCTGTTTGGTGGTGGACAGCGGATTCTCCTTCACCCACATCGCCCCCTACTGCCGCAGCAAGAAACTGAAGGAGGGGATCCGCAGGTCAGAGGACTGCAGCAGCATTAACAGTAAGAACAACAACAACAACAACGTGCTGATGAGCTGTTGGTTTATTCTGCCTTCCAGGATCAATGTTGGAGGGAAGCTGCTGACCAATCACCTGAAGGAGATCATTTCGTATCGGTACGTTCACCTCGCTCTCCTCTGCTCTGCTAGCTTGTTGTTTGGTTTGGTAAAAACCTTTGCTCTTTCTAGCAGTACGAGTTATTATCTCCTCTGGTAAAACGGAGGATACTTAAATCTGAGACGTGGTTCAGAATAATCTCTCTCTCTCTCTCTCTCCTCCTCGCAGCCAGCTACATGTCATGGATGAAACTCATGTAATCAACCAAGTGAAAGAAGATGTCTGCTACGTCTCCCAGCAGTTTTACAAGGACATGGAAATGGCACAGTAAGCCCAGATACACCACAGAAACACTCCGCAGAGCAGATGCGGTTCTGTGGATCAGATGTCCGTCACTGAATCAGTCTGTTAGGTCAGATTAGACTTCTGTCCTCATCCTCTGTCCAAAGGCAAAACAATCCACCTACCAGCTCCTCTAAAGCTCCCTGATTAACACTTTACATCTGGTTTGTTTCATTTGGACAAAAAAGTGTCAATCAACTTTAATTTCTGTAAAACAGTTCACAGTCCGGCTTTAGTTGACTTAACTAACTGAACTCCCCCTGGCTATATACAGGACAGGCCTTTAATTCCTTAATGCCTTTATTAATTTTAAATAAATTACACTTTGGTGCTCATTGTGTCTGTAAAACAAACTGATTTAAACAATGAATTGTGCAGAATCTAACTGTGTTTAGCATGTCCAGGACGTCACCAAACCAGTAATGTAGGAGCCCATACTAATACCAGCAAAAACAAAACAATAAATCCCATCTACTTCAACATACATTCATTTAATAAAAACATGTAATATTAACAACTAACAGCTGTGAAACTGTGAGAGGATGTCCAGGTGTGGCGCAGCAGCGATCAGCTGATGTTCCTGATGGAGCCTCCGGCTGCTTCAGGTGGAGCTGGTTTGATCGGCTGGACGTGCAGATTCTCTTTCCTCTGTTTGAGTCTTTACTGTAGTTTAGTGACTTATTTAAACATACTTTTTTCTCATTTTATTCTTGTGACTGTCGTCTTTTCGGAGGTTTTGCTACTCACCACTAAAGGAAAAATCACTCGCAGAACTTTCAACTCAGTTTATTGATCGAAAGTTAACAAAATATTTTTCTGTTGTTCACTTTCAACACATATCAAAAACTTTCCTTAAATTTGTTTCCCACAACTTATTTAGTCACTAAACTATTTCACTCCTCCTCTCATTCAAATGCAAAAATACTACCAGTGAGGACGACCTAATCAGGATGAAGATCTGATAGTTTCCCAAAACTTTTATGTAACAGTTATTTGAAACAAGAAAAAAATAAAATGGATCACCTTGTTTGTCCATAACAACAATAAAATTAATAACAGGTTGCCATGCGACTACTGTGGCTTCAACAGGTGGAGTTTTATGCAAGGTATGGAATTTAGTACTCTGCTGCTATCGGTGTCACTTCAAGGGTACTGGTTTTGGTTCTGGTATCATAAAATTTTAAACGATACCCAACCCTTCTCCCTAACTTGGACGTTGGACAGACGTTCGTCGTCACCTTTGGTGATTTTCAGGTGATCAAACTGAATCAGCTCTCCAACAGAACTGGGAGAAATCCAGGCTTGGAAACAGCCGTGAAACTAACTTCACCTGGTTTCTCAAATTCAGTACTTAGCAAGAAAAGTACTGACATGTTTTCAGGAGGCTAACTGGGACTAGAGGTGGGTGATATGGCCAAAAATCTCATCCTCATAAATATCACTGTCAAACTGTCTTTCAAGTCAACAAGCTTTTGCTTTTTGAAGAAACCAGATTGTTAATTGTGGTTCTAAACTTGTCTTTATGGTCAGAACATGACAAACACTTGCCAAACAGTGGATCACTTAACAAATCTGAGGAAGAACATTCAAAACAATTAAGATAAAATCTTTAAAAAAATATATGCAGTCCCTTTTCCTCAACAAAATAAATATCTGAATAGAAAAATTAAGTGCTGATTCGTTCTTGATTCAAATAAATCAAAAGTTCTCTGTTTTCACAGCCACCTTCACTCAGCTGCAGCTCCGTGTTCTAGTGTTTCACCAGGGAGTCGCTGATGAAGTGATTGACAATTTTTTTTTTGTGTGTGGTGTGTTATCAGGATGAAGGGGGAAGAAAACTCTGTGATGAGGGATTATGTTCTTCCAGATTTCAGCTCCATCAAAAAAGGCTTCTGCAAGGTGAGAAAACCTTTTTTTACAGAGGGAAACGTGTGTCTGTGCCGCCGTCCTCACTGGTCTTTCTGTCCACCAGCCACGAGAAGAGATGGTCTTAAGTGGAAAGTACAAGACAGGAGAGCAGATCTTGAGATTGGCTAACGAGCGCTTTGCGGTTCCTGAGATGCTCTTCCACCCGTCAGACATCGGCATTCAGGAGATGGGCATCCCAGAGGCCATCGTGCACTCCATCCAGTCCCTGCCAGAAGGTCAGACCACACGCTTTTAACAGCTGTGATCTTAAAGAGGTCTCACTTGGGTGTCAGAGGAAGTTTTTACATGTAATAATTACAGAAGGCTGCTGTTCTGTGTAAAATGTGTTTTCTTAATCTTCAAATAAATAACAGCTGATGTATCTCCTGTCCGTCCACCTTTAGTTTACATTTTCACCGGTACAGCGGTGGAAATAACACGTCTGTGTGTTTTCTGCCTGCAGACATGCAGCCACACTTCTACCAGAACATCGTCCTGACTGGAGGAAACATTTTGTTCCCCGGCTTCAGAGAGCGACTGGAGGCAGAGCTGCGATCACTGGCCCCCGCCCACCTCCCCGTGTCAGTCCTACAGCCTGCAAAGTAAGTTCAGCCTGGTTTATAGCTGTACGTCATAACTTCCTGCGCACAAAGGAAGCTGCACTGCAGCTGCCCGACGTCTGACACCTTTAACACGAGGCATGTTAAAGGGGATCGTTGCAGATTTTCCACCTCAGTGTGCCTCCAGGTGTTGGAGTTCTCCTGTACATATTTTTAAAGTAGTCTGGCACCTTGAGGGTCGCAGAGGGAGCCGTGTGACGTCTGATCAGTGTCCTCAGGTGATGTCAGTTGAGTCGGTGTCTGCCGAAGACTACAAGTTTGAAAAGTTAGAAAGAAGGTCAGCAGCCGTCTGCAGCTGCTGGTCATCTCCACTGCAGACTGTTGGCTACATGAGCTGCTACTAGTATCACACCACAATCTCTCACACGACACTGAGGGAGAGCTGCATTGTGGGTAATGTAAGCGGCAGGTTTTGAGTTAATTGGTTAATCTGGTTCTGCTGCATTGATTTCCATCCTTGTTTTTAAAACCTGTCGATTGTGGCGCTGACAGAGTTGGTGATAAATCTGTGGAGGACTTTCAAGGAGAGAGACTCTTCCCCTTTTCACATCTGACAAAAGGTGTGTTCGAAATGACTGTGACCAACTTTCACTGACCTGATGGTCAAACACAAGCTGCAGACTACTGTCCGTCAAGTCGGACATGTTCTCCTTCCCGTAAAGCGCGTGAGCCTAGAGCAACGGCTGATGTCGCAGGATCAGGCAAAAGGTGGTTCCCTCTCGGTGCAGCCGGAGCAAAGCAACTGCGGCCGCCTGACTCAGAAAACTGCAGCCAGGCAAACTAGAAGTTACCGGGACGTCACTCCAGTTTCTGTGACCACCGTCCCTTTTTTTCACAAAGTAAATCAACCAATGAAAACGGTTACTGTGTGGAAGATAATTAAAGCATGATGCATCATCTAAACTGTAAATCTGCAGCAGGACTCCACCATAAATCTGACCTGAGCTTCAGTCTGATTCTTTCCCACAGCCGTCTTCTAGGCACTGCACAAACAGTTTTGTCTGTGGGAAGGATATAAGATAATATCTCAGCTTAGTCCTGTTTGACTTATATAGTATACGTGATATTAACATTTCTGCTTTCCCCGTCTTGTCCCGCAGTCCGATCTGTTATTCATGGGAAGGAGGGAAGCTGCTGTCCCACAACCCAGACTACGACGAGATGGTGGTGACACGAGAGGACTACGAAGAGAACGGACATTTTATTTGTGAAGAAAAGTTTGATATCTGACTGAAAATTAAAAATTATTCTGCTTCATCATCGACATGAAAACAAACCTGCATCTGAGGGAGATGGGGGAAAAAAAACCCTGCCAGCTAAATTCTGATTCAATTAAAGGAGATTCAAACACATAAAATCAGAAACAAAATGTTTTTCTACAGCAGTTTTATTTTATTTCAGTCTGTTTTCTTTTTATAAGTATGTCTGTGCCAACCAGTCAAAAAAAGTTTTGTTGTTGGTAAATTATGAAACTGCATCTTAAGGCTGCTTGTAATTCATGAGTAGGAGTTAATTAATGCAAAAAATATATTTTAAATTTTTTTTATTTACAGTTTTTAAATTTTTAAATTACAGTTGTCTCATCTCTTGTTTTTGGCCGCATGCTGTTTTTATCTGCCTTTTTTAAAAAGATGTTCTTCAGATTCACTTTCAGAAATCTACAAGAAACATTAAGTAATCTGGTCTGAAGCAAATTGGTTGAAACTCTTTTTATTTTATTTATAATAGTTGCACAAGAGCAGAGTTTTTCTGTGGCTGCGTCTTACAGGTACAAACATCTGGAGTCATTTTTCCCCAGTAGCTTACAGATGATTTGATCTAAAAGTCTTGAAGTTTCTCTGCAGGTGATTTTGTTGACAGTTTCAGTTCAGTCGTCCTGTGCTGGAGGTCTGCAGATGTTTCGGTGCGATGGATTTCTTTCTAATGGCCAGAAGTATTTTAAAGACGCATTCTTCCTGAGCTTCAGTGGATCTCAGATTTTACACACGTACAAAGTGATGAATTATTGTTTATTCCAAATATTTTCATTATCTCTTTTAGGGCTCAGTGATTTTGAAAAATCTAATTTATGATTCATTTTTACTTTTACTGATATCAGAGGGATTGATCGTTATTCAGCATGACAATATTTAATTTCAAAAGTTTTTTTGGCACCTTCACCAAATATTACGGCTACTGTGGTTTGAAAACTGAAGTAGGCCATATTGTGATTAATTGTTCAGCCCTAGTCTCCTAGTATACTGGGCCAAAAAATATATATATTTTGGAGAACGACTGTTTACTATTTCTTATGTATCTAACGTGAATTTTCCTGCTGTAACTAACTTTCTGATAAACCTTATTAGTGTTTTTGGAGTTTTTAGTCAATCAAAAAACTTATGCAACTTTTTCCTAAAATATTCCTTTATATTTTTTAAGCGCTTTCTACTGTATACCGAGCTCCTGGTTTCCTTTAGTGACATCTGGACTGAAAACTGAAGCTGGAACAAACAGTAATGGAAAGAGTGTTTCATGATGAAAGTATACTGGCCCAAATGAGGAAACCAATTCTTCCAGGATTGTTGAACAAAATGTTTAATTCCCAAAAATGACATAAGTAGAAGAGGCTGCACTAAATATGATGAGTTTCTTCTTATTAATGAATTTTAATAACTAATGTTTGTTATTAACGTTGAGATTTGGACTGTAGGTTGGACACTTGGGGCTCTGGGAAACTGTGAGGGCAGAATCTTTAAAAACCAAGCAATCAAACGATTAATGTAGAAAATAATCAGCAGATTGATCCTGAAGCTGTACTCTGATACTAAACACTATTTAATTTAGGAATAATAATCTAACGATAGAATATAAAACAGTACATCAGGCGCAGGGGAGGCTTTTACTTAAAAAGCTTTTAATTATGTAACATTTTCAAAGCAGTAATATTACTATACTTTTACTGAAGTAAATGATCCAAGTACTTTCTCTACCTCGGATCTACTCGGGTTCACTCGGGCCCACCGGTCCTTTGACCCGAAGCCCCTCGGTGTGGTTGTGGCGGGAAATAGAGCAGAAATTCGACGCGCTAGCAAGTTAGCTTCAGTTTCTGTTGCAACCATTTAAGCCTGATTCAAAAAATAAATTAGTCGCTGGACTCGAGGACAGAGGTGGCCTTGATTTAAATAATTACCTAAAATTAAGTTGTGTCAGTCAGTTAATGATTTGTCAAACAGTAGCAGCATTATAGCGAGAGTCATTAGCAGCGAAGGCTAAGCTAACGTTAGCAGTTAGCTGGGTAACATTAGCCGGCATTAGCAAATACCCAGGTTGTGTTGTCTTGCTAGATTTTGTTTGAAGAATGGCAACAGCCAGAAGACAGATGAAGAAGAAACATCCAGAAGAGAAACCAGATAAAAAAGTGTTTGATTTTACTCAAGAGGATGAAAAGAAAGAGCTGAGCGGCTCAGAGGACGATGTTAGAGAACGTAAGTGTAACTAGCTGTTAGCTGTTAGCTTCTGATACCCGCTAATCCAAGAACATTAACTTTGAACTTCTGATTAATGTCACAAGATGAAACTCCGATAGGGGACAAGTTGGCCAAGAAGAGACCTGCAGCTGACTTTGAAGAGGAGGCCAGCTGTGCTGTCGGGTATTTCACATTAATACCGTTTTATTACAGCTTTATTTAGCTAAAATAACGTGCTGGGTAACCTAAAGTTACCATTCGACAGTTAAGGGGAAAGTTAAGGGAAACCTGTCCTTTTTTTCATTATAATAATAATAACAAAGGTTTTACAAATCAGAGACTGCGTTTTAAAGAAAATTTAGCTTCTCTGGAATAATTTTATCCAGATCTGACTGCTCTAGGCATAACGTTAGTGGATTATGATCTGGACCTGGTCCAATGTAGTCTAATGTTATATGTAAAAAAAACATACAGTCCTAATTTTTGTATTTTCACAAAAAGAATAAAGGTTTCACAAGTCTGAAAGTGTGTTTTAAAAGATCATATGGTTAGCCTCTCTGGAATAATCCAGTCCAGATTTGACAGCTGTAGGCATAGTGGTTTATGATCTAGACCTGGTCTAATGTGGTCTACATGTGGGGGGAAAAAAACATAAATAATACCCTTTTTTTTTGTATTTTCACAAATAGAATAAAGGTTTACAAATCTGAAACGCTGTTTTAAAGAAATCTTAGCCTCTCTGGGATGATTAAATCAGACAGAACTAGGGGTGGTGGCACAATGGATAAGACACATGCCTTTGGTGTGAGAGACCCAGGTTCAATTCCCCACTGTGACGCATTGAGCAAGACACTCAACCTAGTTGCTCCAGAGGCGTGCGACCTCTGACATGTATAGCAATTGTAAGTCAGCTAAATGAATAAATATAAAAACTAGGCATAGTGGTTTTTAATGTGGAACTGAGTTTCCCTTAACTTCTCCAGTGCCCGCCGAATCAGAAACTGCAAATTGGAACCTAACTTAAGCTTCATTTCTCTTATCACACTTTCAGAAATGAGGTACAGTCCATGTTGGAGAAATTCGGAGGTAAGCAGCACTGTGCAGGTGTGTGCCTGTTTGATTTTCTCCTTACTGTAACATTAGGGTAATTAAGTAATAAAGCTTGACAGTGAAGGTTTAGTGGGGTTTTTAGTCTGATTTTAACCAAATTATTGGTGGTTTTATCCTTGTCCTTGTTAAGAAAATAGTAACACCTGTAAATATTAGCAGACTATCATTAACATGTTGTTAAATTAGAAAACACTGTAGAAAAACAGTGGGATCAGCATCAAACCTCGCATGTTGTATTGGTATTAAAAGAAGTGTGACCATATCCAGCTGTTGTCCTTAGTGCGACAGAAACATATGGATTGTTGTGGTATTTACCTCCAGCTGATATCAGTAAGGTGATGCAGGCTAAGAAGAAACGTCTGGAGTGTCTGACGAAGAACTACATGAAGGGAAGCCAACACAAACTGGAGCAGCTGTGGAACAACTACCACAGCCAGAGGTTTGACTTTCTCCTTCCTGAGACTTAAGGGAAACCACAAAACCTGATTCAGTTATTGATATCTGCAGCATGTTTAAAGACTGACACCAGAATACATTAAACGTAAAATGAATTGAATGAATGAAAGTTATGACATAATGAACATGAGCATTGGGTCAAAACGATTATGATTATTTAAAATGGTGTAAAGTGTGAAATGTGTGTGTCTGCAGGCAGAAGATGACTCAGCAGTACTCATCGCAGGTGTCCTCTGCGCTGCAGCAGTGGGAGGCTGAAGCCCAGCGAGCTGAGGAGCAGGAGGAGAAGCTCAATGTTAGTTCACTTCCTTGCTTCATTGGTTAGGTAGCGCTACAGGTTTGATTGGGGCAGGATGATTATTCAAGTTCAGAGCCTCTAACTAAGCTCTAAGTCTTGCTCAGCTTCCAGACCGGAGTCTGAAGCTATATATATAATATTAATGATTATGTGAAAGTTAGTAGCAGGGGTCATTTATTCAGCTGCAGCGATGTACCGAATATAGGGGCAACCCGTCTCTGTTATGTGCACGTCAACATAACTTTATCAATAAACATTTAGATAAATTATTTTATATTCATTACATTTATCTGACACTTTTATCCAAAGCGACTTACAATTGTACGCCTCTGGAGCAACTAGGAGTTAAGTGACTTGATCAGGGACACAATGGTGGTTGGGTCACAGTTGGGGATTGAACCCTGGTCTCTCACACCAAAGGCATGTGTTTTATCCACTGCTCCATCACTGCCCTACTTTTTGACATCTGTGAATTAAATCCTACCTTTAACTGTTGATCATATTTACTGGGCAAACCTTGTAAGTGGACTATAAAGGAAAAAATACAAAAACAAAATAATCATTCATTAATCATAATCAAGGTAAAGTGCTAATTAATCATGATTTTAAGTTTTGGTCATATTGTCCAGCCCAGGGTTGATGCTCTTTTGACCACTAGTGTTGCATTTAAAGGAAACATCCCCCCTCAGATCTTATTTAGGGTTAGATCTCATGTTGTAATGCAGAGTTCGTCTCCAGCAGCTGTTTGTGTTGGAGGGTTGCTCTACCATCCTCTGTGCAGAGACAAGTACCATGAACCTATGATCAAAGGCTGCGTTCAGACTGCAGGTCAAAGTGACCCAAATCAGATTTTTGCTCATATGTGACTCCGATCTGATGTGTTTATAACAGTGTAAACATTTCACATGGAATCAGATTTTTTTTCTAGGCCACTTTAATATGTGGTCCAAATCAGATCCAGGTCTGCTTAGTTGAAATGTGACCTCAGTCAGAACGGAGTTCATGTGACTCTGACGTCACTTTAGAGCGACTGCCGCTGCCGCTGACTGACTGTGTGGGATTTTATACAGGTTTTCCAAAAAATGTGTCATATTTTCTTTTGAGGGTGTATGTAATGCCGTGTTACGTATATCCTTTTGTGGGTGGGAATAAGTGTTTGACGCAGCGACTTTGTCAGGTTAACCTCGGCTGGCTCCCAATTATATAAGAAATATCTAAAGTTGTTGTACATAAAAACCGCCACAACGTGCATGCTACTGTCCGAGCAGAAACAGTAGAGAGAGAGAGAGTAGTGGTGCATATGCATTGTACAGTGCCAGAAACGGTAATGAATGTAAAGAAAAGGACAGAAAGTTGTGAACATTTGTCATAAATGAGGAGAAAATGTTACCCGGGAAGGAAACCAGGAGATGAGAAATGGAAGTCTCATGAAAATCAGGAGGGTTTTCAAGTATGAGCTAACCGGCGCTAACCCCCGTGGCCTCTATCTTTACTTCTGTACGACAGCGTGCTGCGATGTCGTTTTCTTCTTCTGCACATGCGGGTCGCTTTCGGTCCGAGAACAGTTCACACTTCAGTCTGATGTAAGCCACATTACACAATAATGTGATCTCGGCAATAAATCTGAATCGTGCTTTAAGGAGAGTGAACGTAGCTAATATATGGCAGAGGTGTCCTGATTTGAAGCCTCAGTTCGTATCCTGCCTCTACAGAATGAAAAGGTATTCAGCCAGGAGGAATGTTTCTGCCTCTTGCCCATCAAAATAAGAAATAGGTATGTTTTATCCATCTTTCTTTGCTTTGAATCACTTCATTACATCATGAGGAAATATATAAAGAACAATTAAGGAGTAAAAACAACATTCGTCATTTGACTTCACAGAGAAAAAAAGCAGTCAGTCCCATTCTTTACTAGTTTGTTGCATCATTGTGCATTTTCAGTTCTATTAAGAAAAACTTTATCCCTGAGGGCCCATTCAAATTCAATCAAATCAGACTTTATTGTCACGTGGACAGGAAACAGTTGTCACACAGTACAATGAAATTCTTACTGTGAATCCTTCCAGCATCATCAAACATTAAACACCCGAAGACATAAATAGCTGCAAAAAATATACAATAAATACTATGTAAACATGAGGACATGCAGGCTGAGTAAAAAGAAATAAACAAACAGGACAAATAAAGACAAACAATGACCAGGTGGAAGAGACAGTTCACAGCAGAGAACAAGAAGCAAGAGGCAGACGGTCAGATCGAACCGTATAGACCTTTAAAAAGAGATAAAACAAACTGAAAAGGGAGAAACTACCTCGACACAGTTTCCTACATAATACTTATTGTAGCAGGAGATACGACATCTGAGGGGTGCATGTGTGTCAGTGCAATGTTTATAAAGAAGGATTGATTAAAACATTCATGATCTGTTATTATGAATAATTGTAAAAAACATAACGTTCACTCACTGACAGCTTCTTGTTATTGATGAGTGTGAAGAATCTCTCAGAAAAGAGGGAGCGAGTTAGTTAGCTCTGACTTCATTGACGCTGTTTCTTCTGTTTGTAGAATCTGTTCAGACAGCAGCAGAAAATCCTGCAGCAGGCCCGAGTGGTGCAGAACCAGAAGCTGAAGACTGTCCGAGAGCTGTACGAGCAGTTTGTGAAGGTGAGGGCTGTTTTCAGACGTCATGTTGTTCCCCTGACAACTGCAGAAAGAAATGGAGGTCTTCAGAAAACCATCCAACAGAAACATCGCACATGTTCATGCTGTTTTTTAGCTAACGGTGTAATTCCTGCCAGGATGGACAGTGTAGAGTTTATTTTTAAAATGAAGACATGTAGTTATTAGGTGCAGAACACATCGTAGACCTGCAAGGAGGAGGATCCTGTACTGGAGGCGGATGTGTTTGGCTCTGACTCTCCCGATTTTCTCAGACAAAGAAGTCAAACTGAAGCTTTTTCTGTATTTTCTCCAGAACATGGAGGACATGGAGAACAGCCACGAGGCTTTCCTGCAGGGGGCGCAGCAAGAGCTGAGGAAGGAGATGGCCACCCTGCAGAAGAAGATCCTCATGGACACAGTGAGTGCAGATGGTAGAGATAGGACTGATTCACATTGATGTTGATAGCTCTGGGGAAACTGGGTTATTACAGCACAGAGTCAGAAAAAACATCAAAGCTGTTGCACAGACACACAAAAGTAGGAACTTGTGAGTTGCTGATGACAACTGGTGTGTGGCTAAAGACTAAATTAACATACATTTAATAATAAAAACGTCAAATAAGTCATCGCTCTCCATGTGAAAGAACATTTGAAAAGAAAGCTGCTTTTCAGTTATTTACGTTCAGACATCGAACTCTGCATTTATTCCCTGATTTTAGGGAGGAGATCTTAATTAATTAACGGGACAGTTTCTTAGATGTAGCCCATCTGTAGTCTATAATTGAATTCTCCTGAGTGTTTTCACATATTCTATTTTACGTGTCCAAAAAATACGGAGCCAGGGTCGGGGTTAATAACCGAGGGGGAAAAATGAAATGAAAGTGTGAAATTTACAAGAAGAAATATATCCATATCCATATATAATATCAAATTACACATAAAAAAAGAGGCCGTAAAATACATACAGCTAACCATCATCTTATCCACCGTCGTAGTACCGTTTAACTCCAGTGTAGGCGGTGAGAGTTTGTCATCGTTGAGTTTGCCCGATAACACAGAGTTAATTCTGAGTAGGCTGAAATCCCTTCCTTGTGCTGGCCACTGGTGTCTGACAATGAGATTTCAGAGCGAGACTTCAGCTACCTGTTAAAAACAAAGGGGGTCACCTGGAGTCCCTCGTAGGGATCCTTTCCATGATGTTGTCAGACACCTGGAGTAACAGGCTGAGCCTGTCGGGGGGGCAACAAGAAGCTCTTTCTGTGGATGTTACTGAAGCTTCTACTGCACGGACTCAAACCTTCTTGAGTCATTTCACCAACATGTGTGGAAACAGGTTTAAAACTTTTCCTGGCTCAGAATGGGCCTTTGGGGGGGGGGCAACAGTAAGCACGGCCGGTATGCTTACATTAAAGCAAGGAGTCAGCTTATGACTGAAATATATGTATTTTCTTGTAATTTCTGACCATTTGATAAACAAAATATATCCACAGCCTGGTGGAGTAAAGGTATAAAAGTAAAGTATAATGTTAGTATAATAATATATTTACAGGTTACACTTGATTTGGATGATCTGCCTACAGATAGTGTATTAGTTGAGATTGAGCTGTTTCACAAATAAAACCTTTCTCTGATATCAGCCTACACCGCTGTGGTTGAAATGACAGGAAGTCATTAGCTCAAGCTTAGTTGCGGAACGTCCATGTGCAGTCAAACCAACGCAGCAGCTGGTTTATAAATCCAGCGCCAGCTGCATGTGTAAAAAAACAAAACAACAAAAGAGCGCTGTGGATGAGAGGAGGTGACTACTGGAAGTCAAGACGTGTTTAAGTTTGTGCTAAAACGTCTTTGGGAGGCGCCAAAAATTCTCTATGCAGGAAAAACCCTGAAAAACCCAGAAACTGTCCCTTCAGTGAAAACAGTAATTCATAAAACTTGCACACAGAAACTCCAACAGGGGATATGATGTCAGAAGGTCATGTTGTCTCTTCCTCTTGCACTCCACGTTAATGTTGTCAATGTTTGTTTCCACAGCAACAGCAGGAGATGGCCACGGTCCGTAAATCGCTTCAGTCCATGTTGTTCTAGCCTGCTTCTAACCACGGCGAACGAGCTGAGGATGCACTCTAGGTTGGCGTCGTTTACCTGCTGTGCCTTTTGTTTTTACAGAGTTAATGTTTACGTCTGTTACTTTTTCTACTTGTTTAATAAAAATATGAATTCATTGTTTAATTCTGCCTGTTAGTTCATGTGAGACGGAGCAGCTGATGTTGCTGCGTTTTGTTGTGCGTTAGAATAAGTTTGGAAAGTGGACATCTCCAAACCCCCCCAACAAGTTTCAGAGTTAGATTATAAATATGAAATATAAATATATATATCTCCATTACAAAGACAAAGAGCTGATCAAATGTTCACACAGCAAAATCTGAGGAACCTGGGGAATCATCCGGCGAGAGAGCGTGAAGTAAATAAATGATTGTGAAAACTGAAAACTAAAGGGGACAGTTTGCAGTCGGGCCACGAGGCTCTGGTACAGCAGGTCGGTTGAGTCAGTGAACTCTTTTAAGTGCCTTCTTAAAACATTCATACAGTGGGTACGGAAAGTATTCAGACCCCTTTAAATTTTTCACTCTTTGTTTCATTGCAGCCATTTTCCAAAAATCAAAAAAGTTCATTTTATTTCTCAGTAATGTACACTCAGCACCCCATCTTGACAGAAAAAAACAGAAATGTAGACATTTTTGCAAATTTATTCAAAAAGAAAAACTGAAATATCACATGGTCATAAGTAATATGACTCCAAATAATATAATTCCAAATATAATTCGCTGTGTTACAACTACAAAGACTAACATGCAGCTGTCATGTTATTGCCGCGAGACTCTTTCAGATTGCACCACAGATCTATTATATATATATATACACTGCTCAAAAAAATAAAGGGAACACAAAAATAACACATCCTAGATCTGAATGAATGATATAATCTCATTAAATACTCCTTTCTTTACATAGTTGAATGTGCTGACAACAAAATCACACAAAAATTATCGATGGAAATCAAATTTATCAAACCATGGAGGTCTGGATTTGGAGTCACACTCTAAATCAAAGTGGAAAACACTACAGGCCGATCCAACTTTGATGTAATGTCCTTAAAACAAGTCAAAATGAGGCTCAGTAGTGTGTGTGGCCTCCACGTGCCTGTATGACCTCCCTACAACGCCTGGGCTCCTGATGAGGTGGCGGATGGTCTCCTGAGGGATCTCCTCCCAGACCTGGACTAAAGCATCCGCCAACTCCTGGACAGTCTGTGGTGCAACGTGGCGTTGGTGGCTGGAGCGAGACATGATGTCCCAGATGTGCTCAATTGGGCTGTGCGGCCCCCCAAAGAAATGCCACCCCACACCATTACTGACCCACCGCCAAACCGGTCATGCTGGAGGATGTTGCAGGCAGCAGAACGTTCTCCACGGCGTCTCCAGACTCCGTCACGTCTGTCACATGTGCTCAGTGTGAACCTGCTTTCATCTGTGAAGAGCACAGGGCGCCAGTGGCGAATTTTCCAATCTCGGTGTTCTCTGGCAAATGCCAAACGTCCTGCACGGTGTTGGGCTGTAAGCACAACCCCCACCTGTGGACGTCGGGCCCTCGTACCACCCTCATGGAGTCTGTTTCTGACCGTTTGAGCAGACACATGCACATTTGTGGCCTGCTGGAGGTCATTTTGCAGGGCTCTGGCAGTGCTCCTCCTGCTCCTCCTTGCACAAAGGCAGAGGTAGCGGTCCTGCTGCTGGGTTGTTGCCCTCCTACGGCCTCCTCCACGTCTCCTGATGTACTGGCCTGTCTCCTGGTAGCGCCTCCGTGCTCTGGACACTACGCTGACAGACACAGCAAACCTTCTTGCCATAGCTCACATTGATGTGCCATCCTGGATGAGCTGCACTACCTGAGCCACTTGTGTGGGTTGTAGACTCCGTCTCATGCTACCACTAGAGTGAAAGCAGCATTCAAAAGTGACCAAAACATCAGCCAGGAAGCATAGGAACTGAGAAGTGGTCTGTGGTCACCACCTGCAGAACCACTCCTTTATTGGGGGTGTCTTGCTAATTGCCTATAATTTCCACCTGTTGTCTTTTCCATTTGCACAACAGCATGTGGAATTGATTGTCAATCAGTGTTGCTTCCTAAGTGGACAGTTTGATTTCACAGAAGTGTGATTGACTTGGAGTTACATTATGTTGTTTAAGTGTTCCCTTTATTTTTTTGAGCAGTGTATATTTGGGTCACGGATGGATCACTGAGGGGTGTGTGTGTGACAGGTGAACTATTTGAGTTGACGAAGTTACGTTACAATTAAAATAATCAGTAAATATATAATAAATATAATATAGTATATATGGTTCATCAAAACACACACGGCAAAAATCTACATGCTCTTCCGTAAATGCAAAATGTTTGGAGACAAAGAAAAGGAAGTCCAGTCCTGCCCAACCCTCTATTTATAATGTGGGAGGTCGACTTGGAAGAGCAGAGACACTTGACCATGACAATGTCCATCCAGTTATATTGGATCCAAGACATCCCATAACCAAACTCATTATCAAGCATTATGATGAGAAATTGCTCCATCCAGGACCTGAACCTGTTCTAGGACAAATGAGACGCTGGTATTGGATCCTGCGTGGTCGCCAAGCCACGCGTCAGCACCAGTGTCAAGACTGTCAGAAATGGAGAGCTTCCTCTAGCCCGTCTTAGACTACTGTGCAAGTGACCTCCTTGGTAGGAGAAAATGGCGTCACAGCCAGATCTTAGCCGACCATTTTTGGACCGCCTTCATCCGCCGTTACCTTCCAAACCTTCTAACCAGGAAAAAATGGGAGACCGACTGGGAGAACCTGGATTTAGGTCAGGCTGTAATGATAGTTGATCCTCATTATCCTCGAGCATCATGGCCTATTGGAAGGACAGCTGAAACCTACCCCAGAAAGGAGGGAAAGGTCCGCAGTGTAAAGGTCAGACGGGTGAAACGGATTTGCTGCACAAATCCAGGGGCGGCTGTTTCAAACTGCAAGTGCGTTGCCCTCCACAGCGCTTGCAGTTTGTAACAATACGTAAAGACACAAATGTCAATAATTATGGAAACCGTCTGATAAAAAGTTGTATAGTTTGACATTTTTAGAGCAGAAGACCATCGGAGCAAAGATGCGGATGAATCCAGAGATTCGACTCTAAACGAAGCCGTTTTCGAGATAATTGCACAAACATAAAATTGATCGTTATAGCGCCACCATGAGTTCTATGAGGGCCGTTTGTTTTGCCTGAGTAGTGGGTGGAATTTGCAACCTACGTGCCAATTTTGGTGAGTTTTTGTCCAGCAGTTTTTGCTGCCCAAACACTTTTAGCGGAGCAAAAGAAGAAAGAGAAAAAGAAAGAAGAATCAGAACATGGTCTAATGATTCAGATGTCATTTTTCTTGCCATTATAAGGTGGTGAGGCTCAGCTTAGTGCTGCATGGGCCGTGAAAGTGAAATCATTGTGGAGAGCATCAAAACTAACCACGTGAATTTTCTCAGGTCTTATGGTCATAATTCAAACCCAGTAGACTTATTAAGCAACTTTAGCTTTTGGGGTGGAGTTTATTTAAAATCTGCTCTAGATTTTCCTACTTATTATTCACAGATGTGTTAATAACAATGTTCCAGAATTATGTGGAATTGCATATTTCTTTATTGGAAAACATAAAAGCTATCTTGGGGGATGACCCCAAACCCCCAACACAAAAATACCGTCTTAATTTTTTATATTATAGTCACGTCAGAAAGCATGTTTTAAACCACATGGACATTATAAACACACACCTTTACTTCTGGTCTCTCACAGCAAACACACCGTCCTTCCACGCCTCTCTCTGTGTCTCCCTGTCTGCGCCCCTGAGTTTCTCCATCAGCAGGAGGTTATGTTTATTAAAGTCACAGAACTCTTTTTTCGCGGCAGCAGGTGCTCCGCATGCCAGCTTCATAATTACGTAGCTTATCTATGTCATTGTCCATGCTGGTGTTTCATTGTTGACATTGTCCAATGTCCATTTTGTAGACATCACTCAAATCACTCCTAAATTTAACACATTTCTTTACTCTGCAGGTAAGTTTGTGACTACATTTCCTTTGTATGTTTATATTTTTGATGTTGTGATACAGGTCTTAAATTTTATTCATAGTGGTCTTAAGAAAGGTCTTAAAAAGTCTTAAATTTGATGAGGTGAAACCTGCAGAAACCCTGAACCTGCTAGTATATCATGTTATTTTTCAGAGATCTAATGAATATAATTATGATAAAATACATTTAACAAATATATGAACATAAATAACAATGCGAAAGAACAGATTACAGCATGAAATCGCAACTTTATACTAGAGAAACTTTGCTTTCCAAACAGACATGTGTGAACTATGTAATATGTTAAATTTTGGATGATGATGATGATGATGAATTATAACTGAGATGATTCAACATGAAGTTTGAGTTTTCAATAAAAATATATTGAGTTGTTATTTTATCAACATTGAATATTTTACATTACTTACCCTCATTGCCACAAATACATGTAAGTACAGTTATAAATACCACTGTGAGTGTTTTTCCTCTCTTTGTTCCTAAAATACGTGTTTTATTGTTAGTTTTCACTGATTGAGCTTAAAAAGCGAACATGACATGAAAATATAATATTCCATATTATCAGGTTTGGTATTTTATGCCTTTATTACATGCTGTCCAAACACGTGGACAGTTAAATAATTAAAAAATAAAACAGAATTTTGAAAAAATTCAAATTTGAGCACATTTTTGAGTTATAAAAACAATCTTTAAAAAATCTAAAAACTCTTTTTAATAATTCCTCCATGAGTTAATCTGCTGATTATTTTCTCCATTAATTAATTGATTGATTGTCCTGTTAAAGTAGTGGGAAAATGCCTCACAGTGTGTGAAAGATATTCAGTTTACAGTGACATGAAACAGCCGCATGTAAATAATAAATGTAATAAATTATTGTAGCTGCAATTACTTCATTTGTGTTTCTTCCTCCGTAAATAAGCGGGCTTATTGTTTAATTTCTCTTGTCTCTCTCTTGTGCAGAAGAGGATTAGGGTCATGTGAAAAAAAATTTTTTTTGAGTTTTCTTTTGAGAGAAAGTCAGAATTCTGAGATTAAAGTCAGAATTCTGAGAAAAAAAGTCAGAACTCTAAAATAAATATCACATGTGGCCCTAATCCTCTCCCGCACTCTTGTTTATGTGAAAATAAAACTAAAAGTTTAAACTAAACTGGGGGGATTGTCGGTACTTTTCAGTGCGACACCGGAAGTGCCCTCTCTGTTGTTTCGACGTGCACTTCCTGTTGTGACTCCAGCGAAGAATCCTCCACAAACAGACGGTCTGCCAACAAACCGGGACAGGACGGCGCCGTTTGGGTAAAGTTAACAGATATTTCGCTTAGTATGTTGTTTTAATTAGCGGCCGTGAAGTTTAATTGATTTTAAGTCGGGTTATGGGAGCGTTTGTCTGCAGCTGCTTGGGTTAGCTCTCTATGCTAACTCGGCTAACAGATGGACGTTTCACTGAGTTTGGTAACAAAACTGTTTTCACTTTGTTTCAGTTCCTGAACCTGTTGTTTTATTATACATGCGTATAAAATATGTTGGTTTTATCTGTGCAGTTGGTGCCTTTTGTTCGTTGTTAAAAAACTAAACAAATTAAATTATGTTTCTCAACACTGAATCTAAAACACGCATGTAAATTATTTATTGGTCTCTGAGGAAGCTTTCTTTAAACATTAACGTTTCTAAGAGGAAGATGGCTCCAGTTTCTCACTCATTCTTTAGTTTTTCCCTCAAGAAAGTGTTTTTATTTTAAATAAGTTGTTGTTTAAAAAATGTAATATTTGTCTCAAAGAGATGCAGGCATGTTGCAACACTTTTCAAACCTCAGCTTTATCAATGTTTTTTATCATGTAATTTATAACAATTGGAAAAACGATGGACTAATCATAAATGACAATAATAGTGGTTTATCTTTAATTAAAAACCAACAGATGCGTTAGGTCGTCTGGTTACACAGGATACACATTTAAAATAGAGTCCACTACAGACCAGGATGAAGGATCTGAAGGACTTTCATCTTTATATTTTAATGGTTCTGTAGTTTTTGGAAATATGGGGACAGGTAACTAGTTTTCAGTGTTCTGGGTAGTTCATTTAAATATCTTGCATTTGTCATGCGTATTTATATATTTAAAGTCCTGAGGAGAGAAGTGGCAGCGATTCGGTGGAATATTCCAGACACGGCAACATTAGCTGTTTGGTGGATCTTTCTCAGGTGAACTTTCCAGAGCACCTGGATGATTCGAGTCTGGATTCACGGTGATTACAGGATTTGGATCCAGGTGTGTTACGGTGCTGGAAGACGGCATGGACGAGACGTTTCCCGGCAGTCCCTGTTCGTCTGAGGCGGACAGTCCTGGAGGTCTGAACCGAGGCTGCCTCCTGGACCCAGCTGACGTCCTCTATCATGACCTCTCCATCATCGTCCCGGAAACACCCAGGTAACACGGCTCCTCGTCTCGCCTGTGGGTCACACTGAACGCAGAGAGCGCTATAGTCATAGGGGACGCTGGGGACACGTCCCCACCACTTTTTAAGCATAATTTGTTTAAAAAATGTTCTAAAAAAACTCGACAAGACAGGTAAACTCAAAAACGTTTATTTGCACATTAAGAAAACACGCAATGCAATTTAAAATTTAGAAGAAAGAAATGTGGCATTGTTCAAAAAACATAACGTAAGCTAAAAGACATGATTACTGCAATATATTCTGTTATATATATATTTTTTTTCACCTGTCATTTTTTGTTCCTTGTGACGTCACAGGGATGAAAGCTAAACGCGCCTCATTTAATCTCGCCAAGCGGCTACTCCGACACGCCCTCAGAAACAACACGTACGGCTGAACCCGAGCCGTTTACCGGCTTCTCGCTGACCCGCCCTTCTCTGCTTCTGATTGGCTAGTAGTCCTTAACTAGGAACTGAGCATGTGCAACTCCCAACAAAGATCATTTAGAGACAAGATGTATCACTCCATAGCTAAAACGAAGCCTTCAACACAGGCTGAAAAGAGGAGCTGCAGCAAAGTGCAGTAGGACAAAAAATATAACCATGTAACACAAAGTGACGCTCTTGTGAAGACACAGCAGCGGTGGAAGAAGTATTCAGATCATTTACTTAAGTAAAAGTAGTAATATCACAATGAAAAAATACTCCACTACAAGTAAAAGTCCCGCATTCAAAACTTAAAGTATTATCAGCCAAATGTACGAGAAGTAAAAGCACTCATTGTGCAGTAATTGTCAGTGTTTGACCTTTACATTTATTCATTTAGCTGACGCTTTTATCCAAAGCGACTTACAATTGCTATATATGTCAGAGGTCGCACGCCTCTGGAGCAACAAAGGGTTAAGTGATATGATGATCTTTTTGGTGGTAGATAGAAAAATATAAAGTCATGGCCAAAATCTTAAAAAAATATTGTGTTTCCAGCAGAAAACCTCCTTTAATTTTTAAAAAACTCACCTGCAGCAACTCACAGGGGCTGCTGGCAATGTAGAAATCACACTAACAACCAGTTTACATGGAGAAAGGTTAACTTTACCTTTCTACCTGTCACACACATGCAGGGGTTCCCTTATTCACGACTGTATAGCAGCAAAAACAAAGACATAATTCTTTAATTCCTGCTTCATTTCATTCAGAAAGTGAAAGTTCAGAGTCCAGAAAATTTGGGGTTTTCCTAAAACCATGTTTCATCTTGGCAGACAGAGATCTGTTCTCACCAGCGTTGCCTCCAGCCAGGAAGTTACAAAAGGAACTTTTCCACTTTCAGCAGGACGGAACAATTTACAGTCACAGCAGTTCAGATTATTACTGGGTCTTTTGCCTCACAGACCTTTTCAAACCTGCTCTGAGAAGAGAGAACAACTCGTATCTCTCTCGGTGTTTCAGGGTTTGTTCAACTGAGTTTATTTTCTTTGTGCAGAAGAGCTGAAGATGTTTATAACAGTGATCTTTTATTAAATCTCTTAAAATGTTTCCTGTCAGACTTCGTAAGATCTCCGTCCAGACTTGAATGATTCAGCTGTTAAATTCTGTGTTTGTTCCAGCCCACAGCTCGGCAAACGGAGGCGTCGCGTTCTCGCCACAGAGGAGCAGTTCAGTCCTGTAAGTCCTGATTCAGATCATCATATTGTTGCTGTCGTCAGCTGCGTCTGAGGCTGACCGCTGTGTTCCTCCGTCCTCAGCTGGCTGTCGCCGCCTCTCCGGGACGACAGGAACTCTCCACCGGCAGCGAACGAGCTTTTTCTCATAAATCCAAACGCAGGAGGCTGGCGGCGGCGATGGGGGAGCAGGGCGTCGGCTTTGTTCCAGCTTCATCTCTGAGGGCTTTTCCTCTGTGCACCTGGCTGGAGGCCCCGCTGTCCTGCTCCTCCTCCTCTTCCTCCTCCTCCTCCTACCTCACACCAGTATCAGAGGAGGAGGCTCTGACTGCAACGGGCTCCACGGTAGAAGCCAGTCCTGCGTATGTAAGCCAGAGGAGAGAAAGCCCGACTTCAGCGGCGGTTTCGCCCTCACCGCCGCCATCCTCTGACTCTCTGTCCTTCCTGACTGCAGAGGAGAGGAGATGGTTGAACCACGAGCAAGGAAACACCTCAGCAGGTGAGGAGACGGTGGAGATATTTCTGTATCAGCTCACAGCCAGTAAAGTTTCTGCAACACATTGGCCCTCATTTATCAATCTTCCGTAGAAACGGGCGTATTTTTAAGCGTGAGATTATGCTGACACTGTTCTCAGCGCCTGATTTATCAATGAGAGCGTACCCTGGCCTTTCAGGTGTACGCACCACCTGGTGTTGATAAATGCGGCGGCTGAAAACGTGTGTAATTTGAATGAAACGCCCCCAATTATTAAAGCTTCAGGAGGCCGCGCCCACAACTTCACGGCAGGGACTGACGAAATATGGCAAGAAATACATGGTTTGGAGCAGGAAATCCACAAATTAAAACTTAAGAAACAAAATATTATGTTGTTCTGACAGATTTAAATAAAGATTAAATGTTTAGTTTCACTACTAGAGCCCATCCCCGGCATAAATGTTCAAAAATATTGTGCATTTTAATATTACAAAATTTAATACTTTTTTTATTGGATGATTTAAACTGGACACATTTTTGACAAAATGTTCAACGCGCTTAAAACTGGACACGAGCAGTCAGATGAGCCATAAACGGTTCACTGACCCAGGACTCGCACATGAACCGGGATCAGCGTGCACCAGAGTCCGGGGCCGCGGGGCCTTTAGCGGGTGCTCGCTGTTGCTGTCATAATATAAAGTTTGTCTGTGCCAGCCTCACCTAAAGGTCGTGGGGCTGTGTCCATTTCGGCAGACGGTGTCAGAGCTTCAAGCCATCCGCTTATGCTCTTCGTTGTTTGTATGCAGTATTTATTTACCGTACAACATTTTTAGCCTTTTCATTTGAAGGTACACGTTTTTTTAAAAGCAAACCCAAATAAAAGGCACCTAAAGCTAGGATAAAATAGTCCAAATACAAATCAAAGCATGTTTTCACTGCTCAAATATTATATAGGCTGTATAAAGTCCGTGTTGCTCAAATATACACTACCGTTCAAAAGTTTGGGGTCACATTGAAATGCCCTTATTTTTGAAGGAAAAGCACTGTACTTTTCAATGAAGATAACTTTAAACTAGTCTTAACTTTGAAGAAATACACTCTATACATTGCTAATGTGGTAAATGACTATTCTAGCTGCAAATGTCTGGTTTTTGGTGCAATATCTGGTGTATAGAGGCCCATTTCCAGCAACTATCACTCCAGTGTTCTAATGGTACAATGTGTTTGCTCATTGGCTCAGAAGGCTAATTGATGATTAGAAAACCCTTGTGCAATCATGTTCACACATCTGAAAACAGTTTAGGTCGTTACAGAAGCTACAAAACTGACCTTCCTTTGAGCAGATTGAGTTTCTGGAGCATCACATTTGTGGGGTCAATTAAACGCTCAAAATGGCCAGAAAAACAGAACTTTCATCTGAAACTCGACAGTCTATTCTTATTCTTAGAAATGAAGGCTATTCCATGCGAGACATTGCTAAGAAATTGAAGATTTCCTACAACGGTGTGTACTACTCCCTTCAGAGGACAGCACAAACAGGCTCTAACCAGAGTAGAAAAAGAAGTGGGAGGCCGCGTTGCACAACTGAGCAAGAAGATAAGTACATTAGAGTCTCTAGTTTGAGAAACAGACGCCTCACAGGTCCCCAACTGGCATCTTCATTAAATAGTACCCGCAAAACACCAGTGTCAACATCTACAGTGAAGAGGCGGCTGCGGGATTCTGGGCTTCAGGGCAGAGTGGCAAAGAAAAAGCCATATCTGAGACTGGCCAATAAAAGAAAAAGATTAAGATGGGCAAAAGAACACAGACATTGGACAGAGGAAGACTGGAAAAAAGTGTTGTGGACGGATGAATCCAAGTTTGAGGTGTTTGGATCACAAAGAAGAACGTTTGTGAGACGCAGAACAAATGAAAAGATGCTGGAAGAATGCCTGACGCCATCTGTTAAGCATGGTGGAGGTAATATGATGCTGTAATTGCTGCAAATGGAGGATTCTTTGATGAAAGCAAAGTTTGATGTAAAAAAGATCTTATTTCAAATACAAATCATTATTTCTAACCTTGTCAATGTCTTGACTCCATTTTCTATTCATTTCACAACATATGGTGGTGAATAAGTGTGACTTTTCAGGAAAACACAAAATTGTTTGGGTGACCCCAAACTTTTGAACGGTAGTGTAAACACCAAAATTAATGTTTCAAACGTTGTTTCTGTTACAGTGGGTCATAATATATCATGTATTTTAGTTTGTCAGTGCGTTTTGTGCTGTTAGGAATTGTTTTTCTGCGCATTTCTGCACTAACTCAAAACTTGCGTACATGTACAGCACCTCCTGAGCTGGCGTAGGATTTGAGCGTGCCGTACGCCAACGTCCATATTGATAAATCTCAAAGTCATCGTGGTTTTGGGTGTACGCTGGAAATTTGGTGTACGCACTTTTCCATTGTCACCAGCAGCTCAGAGGAGCTCATGGAGGCAAACATCACATTCCTCCTCCTCACAGAGGAGAACACAGACATGAAACAAGTTTTAAGATTCAGCGTGGCGAACACTCAAGGGCGCCAAACTGGGACTGATTACCCAGGATCTCGATGGGGGGAGGACCTGGAATGAAAACACTAACCCTTTTGTTCGCAGTGTTTTAATTCTAAGCAGGAAGTCTCATAACTAAATTGGCAGAATAAATGTTCAGATACTGAACGTAGTACCCCCCCCCGACTGTCTGTCCTCAGGAAAACTAAATCAAGGTACCAAAAAAGAAAGAAAGCAAAGTGAAGGAAAACGGCTGCTCATTAATTTCATAAGCACAATCACAACTAACCGATAAATAATAGTTTAAGCTAATATCAGCAGTTTAGATTGAAGGCAGGAGTCTAGCTTGATGCATATTTGCACAGCAGGCTAGAATATAAATTATTATCAGCATCATAAAAACTTTCTGAAGTCTTTGAACCACTTAGTTACACTCTTGGACACAAAGATGGATGAAATGAAGTGAAGTATTGTTCCTGCAATTGAAACACGACTCCAGTGAAGTCTTGCTCAGATGTCATTATGCTGCATAGTGAACATTTTCTCAGTGTCGGGGGACAGTAAGGTGTTATTTCCAGCTTTGTCTGATACCTTGGGAATGATTAATGTTTCAGTAAACTTTAGAGCTGCACGATTTGGAGAAAAAATGTTGCGATTATTCTGAACAATACTGCGAATCTGTTAGAATGGAACAAATGTTACAATGAGCCGGCTGTGGCTCAGGAGGTAGAGCCCGTTAATAGAAAGATCGGCGGTTCAATCCCCGGCTCCTCCAGGCTGCATGTCGAAGCGTCCTTGGGCAGGATACCGAACCCCGAAAACCTCGAACCCCGAATCCACCAGTGTGTGAATGGTGAATGCGATGTAGTGTAAAAGCGCTGAGTGGTCACAAAAACTGGAAAGGCGCCATAGAAATACGGAGCATTTACTTGCTTAATGATCAAGGAATTAGCAAAATACTGACATTTTGAAATGTGTGTTTCTCTACTTGAACAAAGTGAAACAATTTTGGCACACGACCTGCAGGAGGAACTGCACACGAGTGTATTACAGAAAGAGTATAATGTTTAGTTAATAGTTTACTGTTAGTATAACAATAATATATTAAATACTACATTCATTAGAATGTCATATAATAGTGTACTTTTTTACTGCTTGTTGAATCCAGTTACAGCTGTTTCATTTTTGTGGGTTTTAAAAAAAAATTGTGCATCGGTCTTTAATTTGTTAATGCTAAGTATTAACTGGTCAATAATAGGGGGTGGAAAATAATAGATTTTTAGATGCATCACGATGCAGCGATTCTGAATCGATTCAGAAATGTCAGTAATCGATTATCTAGAGGTTAATTTGGTAACGTAATGTTGACGGAACGAAAAAGGCAGAACTCAGAAGTGCAGCTCACGTGTGGTTCTTGCTGTTCAGCACAGACAGGCAGCTGTTGAATGAGTGAGTGCAGCTGCTAAACTTTACACATGATCAATAAAATCAACGCACAACTAACGTTAATGCTTTTCCCCCGCACGCTGTGCAGCACGGCAGCGCTTAGCGAGCGTCCTCTGCTCCTTCTTCAGAGGACAGCTACGTGACAGGCGGCGGTAGGAAAAGATGAGCGCTACGCTTCAGTCTGGCTGTAAATGTTTTCCGACGGCTGGATAAGTGAAGGCGGTTAGCGCTAACGTTAGCCAACGTCTCCTCTTCAGACTGCCCTCTGGAAGCTGAGCAGGAAGCTTTGAAGCTGCTAGTTCAAGTTCGTTTGTCGTCATTCATCCACATATCGAGGACACAATGAACCAAATGCCGTTTCTCAAGGCTCACGGTGCTCAATACTGGATTAGAATAATTAACTTTCAGGACACAAACATGTAACCACACTAGACGGGACAAGAACAGGAACAGAGCGTCAGAAAGAAAAACAGCAGCAGCAGAGGTCAGTAATAACTCTCATCTGCATTTCATCACTACCTACTTGTTTGGATTTTTGTTAAATACTTTGCTTTAAAAGTACCAAGTTGTCACACAGTGAGAAAAATACATCTTTATCCAATTAGTTTTACAGCCGCATCATAGCCACCCTCAAGGTGACGCATCGTGACGCATCGACGAATCGAATCGTTGACCTGATAACCGTAATCGAACCGTGTGACCAGTGAAGATTCACACCCCAAGTCAGTAATCATTTTGTTCAGTTTGCTGCAGCACATCAGACTCGTTTTAATGTCCCGCCCCATCACGGCTGTGATTGGTCGGCTGTGTGAAAAGTTGAACATGTTGAACAACAAAAGGCAGCGATACAGCGAGCGAAAAATGGCAGCGAGCCAAAGCTTCCTGATCTTCTGTCTGACCTTCAGCTGCCGCCGACGTCTCTCTGTCTCTGTCACAGAGCGGCTTGGTGCTCCGGTGGCGAAGCGACTATGTTTTGAACAATTACAAAGTAATTGTACACAGTGTTGAGAAAAGTGGGTTGGAACTGTGCAGAAATCACAGATTATTATTATTATTATTACTATTACGTGTTTAAATGTGGTACGAACGGTTCAGTAGTGACTCCTCTAATCACCGCCACAGTTTAATGTGCTCAGTTATTAACATGTTTCAAGAGATGTGAGAGAGGAAGGGGCCCCACAGAGACTGCTTGTACATAGGGCCCAGAGCTTTGTGCGACGCAGCTGCGTACACTTCCCGAAGATATATCTCCATAAACATCTAGAAGTGAGCTCAGAAACCAGAGACGCTGCAGAAGCTCCTGAGAATCTTCATGTTTTGACGTTTCCTTCAGTGTCGCAGTTGGCTCTACATGCATGCTAACGGCTAACAGCTAATTCAGCTGCTGTTGAAGGGGCCAGTTCAACTAAATTTAAACACATACAGGCTAAAAACAGATCTCAAGTCGTAGCTCACAGCTGACTCAGTAGATTTTAGCAAAAAACTCAAATGAATTTATAATTTTTCATTAATTAATCATCCATTTTCTGCTGCTTGTCCAGGTTAAAGTAGTGAATGATGTAATGGAAGTACAAATAAAGAAGTGTAGGTCGTATTGGCGCTGCTGGTTTTCCTTCACGTGAGCGGGTGTATGAAATATATCCAGGTATTAAATTACATTAAAGTTAAATTAAATCAGCTCCAGGCCTCACAGGGAACAGCCAGTTTCAGTTCTTTGGTTCTGATCCGTCGTTTCTTCTGCAGCTGCGCCGGAGCAGATCGTCATCAGCGACGATGAGGAGGCCGTGGTTCGCTCGGCGCAGGTGGAGGAAGACGAGGCGTTTGCTCGAAGCCTGCAGGTAGGATCCTTCACCTGCAGACGCAGCGTGCGGCGTGGGAAAGTTTTCACGATGCTCTTTGTCCACTCAGGCCCAGTTTGACCAAGAGGAGGCGCACAGCACACACCAGCACCACCAGCACCACCTTCATCACAGGAGCCATTACCTTCATCAGCAGAGCCATCTTCTTCATCAGCGGAGCCTTCATGGGGTGAGCGAGCCTCTCTTGTTGCTCGTTAACTGTGTTTGCTGCATTCACGGTGAGTTACAGTGCCACTCTGTCTGCAGTGCCACCCCTACATGGAGCCCAGCTGGATGCCTCACCTGCTGGCTGCCGTCTCTCCTCTGGTCGGCTTTGAAGACGGTAAGAACAGGAACGCAGCACAGCTCGATCTCAGCCCCGGGTAATCTGGCGGTTAGCGCGGTAACAGTAGGCGTGGTTTGCATTGTCAAACTGAATCCAGCTAACTCCGTCACCAGCGATGAAACAACTAGAGATAAATTACAGACTGTTCATGTATTGAATGGTTATTGCTGAAAAATGGCGACCGTGAAAAAGGAGGCGAAACAGACCGAAGTTTATTAATGGACGCTGATTTCCCCACGTTGGTTATTTTACAGACTCTTATTAACGGACACACTGTGACCTTGGCTGTACATTTACTGCCAGACTTACTCGCTTTCACCGTCACTTTCTACCACACGATCTCTCACGTTCGCTCCGCTTTGGAAAAAATGTTTTGCTACGTTTTGTCTGCCCCTGGTGTGTGTACACAGATCTGATTGGTCAGCGCAGAAGACGTGGGCGGGGCAGAAGGAGGAACGGCCTGCCAGAGTTTTCAGAAGACCTGCAGGGAAACGACTATGAGGTGAGGTGGAGGAGGAGCGGGGGGGAGAAATGGAGGGAGGGAGAGGGAGGAGGAAGGGAGAAGGAGGAGGAAGAGGGAGGAAGGAAGAGTGAGGAGGGAGGGAGAAGGAGAGGAAGGAGGGAGGAAGGAGGAAGAGGGAGGAGGGAAGGGAGGAGGGAAGGAGGAAGAGGGAGGAGGGAAGGGAGGAGGAAGAGGGAGGAGGGAAGGAAGGAGGAAGAGCGAGGAGGAGGAGGGAGAGGGAGGAGGGAAGGAAGGAGGAAGAGCGAGGAGGAGGAGGGAGAGGGAGGAGGGAAGGAAGGAGGAGAGAGATGAGGAAGAGAGAGGAGGGAAGGAAGGAGGAGAGACAGGAGGAGGAGGGAAGGAAGGAGGAAGAGGGAGGAGGGAGGGAGAGGGAGGAGGGAAGGGAGAAGGAGGAGGAAGAGGGAGGAAGGAAGAGTGAGGAGGGAGGGAGAAGGAGAGGAAGGAGGGAGGAAGGAGGAAGGAGGAAGAGGGAGGAGGGAAGGGAGGAGGGAAGGAGGAAGAGGGAGGAGGGAAGGGAGGAGGGAAGGGAGGAGGAAGAGGGAGGAGGGAAGGAAGGAGGAAGAGCGAGGAGGAGGAGGGAGAGGGAGGAGGGAAGGAAGGAGGAAGAGCGAGGAGGAGGAGGGAGAGGGAGGAGGGAAGGAAGGAGGAGAGAGATGAGGAAGAGAGAGGAGGGAAGGAAGGAGGAGAGACAGGAGGAGGAGGGAAGGAAGGAGGAAGAGGGAGGAGGGAGGGAGAGGGAGGAGGGAAGGAAGGAGGAGGGAAGGAAGGAGGGAGAGGGAGGAGGGAAGGAAGGAGGAAGAGCGAGGAGGAGGAGGGAAGGAAGGAGGAGAGAGATGAGGACGAGAGAGGAGGGAAGGAAGGAGGAAGAGCGAGGAGGAGGAGGGAGGAGGGAAGGAAGGAGGAGAGAGATGAGGACAAGAGAGGAGGGAAGGAAGGAGGAAGAGCGAGGAGGAGGAGGGAAGGGAAGGGGGAGGAGGAAGGAGGAGAGAGGAGGAGGAGGAGGAGGGAGGAGGGAAGGAAGGAGGAGAGAGATGAGGACGAGAGAGAGAGGAGGGAAGGAAGGAGGAAGAGCGAGGAGGAGGAGGAGGGAGGAGGGAAGGAGGAGGAAGAGGAAGAGCGAGGAGGGAGGAGGGGGAGGAGGAAGGAGAGAGAGAGATGAGGAGAGAGAGGAGGGAAGGAAGGAGGAAGAGCGAGGAGGAGGAGGGAGGAGGGAAGGAAGGAGGAGAGAGATGAGGACGAGAGAGGAGGGAAGGAAGGAGGAGAGGGAGGAGGGAAGGAAGGAGGAGAGAGATGAGGACGAGAGAGGAGGGAAGGAAGGAGGAAGAGGGAGGGGGGAGGAAGTAGGAGAGAGAGGGGAGGAGGGGGGAGACCTGCAGGTTCATCTGCATCAGAAAACCAAATACTGTTTTTTATTTTCCTGCGTCTTCAAACCAAAATACAGTTTAGTCACTTTTCACTTCGTGAGCCGCGTATGTCCAGCTGCAGCCTGCAGACCGTGACGGAAGTTGAACTTCCGAATATGTTTTGTCCCAGATGACGTTCATCTCGGCTCACATGAAGGATCCTAATGCAAACCGTTTTATTCTTTAGGAGCCAACAACAGAACTTTAAATACACTTCTGAGAAGTTTTTAGGCGAGAAATCAACTGTGTAGATTAAAAATATCGGCAGTTTCAAGAAAATTTACAGCGAATCGAAAATGCGTTCAAACGTTTTCGCAGTTGAGAAGCTCCGCAAGTGCCGACGGGTGTTATATAGCTGCAGTTAACGTTAGCGGAGGCTGCACAGCAACACAATGGAGGTTAACCCTGTCTGCTAGCAGGAGGGTTAACCGGTCGACATGCATACAGTCAATAACTTTAGGCTCACACCCTGTTTGGGGTAAGAGGAATATACTGTCAGGAATAGTTAGCCAGCTCCTGTTAGCTCCCCCAGGCTCAGTCACACAGACCGCTGCAGCCAACACAGCAGACCAGCAACAGCTGATAATGTTCGTACCGTTATTCTGTCAATAAATTCTCAGTAATGTAAAGTTTTAACCTAAATCGAGACACATCTGGCTCGTGATGCAACATTACAGAATATTCTTGGTTTGTGAAACTTAAAATCACTTTAGAAGAAATAAAACAACAGTATGAATTGAAACATTGCTTTATTATTATCATTAGGCTGTTATAAATAAGTATTTGCAGGAATTATAGTATAAATATACTATATTAATATATAAGTATAGTAAATATTAAACATAACGTACTCTGATTACTACGTTGACACTTGACACCTCTTTTTTTAAACGGCTTTTTTTAATTTAACAACTATGCGTGGGCGCCGAGCGGTCGAGATAATCGCCGTTTATCGTTTTGTGCGTGGTGGCTTCTGGGACAACCCATATATTGAAGGTCAACTTCGGTCACGTTTGTCTGGTTTTTATATACAGCCTATGGTTTGTCTGCGGGCTGCAGCTGGACCCTTCTCCTGTGAGCGCTGAACTACTTCCTGTAGTTCTGCAGTTCTACTTCCTGTAGTTCTGCCGTTGTACTTCCTGTAGTTCTGCCGTTGTACTTCCTGTAGTTCTTTACAGAGTTAATATTTTCGCCTGCTGATGTCGTCGTGCCCATCTGCTCGTCTTTCAGGCTCTCCTGGAGTTCGAGGAGCGTCAGGGTTCTGTCGTGTCCAAGAAGTTAAGTCGGAGGGAAATCCAGCGGTTTCCCACCAAAACCTTCCAGTCTGCGAGCAACGCCGGGAACACTCAGTGAGTCACCCCACCCCCCCCCCAACCCCCCTCCCATTATTTACTGCTGCTGACCTGCCTGACTCTCCTCTGCTGATTGACAGGTGTCAGATCTGTTTCTGCGACTACGCTGAAGGGGAGAAGCTCAGGATGCTGCCCTGCTTCCACAACTACCACGTCCAGTGTATCGACCGCTGGTTAAAGGTAACGGCTCGCGCACACAGCTAGGTGTCATTTTAACAGGCTGAAAACTTTGTCTAGAGAACAACAGGCTTAAAACTAAATGTGAACAGCCGACTGATAAGCTTTTTCAGCGGTGCTGGTTAAATGTACACCTTAAGTAGGAACTCCGACTTCAGGTGGCGTTCATGGTACTTTTTCATGCTGGAGGTCTGAAATTTTCCCAGTTGCCTGGAACGCAGCATCAGTCAGTCTTCTGCTCCTTCTGCTCCTTTTGTTTTAGTAGAAAACATCAGGCACAAACTTTCATTTAGATCCAAAGCGAAGCTCCTCAAAGTGTCGTGTTCAGGATCAACACTTAATCACTTCCTCTGCAGCGGGTTCAACAACTGATCGTTTGTGTTTTCTGATCATTATAAACTGAAACTTTAAAGTCGTCTCTTTGAGATTTAAACGTTGTGGAGAGAATAATCTGATCCCAGCTGTTTCTGACAGGATAACGCCACCTGCCCCATCTGCAGAGCCACACCTGGCCGACGGAGACGCCCTCGCCCCCCGCACCTCTGACCTCGGCGCCTCCTCCGGCCGACAGCACCCCCTTCAGTCTTTCTGCCGTTTGTGTTTGATGAAGGACAACTCGTCTTTTTTGTTCTTTTTTTTTTTATACTTTTATTTTGTGTCTCAGAACGAAATCGACTCTTCAGGAATAAAACTTTAAAAAAAGTGAGGCTGCTTTTGATTTCTGTTTCGAGGACGGCCGCCGCAGCTGCTGTTTAACGAGAAATAAAGGTGAAGGTTCCTCTCCTGTGTTGTCTCAATTTGTCACCACGACGTTTCTGACTTTTACTCCCCGTAGCGTTTCTTCATGGCTCTGTATCTCCTCAGGTAGTGCAGCAGCGCCTCCAGCTCTCTGACCACGTACTCGCCCGGGCGATCATCTCGCAGGCCTCATTTCAGCCTCTGTCTGAAACAAGCTGTAGATGCTCCTGTCTCTTCTCTGATATTTCCTATTTTTCAGAGTCATTTCCTTTCAATGTTGATTATTCATTATGGCATCTGTGCGCTCGGTGTTGGAGGACAGATGACAGAAAACTCGGCGCACTTTCACCTGCCACCGTCTTCTGTATCACGCATTTTGGCCGTTTCACCGATGCGGAGGCAGTGGTGTCAGAAGTCTGGAGCTGAGGAGCGATGCCATCAGCGGTGCTGAAACGGTGAGTTGTGCACTCAGAGGATTTATTCACACTAGCGAACTAACGTTAGTTGACAAAGTAAAAACATTGATTAGTTAACATGACGGTTGTCTGTGTGTGAGTGAGTTTAACATCCTAGTAATGAATTAATTTCAATTCGAGAGGCAGGTTGAATCCAGCATGGGCTCTCTGTGTGGAGTTTGCATGTTCTTCCTGTGTTCATGTGTGTTTCGGTGTAAAATGTTAATTCTAAACGTGTACTGAGTTTTGTAGATGTGTAAGATAATTAGTTTTATAAAGGGAGCAGTAACGGCTTTGGCCAAGCAAGAGGCAAAGAAGTGACGAGCAGCTGCACAATCGTAGGTCGTAGCTACTCTGTTGATGAAAACCTATATACTGTATCAAACGTTTGGTAAATTTTCAATAATGAGCACCACAAGTGTTTGTCTTCTCTGCTTGGTTTTGTCAACTAGCAGCTCATTAATATGGAGGTCCTGAACGCTCAGCGCACTGAAACTTAAGAAGATGTATTATACAAGCATATTATCTAACACATCTCAGACTGAACATCAGCAGAGACGGAACATTATAAGCTTCGTAAAGGTCGATCTTAGGCAGGTCAGGTGGTTGTTCTGTTTGGCTTTTGTTATAATTACATTTTCTTCTTTACAGAAAGGACCTGAATCTGTGGAGGTCAGCCATTATTAAACTCTGAGATGTGATGGTGAACCACGTTCAGAACATCCATGAACACAGCATGCTGGAACCAGTTAGGACGTACCTTATATAGACCTTGATTCGTGGTCCAGTCTTCAGTGGAGCTGGTTGGTGCCTGGTTTAATTTGATTTCAGTGCCTGTTTTGTAGGTAAATTTCCCAGATTGTGCAAAGAATTTGAATAATTTTGCATCACACCATAATTTGTACTGAAGTAAATCACAGCTAATTCTGTAGAGTAAAGATTCTGTTTTGAAACAGGAGATTAAGAGTAAAAACACATGAACAAGACATTTTACAAATTACAAAACACAGTACTAGCTTCATGAAGATAATTTATTGCAGGACTGTTTTACTGGACTGCAGCAGTTTTAGCTTTAGGTGTACCTTATTAACAGAAACTAGTATTTAATCTACATGGATATTCTTGCGCAAACAAAAGCGAATGCCACTTATTAGTCACAAGGTGGCAGCGTTGGCTCACAATACAAGAAGAATTGTCTTCTGGGTTTGTTCACACATGTACAGCTTGTGAACTGCACGATCTGCTTTTTCTACAGGTTTCTCTCGGTAGCTCTGCATTTCAACCACGATGGAATCTGAGAGGTTCCTGTGATGGTGTGTTAGATTTTATAAAGATGTTTTTCCTTTTTAACACAGGACATAAATGTGAAACCAGCGCAGAAGTCTTGGTTCACAGTTTTCAGGTTAAGATCAATTAAACAATCAAACAATTAATATTATCCTCGGCCAAAGACATACTCAGTCACATTTGTGTATTGTAAGATGTGGTATTTTCATGTGGAGCGAGTAAACGTTATGTAAAATATTTTTTTAGTAATAAATCTTTAGAATTGTACAGCTTTGGTTTGCTCTCGAGTCTTTTCTAGTTTAAAATGTTGTTTTAGTTTGACCACACCAATTTGGTGCATCCGCACATTTTAAAAAGTTCCAATCTTGTGTTTGTGTTATTGTTTATTGATTTTATAAATATTAGAATACATTATTAGTTTTATATAAAACATGTTTAACCATTAATGCACTATGCATCTGTTCAAAATGATTGCAACCGCATAAAATGTGATTCATTTTATTGTCAACCTAATGAGGCTGTATAAAATGTGTAAATACCCCGTTCTTCAGGACTCGACACATAAAGGTTTACATGCAGAAGATCAAGTATACAGTTGTATGAAGTAGATTTCATATGACTATTAACCACACCCCCATTCTCTGTTTGAGAAAGAACGTTAACCCAAAACGGCACCCCCCAAAGCCTACTGCTTTCTGATTGGCCATTGTCTTATGAGTTTACCAGGTTGCCGCAGGGATAGGGCTGCGTGTTACATTGTGGGCGTGGCCAACATTCTCTGCCTGGAGCAAATGACCATATATGGAAATCTGGCTCGGAATGACATCATACCGAGCCCTTGGTAGAAAAAGCAGTTGAAAACAGAGCGTTCAGAACAGCGAGGTATCTGAGCGTCACAGGGATTTATTTTAAATACTTTTACCTCCTCATTTGAAGCTTTGGCCACATTTAACATGAACATCTGACCCTGTAACATCGTAGATAAGTCATAAAATATGGAAAAGCA